TGGACCCTCCACTAAAGAGTTCGAATACCTCGATCAAGTGTGGAGAGTTACTACACGTACTTCTTTGTCGGAAGTTGTTTGGAAATTGTCAGAGCCGCGCACGAACTGGCCCAATACCGGGACTCGATTCTTCTTTGTCAAACAGTTGAATGATGTGGACTTGGCTATGGTAGGACAGTCGTGCGAGGAGTTCGACATGTTCATTGAGCGACATAGCGAATAAGACCTTATACATATAGTGCTTGTTGGGTATATCAAATAATAGATTGCGGTCTTATCGACTGCGAAACCACTCTACTAGGTCTGCCTCTTCGTCTGAGATGGTTGCACAAAATCGCTGTACGATCGCGAGCGGCTCGATGACATCCTGATATCCGCCAGAAAAAGCAGCGATCTCGTTGAAGACGCTACGAAACGCTAAAAGTTGTCGGCAAATCCTAGCTTTACTGAGTGCCTGTTAAATCTTGTCTTACGCTGCTCACCTTTTACTGTCTGTTCTCTGCAGCATCCACATCATCTTCAGGGGGTATAACCATAACGCGAAGCATGGGGTACACGCGTTGCGGGTCCTTAGGGAGCGGCCCCAGCACGGGATAGACCTGTAACCCGCCATTCTTCATTCCCGCTCGCTCTGTCTCGGCCTCCATCGTTCCGCGCACGCGCAGATAAAACGCCCAGGGAATTATCACAGGTATGGCGATCGGGTACAAGTCTTCATCCAGTAACACTTCCATATCGTTGACAGTGTTGAAATATCGAGGAGTTACCCAACCCGACAAACGGGCGCAGTTGGCAAGAAATGGCACTCTCGTAAGACGGTCTCCGAAAGTGTGCCGGCTGTCGGTCACTTGGCGCGCTGGCGCGTTAAACAGCATGGGTTTATTAAATCTGTCTGCTAGTCAGTCGACTGTTGATGCTAGCGTAGACTCAACAAGTGGATATCCATGATCTGGAAGCGTTTCAGTTTAGAGTGTGCAGTTAACGGTTGATATACTCCATCTGGGTGGCGCACTGTTGGGAAAAGCGGTAACTGCAGCTCTAACGCAAGAGGCACCAACGCTGCATATCGGAGGAAGACTTCGCCTGTATCTAGGTAAGATGCGGGGAGTGCGCGATTCCGTCGACTCTCTGAAGAGGGCGGGTCGGATAATACAAAGAAATATCCAGCTCGCAGTCTCTGTCGCGCTGTCTCTAGGCTATCGTGGTATATCCGGTTGCGGTAATGTCGAAATTTTGCCAGTCGTCCTCCTGGAGATAGAATGTTCGCTCCGTATAAACGGTTTAGCTGCTCGTGGCGTGAAATGTACTGCGAAGCCCTGGGACATTGTAAGAGGGTGTTGTGATGATGGAACGCATTACTTGAACAGACAACCCGACCAGCCTGTAGACAATAAATCCTCCTTAACAGACGCTGTAATGGCTCCTACGTTGTGTCGTATAGATCAGTCGTGAAATCTATTCTGGACTGGTTAATCATCGCAGGTGTAAATCGGATGGCTGAGACTGCTCATCGTGTTAACAGGAGTATGTGAAGCAGTGGTGCCGTCCTACCTTCAATGCTGCGTGCTGCGCGTGGAGAACAGTGAAGATTTTCGTCGTTCCAAGCCATAGCGAACGGATCGAACAGTTGTTGGTAAATCCACGTGGCAATGTCGGTATGGGATACGAAATAGATGTCCACCCGAGGCCCGTAGTCGCTGACGAGAGAAATGGTGTTGACCCCCCGCCAAACTCGTACTACTTTCTGCGTATTTTGCTTGTACGCGGTGAAGACTCTTCGTAGCCGAATTTCGTTAGTCACCCGCCGGGAACTGGTGAATACAAGCTGCAGCGTATGCTGGTTCCATGTGGATGCCCATTCAGGTCCGGGATAATCGTTGCCCAGCAGCGCAGTGAGCACACATGGCCCTGTAGCCCAGATATCTGTCCAATCGAGGCCCAGAAGCACGTTGTCCGTGACTATGCTGAATACTCTTCGAAAACTGTCCGTCGTGTTAGCGATCCGTCTAAACGTTGGTCGCAACTCATCCATAATGAGGAGCCCTTCTACTATGCTGACGGTGTCGATGGTGCTTTGAGTGCCATCCTTCTGGGTTATTGTCCAGATGTTGTCGAATTGGTCGAAAAGACAGTAATGCCATGTGCATAGCCGCTGCGTTTTGCGTCAGTAACCAACGCTCGTTGGATTGTATCCTGTTGGTCATCAGCAAACAGTCGGTTACGTTGCTCTTCTCACCAAGTGTCTATCGTCAGCTCTTGGTCGTGCTTTAACAGTCGCCGTGCTGTTTCGTAGGGAAGCAGTGGCCAATGATGCGGCATGATCTGCGATATCTGCACTTCGCTGCTGACAGGCAGTCGGCTTATAGCGAGCTGAAGGAGTGTAGGTATCGCATTCTGTGTGTTTTGGAACCTGGGTGTTGGGATGAAAGGAGTTTCTTGTAAACGGCATGCGCGGTCGAGAGTGGCCCAATCTAATTGTTTAATGGTCAGAGCCACAGAAGTGCCAGAAAAGTCTGACCCGTCTGACCCACTAGTTTCCAACACTCTGAGCGTATATTGGTTTCTTCAGCTTGGTTCGACATAACCTGTGGTCATCAGGGGTAATCCGACACATAATGGAGTCGTTCGCACCTTATCGAAGGCCCTGATTTGAAAAACCGCGATCTCTCCCGCTGGCGATCTCATCACTCATCGCTTGGGTAGGTGCTCGACCGTGTAGTCGTCGTTACATGTCATAGACAATTGGTATGCCTTCATGGTAAGAGTATGGTGACCGAGCGTGACACTGCCCTCGGTCTTACTGATGATGCTCCGCTTGATCCGCTGCATCCGACATAATAGATTTTGACTAATCCTAATGGAACACTGTATTGATCTTCGCGTCATCCAAAGTCCTCCACCACGTACCGCTCATCCTTTCTGAGCTGAATCTGGGGACAACCCAGCAATACTCACCTTCTAATGTCTGCAGTTGCACGACATCCGTGCCCACGCGCTCGCCCTGTCGCCTGTCAACGACATATGGTCGTTGGTCTCCTGAACTTTCAAAATATCCTTCGTCCCTGACATGCCTGCGCGTCGGGCGACGTCGATGACTACGGTGGTAGTCCGGTAGTCATAAATCAACACCACCTCCTCGCCCTGTGCCTCTGCCATGACGCCTTCTCGTGTTTCTTTTGGTATGGCGGCGAGGTCGAATTCGATGACTCGTCGTATGAGCGCCCGAACTCCAGCAGTTAGTCCCATCTTCTGTGCGTCTACAGAAGCCGTCAGTACACCACCCATTACTAACCGACACCTCACGTAGCCTGTTTTGTGCTCTGGCCTTGCACTCTTGCCGATGTTCTAACCATCCTTCTCTCTGACATCCTCTACTGCAATAAAAGGTCGATTTGCAACCCCCGCATCTCTTAAGTCCACGCCCTTCCGCGATACGCCCACACTAACAGCAACATTCGTTATCCATAGACCCTTGCAATTACTCACTTACCGTTGCACACATCTTGCTTCGAACCAATCCTAGGGTTAGTTGATACTTAACCGAGCGTGCACCTATTTCTTCCCACAGTCCCTGCCATTCGTAAGTGCTCTCTGTGGTTTTGAAGACCTCGAAGTCGATCATCGGCCTGATCTTGCTTATCCGCTTCGTCAAAGCCTCTACCACTCTAGGATCCCACATCGCTAACCGCACTCCATCAAACATCACGGCTCGAAACAATTCCAACATTCCCGTTCGCTTCGTTCCTCTGCTCTCTTCAAGTAACTTGGCGGCACTTTCAATCATTCCTCCTTCTATGGCGGTTGCCCATGCTTGAGCTCCAGTCCCGTACGCCATGCGGTAAACCAACTTCAAAATGTCTGCACCGAGTTGCGTCCGCTGGGAAGCTGCTACCCGCTTGACGACTAGTTCGAGTACGCGGACAGTCTCCATCAACGCCCCTCGTTTTGTCCACGCATGCCGCAGACTCGATGATTCCATCGCTCTGTCGCAAGCAATCCAGAAAAGCGTCGTCGCCAGAACATGGAAGGGAGAGTCGGCTTGATTCCAATCAATTGTTGCAGTCTGCATACTCGCTACAGTCATATCCGCCACATCGCTCGCTTTCGGTCCACAGCCTTCAACTATTTCGGTTATCTGCGCTTTTGGTACATCATCCATCGACAGCAACAGATGGTACACTGTGCCGAGAGCGAAACGCGTTGTCTGTTTGCGTCGATTATTCGGCTGACAGCAGCGTTTCCAGTTGGCAAGTAGCATTTGAACACAGCCGTTCGTTGAAACGACCGCCTTTTTGATACTATCCCCAGCGGTAAAATGACACATTGCTGTGAGACACGCTATTGCAGCTTCGCTGATTTCCGATCCTATGACAACTTGGGCATTGTGCAGCGAGAAGAGCTCCAACCATCGATAGATCTTTGGCCAGAGCGGTGCTAACCAGGCTTGAGGCTCTGTGGTAAGTTGCATATTCACAAGAGCCATCATTATCCACCAAGCCATATCTAGACACGACCCGTACTGCTCCGCTGTCTGTTCTTCGACGGATAATCGTCCGTCGTCCAACAGCGCCATTGTCAATGGAAGCCTCTGTGCCCATGTCACATTGGAAAATTTACGTTTACCGTACAGTTCCTCCCCATCAGCCCACTTGGACTGCCGATTCAATGCACGAGTAGCGGCTGCCTGACCTCTGCGTTAGCAACGAAACCTGTGTGCCTGCTACTAACCTTTGAGCTCATACTCAAGCCACGCAAGCAACGCTGCAGTTGGGACGCATGGCGGTTAGACATAGACAAGGTTTAGGAGCCCCTATTGCAAATACTTTATTGCGTCGTTGTCATGTGATACATAAATTCAAGTACTCGTGTTTGCCATTTATTGGCCTTATACCCAAGTACAAAAAAAAAGAGTCGTCACGTGCAATGATGCATCTATCATGTGAAAATTACTCGATTGATTTTGCTCCACGGACCACCACCACTCTTGCCGAACGTCAACTATGTCGACTGAGAGCATTGCAACTATGCGGCCTCGACTCAATCGTCGTCGCATGTCGGCTCCTCCGCCGCGGCCAAGTCCAACCAGACTTCCCCAATGCCGGCCACTTTCCCTCTCCCTCGAAGCTTTGGACTTGTGTTCAGCTTCACCGGCTCAAATCCTCGCATCGTTGCGCCTCCTCATTCTTTCCTGTCTTGCGGAACTTGAAAGACGTTTGGCTGGAATGGAGAAGGCAGGCACTGCGTTAGAGATGCTTCGGTCCATCCAAGCAGAAGTACGTTCACACCTGCCTGACGTTGACCTCGGTCTTGCAGCGCGGTTGCCAGACCTAGATGACCTCAAATCGCATTTACCTGATATCGACAAGCTCAAGTCACTCATTTCGGGGCTTGACTTTTCCACCCCACTTTCCTATGTTCCTACACTCTCGCAGCACCTCCGTCATCTGCACGACCACATTGCAGACACATTCGACTTTGAATTCACCCGCCCACACTTTGACTTTGAGTTCCGTCGGCCCAAATTCGATTTCGAGCTCCGTAAACCGTCTTTCGAATTCAGCCGCCCGTCATTCGACTTTGAATTCACCGACCTCAGATTCGACCTTCCCATTCTGGCGGACCTCGCAGACGTTCTTGACGCCTTCCGTGCCGACGTTGACGCGTTTTTGGCGGATATTCCGCAACTACCCTCTTTTCCCACCTCCCTCTCCTTCCCGTCACTCCCCACAAGCCTTTCTCGAGCATCATCATCAACTGTCTCGTCTCCACTACCCGAGAGTTCCGACGAGGAGAAGAGTGATATCGCTCGTGCGCTTGCCCTCTCTGCACATGGTCGCAACTTGATCGGCTACGACGATTTGCCAGTTGCTTGGCGCAACAATCCTTTCGTACAAGGCGGATACAGGTATGCAACTTGTCTCGTCGGTTTCATTCCAATCTAATTGGATAGATTCATTCCACTCTCCAAATGGCCCAACCTGGTCACATCTGTGTTCTGTTTTCATAACGAGACACTCAACATCCACACACACTTCATTCCATTGCTACTATGGAGCTCAGCGTTTGCTGGAATGTGGGTGGCTCCTGGGTGGAGCTCTACGTTGGATCGCATCATCTCCTCCATTGCTAGTATCTTGGCACCGCTTGTGTGGCTGTTTCCCAAGTGGTCAACGAGCGACATTGCGCGCTACACGCCGTTCTCAGGTACTTAGTGTCCATCTTCTGATGCATTAGTGTCTAAGTAACTTGTTCACAGCCTATACCGCATCGATATCTTCCCAGTCCCTCCCATTCTCTTATTTCTCTTCGCCGTATCCACCAATATCGCCGCAAACACCGCCTGACCCTTCTGAGAACCTCTTCACCCTTTTCGCGCTTGCTTGTCTCGCGTGTAGTGTGTTATGGCATACTATGGCCGGATGTGCGCGCCGAGGACCGATGGAGACTTGTGCCCGAATTGACTATGTCGGCATTGGCTGGCTGACGGCGACATCCATCGCGACTGTTGTTCATTACGGGTATGCCTGTGCTGAAGCTGCTGTCGAGGCGACACCGTTGGGCCACAAAGTTCTTCACCCCGCGGAGGTTTTGCAACAAATCCAGGCTCACGTGACATCACACCGGTCTGCCATGCCAGCTCCGACTTCGATTGCCTGGGCATCGCAGATTGAAGAGTCTTTGCCTGAGGTGCTGGTGTCTGGGCTTTCATCTGGTCTGTCAGTATTCTCCTCGGTCTTCTCTGCGATATACGGCGCGACGTTGGGCCAAGCGGAGTTTTTGTTGGCTTACCACCCGTTCGGCGCAGCGTGTCTCCTGCTTTGCTTCGTTTGCGGAGTCTCCGGCAATATCTTGCCGTTCTCCGAGTGGTTTAACAGGGTCGAGAACAGACTGTGGCGGATCGGGTTCTTTGTCGGTATTTCGTGCTCGGCGTTGGCACCACTTGCAGGCATTGCTGCGTTGCAAGGGCTGGATGCTACGTTGACCTTCATGGGTAGGGTTGTCGCTCAAGTATAGCGCGCAACTGACGAATTTTTTCTCAGCTCCCGTTGCACCGTCGCTCCTCTTCTACATTGTCGGTCTTGTCGTCTACGCCACGCAGTTCCCCGAATGTCTGCTCGGGCCGGATGGAAGCCGGGGGAAGAACAAGGTCGTCCGGTTCTTGGTCGACCGTTGTGGAGCAGGTAAAAAGAGACTCTGTTGAGACAACTCTTCTGACCCTCGCAACCAGGCTCGCATGCGATTTGGCATGTCTTTATTGTGTTTGCGATACGTGCACATAGAGACGGAATTAGAGAGATGCGGCGGGCAGCAGCGGAAGGAGGGTGTGCTGCTGGCGTGGCTGGGTGGTAGTGGTATCTTATTTTTCTGTGTATAATGTAGTTTATGGCCTTGTAGACCACGTAAGGGTAATGTTCAATCAAGAGCAATGTGTTTGACTGTCTGATTAGTTATTGAGGGCTACTACTTTTTAACCTGATTTTACTGATTGATTTTGATTATTGACACCTCAAGGTCTCTTACCAAGTACTAGTCGCATTGCTTGCTCCCTGTCTTGGAAATCCCGACGAACGGATGGTTCCGCATCAAAAGGTCGTGTTGCCGACACGAAAACCACAGACAGCATATTTCTTCGGGTTAGGTGGGGCATTGACCGCTGGATTCTGCTGGTTACGCCTATATTTTGATCATGTCGTTGTTCCGTTTAACTAATATCACAAGTCCTCCTGTCCTCAATCCACAACCTTCCGCAACGCACTAGATGCGAAACCCTACGCAACACGAGCTCATGCCCCCGTGGCAAAGAGGTCCGGCCCGGCAGCCTAATAAAAAGGACAACGGTGCATATAGCGACCATTAGAGGCGACGTCATAGCAAGTTTGAGGGCCGGCGCCTGCAAAACGTTAGGTAGTGTCCATCTCGACTTCAAATTCCTCCAGAGCTTACCAAAATTTGGAGTAGGTCACTGCCCACCATACCGATGCCATGGAACACACGCAGACGTCGTAGCTAGTCATGTGGCGTTCGTGCCCAACATATCTTGGCGGATTTCATCGAAAAAACAGGTCTTACATGACCAAAGGATACCTGCAAGCTGCTTGCAGCAAGCAGGCTGCCTGTTTTCATCTCGTCCGACTCGAGAGTCACGTGCAAGCAGGTAGGACTTGGCCCACCTCCCGTTCATGTTGGCACCGCATTCCCCGACTGGCACAACCCCGATCGCTATGCAGCGTAGTCAGGTAGGCAGTAGAGGACTGGGTGCGCCAACTATCAGGGGGCTCTCGTCGAAGTTGTTGGGCCTATGGTGAAATGAGACTCTCAGTCTGCGCTGCCCAGGCTTGATGATTGGCCGCTCCTAGGATATGAGAACAGCAATGGAGTTGGGTTTGGGTTTAAATGTGTTTCCTCGTCTGAAACGAGACCGCGGATGTTTGGCGGCTATACTCGGGTGTAAGAGGGTTTGTGTCGCAATCCAATTAATCCCACATGATGCGGAAATCGAAGATTCGAACCACACTTTCTGTTTACCCTGGCTTCACCGTTTATGATCATGATCATATCGAAAGCAAGTATTCAACGCTCGCGCCTGAAACACGGTTGACGTATCCACAGCGATATCGACATTGAGCGTTGATACTTCAAATCAGAAATTAGACACAAAATAGAGAGCAAGAAAAAGAAATGAGCTCTACCTTCTTCTCAGGCTGGTTCTGCCTCTCCGCCCTGTAGTTCCATCAGCTCGCCATCTTCGTTCTTTGGTGAAGTTGTTCAAGTCTCAAGAGATTAGCTACCTCAGGGATTCACAGGTGCTAATTTTTTGCTGAAGGTTTTCCGATAACATTGAGTTGTCTCCACTGCAACGGGAAGCCATCTGTCTCTCCTCGCACCACACCGTCGCCATTATAGCGGTCGTTGCCAATCCGCCCCACTGGCAGGCTTGACCTCGATCGCGCTCAGCCTTGGAGACTGACCCGCTGGTGTACCAGGCTATCGAACCATAATAGGTTTACAGCACGAATCCCGAAAATTCACATGAACCGAGACAACGTCAAGTGTTGGCTAGACGTAAGCAATGCTCCCAGTGCGCAAGGTCGTCCCGAAGGTCGCTCCATAACTACATTCCGATAAGCATTAAGCACGAAGAACACGAAGACTCGCCTCTTCAGCTAACCGATCGTCTTGGAGGGTTTTCAGCATATCTTCTTCATTATATCCAGGGTAGCGTTCCCTTAGATCGTCGACTTCGTGTCGTATTCGCTGCGCGATGAAGTACAACCGGTGACATGCATGATGACTACACGCAATCAGAAGACCGTGAAAAATTAGGTGATTTGCCCACTATTGAGAGGCTTGCTTAGCACAACGCTCCCCAACGACGAGACGGAAGCCGGGTGGGTAAAGCATCTTTTGCGCTTCCGTCCGCTTTTCCAGATCTACAGCCGTACCTGTGTTATATTGCTGGCCGGTTTCTTGCAAATCCTGAAGAACAAAACAATCAAAATACGGTCCAAACTAGTAGCATGAAACAGCCCACATAGAAGGTCTGGGGGTCGTAGAAACCCTTCGCAGTCGATAAAATCGACATTCCCATATACGAGGTGCGGCAACCGTACCTACCAGCCGTGTAACAAACATCACAATCACGGTCATGGGACGTTTCTCGTGGGCCAGCGAGATGGGGGCGTTTGTCTAATGTGTATTTGAACGGCGCAAGCCAAAACGTGCCGGCCAAAGATGTGGTGAAGGTGCTGATACGGGCGTGGAGTGCATCTTTTGCGTTTCGGAAATCGTTGACTATGAACCAAGTTGAATATAAAAGGAGCATGTGGTGAGGGGGACGAACAAGCCGCATCGGTCACTGGGAGGGTTGATTTGAATTCAAGCTTGACGATCCCAGTCAAAAACTGCTTTACAGCAGGCAGCAGGTTCGGCCCAGGAGCTTCGTCGTCATCCTCGTCATGCGTGTCTTCTGTCCCGCTTGGGTGTTGGACATCGTCGACCGCGAAGGATCCCGAGTTGTCGTTTGAGTCAGCGTCAGACTCTGGCGCAATAAAATTCTCGCTTTCCGAACCACCATTATCTTGCGTGCCTTCGTCGTCTCCAAGTTCTGAGCTCTGGGAGTGTTCAAGTTCATCAAGATTTGTTCTATCTGAAGGCTCCAAGCTCAGTCCTGCCTGCTTTCGCTGTCGCTGTCGAGTATAGCTGTCGATGTTCTCTTGTCTGCGAACTTGCCGAGTCGTTCTTGGAGATGCAGGAGAAGGAGATTTGGACACTAGACTGGAATCAGAACCTACACTCAAACATGCTGGTGAAACATGCATCGTAAATCATCCACCTCCGTCTGAGAAATTCTATGCTCCTCTGGTGTGGAGTATCCATCCTCCTCCTCCTCAGCTAATGAGTGCTGGCTTGTGCCAGTCTCGTTGTCTTGCTCACTGGTAGTGTTATCCTCAAACAGCTCGCTTGGGTTGTGGGTGATCTCGGCTCGACGTCGTTTCGCTTGTGGCCCTTGGCTTTCCGGCTCTGGTGAGCTTGAATCGACCCTCAAGCGCTTTGCGGGTTTTCTCGTTCTCTTGGAAGGAGACTCAGACATAGTTTCGTCTAAATCATCTGGTGTTTGTCGCATGGGCTCCTTCCTGACAGGAAGAAAGTCGTCGGCTTCAGGAGAGCTGGAATGGACCCTCCTCGGAGGCATGTTTTAAGTTAAAAACGATCGCTGTCGTGGTGGTGGGATGTTAAGATAGGACGCGTGTGTCATCAGGATCACTAGCCGCTCACGCGTGACATAACGGTCATGTGATCATTGATGTCTGATTCTCAGCAACCACCCGTCCTGAAAGCATCTGTCCACGATCTGCGATACTTCTCTACCCTGCTGCGAGGCGTCAACTTTGTCAATGTCACTACGCCCAAACTGAACCGCCTTCACTATTAACCTCCTTTCAGCGTGCCACGGTCACAATTACCCAGACGGGCTTCGTTGTTGTCGTTGAAGAGGCGCGAACATTGCTCGGTGCGGGTACAAAGCTAGCGAGAACGCTCTGCTGACCTAATTTACAGCTACGGCGTATATATTCTCCGAGATTTTTGACGAATACACATACAACTCAGATTCAACTGAGCAAACTGTGGCACACTCTCAAGGCTCTGACGGCGACGAAAGCCAGAAGCTTGAGGAGAATGCTGCCTTCGAAATATCACTTAACACGCTGATTGAATGCCTCAATATCTTTGGAACGGCCGGAAACAACAGTACAGCCAAGCAGGGCCGCTTTACACAGTGGAAGCAAGATGGGGGCTCGGATGATGAGGTCGATGCTGACGAAGACGACAACGCGCGTGGAAAAGACAGAAGACGCTCGACTGCCAAAGGTATTGACCAGTATTTTGGTGGGTCAGGGAAGGGAACTGGCATGCGGATGAGCTACCCAGGATCTGGCTATCCCTTAACGCTTCTAATGTGGGTATGATTTTACTGGTTTCTTCTTCTCGTGACAATCGTTATAGAATGGAAGACTCAGCGGGCCCAACTACAACCTGTGAACTAACAACATACGAAGCCGAACCTCATCTTGAGTTGCCTTTCGTGGCTGAACGCACGTTGGTTGAGGAAACTCAGAGTTTGAAGTAAGACTGACTGTTATCAGGGTACTTAAAATCATTCTCAAGTCCTCCTGGCTCCGCGATGCCCTTTCCGAGATCGACTCTTCATGCGAGAAACTCACCTTCATCGGCAACCCACCACCAGATACGGCTGTCAACGGGAGACAACGGGCACCCTTACGTACTTCGATTGCGCCGCTACTGCGTATTCAAGCGTCAGGAACCTTTGGCAGTACCGAGGTGAGGACAAGCAACTGTGCTCGTCCGCTATAAACTGTGTCGATAGATGGAATATCCCAACGACCGAGAGGTGTTGGAGTCCTTTGAATGCATTCAGCCTGTGCGCTTCAGGTTGGTAACAGTTTTCCAAGCCCGTTGCCATTTTCTGACACTCCCAGTTACCGTGTGGCGCATATAAACCGAACACTTCGTGCCTTGCAGAGCTCCAGTAAAACCTCTCTCAGGATAGACGATGAAGGTCTGCTCAGCCTACAATTTCTCATGCCCGCGCCACGCAAACCGAACAAACCGGATGGTAGCTCTGATGGGTTCATTGAGTTTCGAGTCAGTTTTTGCAATTCTTGACCACTGGGTGTCTTTATTGATTCTATTTCAAGTGTTTGCCGCTGGACGATGAAGTCCACTAGATTGTAGTCGTGTAGCAACAACGCTCGGTTGGCGCCGACACCCAATCAGAGAGCGAGAAGAACAATTGATGTGATCACCCAGATGACATGTGATCTACGCAGGTTCATCTCCAACTTACTGTTTGCTTCCGTATAGGACGACAAGTTTACAACTCGATATCGATAACCAGTGAACTCGGAAACTCTTTCCGACGTATCAGCAAAGTACCAGGCTCGATAGCTCATGCAATGGAGACATTAATCCCCTTAATATAAGCCAACACCGACAAACATTGCACAGACCAAAAGGAGGAGGGTCCCCTGAGTGTCGTCGCTAAACTATCTACTATAGAGTTCTCACTGATATCTTTGCTCATGGACGTTATAGTTGCTATGTTCGAGGCTTCTCTCGCACCTCCATGTCAGTCGTTGACCCACACGACTTCCTACCACATCTTATCCTATGGAACACGTTCAACACGTTCGCGGCAGTAGGCAACACTACATTGTTCATCGTCAGCATCCTCAGTCGAAATACCCACAATCTGGTCCTCCTCAACCTTATCCTCGCCTTCATCATTGTCTCCATTTCCTCTAGCGTCATCGCATGGTCGGGAAACGCGTTGAATCTGAATCCGCCTTTCGGGATATGCCTTTGGAGTGGTGCTATCGCGCTCAGCAATGTTCCACTCATAGGAGCCTCTGCGTTAGGGCTAGGTTTGAAGGTCTGGGCCAGTGTTATGATGACCGGCTTTCCGGCCTGGCGCGGGGTTTTGGAATGGGCCAGCTGGACTCCATTAGTGCGTTATCTGCTATTCGTTGCGTCCTTTCCTGAAATCAACCCCCCTAGTTATTGCTACTGCCTATTGTGTCCGCAGTGCCTGTGTTTTGTGTTAGTCTTGTGATTGGCCTCAACAATCGGAGTATCGTTTATCGGGGCTCGCCGTTGTACTGCATTGTCGACCACAGTCCACTGTGCGCCATTTCCTTCGCTTGAACTAATTCCGTCTGAAAATATTGATTCAGACAGAACATTTCTCTGGGATTGGGTGCTGCATATTCTCTAACATGTCTATGTTTGACTGCCTGGATTGTCATCCGCCTCCTCTACATGCGCTGGCGCATTCGTCGAATAATCAATCACGTGCACGGTGGGATCTCATATTCACTCATCCTCCGGACCGTGGTGTTTTCGCTGTTTGTGGGCGTTGCTGTTGTGTGAGTATCATGCAAACTGACCGAAAGCATGCACTAAACGTTTTCAGAGCCAACATGATCTCATTCACATCAAGTTTCTCTGCAATCATGCCGGACGTCGTCTTTTCTACCTGCAACGTCGCAACGTTTTTCATCTTTTCCACTACCAAGGTCCGTTCCTCGCATGGCCCTATAACTTGGTTTTATCCCCCTATAGCCGATACTCACTTTTGTTTTCCGATGCCAACGAATGGCTACGACTGTGCCGACATCACCAACAAACCCTGCGTCCTCGATCCCGTGGCGTCCCTTCCCAGCAGATCGCGCAGTCTCGACAGGCGACCCTCCTCAAGAACTAATCACCTTCCACATCACTGACAGTGACCGAAAGCGCAGCACGGTCACTTTGGACTCTGACTCGGCGGATTTGAAAGATCCGGAAAGTACGAAAAACACATTGGGGAGGAAGGCGGCGATGCCTAACGTCTGAAGGACCGGCTAACCGACGGCATAACTTTGTAAGATATATGTAGCTATAGGATCAATAAAGCAGAGTTTACAAGTCTTCTGTTCTCGACTTCTCGTTGCGGAGAACGTAGTCCAAGTTTGCAAAAGATTTGTGGAGAAGGTAAAATCATATCGAATCAGGGTACCATCCGGTCCGTCTCTCGCTATGTCGTTCAAGGTTACTTATAGCAACTTCTCAGTTTTTCCTTGATTGCCACGTGACATTTGAATGCGTCCAGATAACTTCCTTTCATCCAACCAACTCGCTTCATAAAGTTCACCGTACATAAGACTGCGGCCCGGCCCCGGCACTGCAGAAGAAGCTAGTCGTAGTCTATCACTATGGCGTCCATGAAAATGTCGGCGACATAATCTCCAGCTCTCCAATGGGTGACTCGGAGCGCCATTCTTTTTTTACCTTCTTCAGCGCTGGATGACTATCCACAGGACGCAGCATCTTGCTACTGCTCCTTTTTTCTGTGCCGGCATATCTAGCTGCGAATTTCGAGGTACTACTCCTCCTTGTGCCGACTTGGTGCCGACATCCGAGGAACGGCTACCAACACACGCACTTGCAGGAATAATAGCCGTCATCTATGGCTTCCCTAAACTTTGCGTGGGTGACTCTAAGTAGTATGTCTCTTCCTTGTCTCCCGCAGTCAGACTGTGAATTTGGTCTGAGAGGGGGAGACTGTGACGACCAAAATAACAGTCTCTTCCAGTTCAGCGGCTGCTACGACCGATGTTGGTGCAACTCGTCGGTTCTCTACTGTCGAGAAAACGCGTCCAACGTTATTCACGTGTCTCCTTCAGACGTTGCGGCGCCACACTTGCCATGGATCAAGGTGTCGCTCTTGCCAATTATATTTCTGGGTTTCCGAGTCGAACTCTCCCGAATTAGAGCATCTTGCACTCTTGATCACATACTTATCATACATAACTTGTCCTGTGGACTCTATCTGAAGATTTTTCTGCACATAGCGATGCTTTAAAAGGTGCCTTAAGGACGTCACAGTTTTGCGTGAATCGAACCTTTTTTTTGCGTGTCTGACTAATAGATCAAATCTATCAGATGCGGCTGACAACGGAACAAGCCTGTCAATCAACTGTCAGTCCTCTCCTCCTTTCATGATTGTGAACCACTACTTGTTCCGCGCTGGCATATCATTGGCATTTGGAAACTCTCGTCGACGTCCGACGGTCCGCAACGTCACCGAATAACAGAGGAGAGTAACCACAATGCCAAGCATGGGACATCTGGCCCAAAAATCTCCCCTTACTAAAGCTAAACTATCTCCCGAATGCACATTTTATGTCGGCGCCCTCATCGCCCCGACAGTGCTTTCTTTTCTTCCACCTCAATGCCAATCATCGACCCACAAGACTACCTCCCGCATCTCATCTTATGGAACGTCTTCAACACATTTGGAGCAGCAAGCCACACAATACTTCTCGTCGTCTCCATCCTTAGCGGCAATACTAGCAATCTGGTCCTCCTTAATCTCATCTTTGGCTTCATCATAGCCTCGATTTCCTCCAGCATGATGGCGTGGTCAGGGCATGCGCTCGATTTACATCCGCCGTTTGGGATATGCCTCTGGAGTGGTGTTGTCGCCATGAGCGATGTTCCACTCATAGGGGGCTCTGCTTTGTCGCTCATATTGAGGGTTTGGGGAAGCGTCATGATTGTCGGGCACCCAGCGTGGCGCGGCGTCCTGGAGTGGGTCATCTGGACCCCATTTGTGCGTTATCTGATATTGTAGCGTTTCTCGCTGACCTTCTTCTAGTTATTATTGCTGCCCATGGTGTCCGCCGTCGCTTTATTCTGCGTAGGAATCGCAATGGGCATCAATAACCGGAGCATTGTTTACCGAGGCGGTCCATTTTACTGCACCGTCGATCACACTCCTTTGTGCGTTTTACACCTCTACTGTTTCTAGCCTGACGTTATTGAGCTAGACAGGACGCTTCATTGGGTTTCGGGGCAGCCTATACATTCTTAAGCTTGTTTTTTGCTGCTTGGATCGTCATTCGCCTCCTCCTCACACGCTGGCGCATTCGTCGCTTGATTGACTATGGTGGAATTTCTTATCCATTCATCATCCGTACACTACTGTTTTCATGCGTCGTTGGCGTTGCCTTTGTGTGAGCATTCTTGTCAATTATCCCAAAAACTACTGAGAGCATGAACAGTGTCGGCATCCTCTCATTTGCATCAACCTTTTCCGCCATTGTGCCAGACGTTGTCCTGTCATCCTGCAGCGTCGCCGCGTTTTTCATTTTCTGTACTTCCAAGGTGTGGAACGTTCGGTTCTTCGTGCATCTCAACAGCCCCTATCCTAGCCGATACTCGATTTCGTTTTCCAGTGTCGACGGGTGACCACAACCGCCAGCAGTGTCAATGTGACGCCCTCAACACCAACATCTCTCGTGACGCCGTGGCAGCGAACCGTAGTCCGTAAGGGATCACACGTCGAACCCACCCAAGAGCTTCATTCCTTCTCCGCCAGCGATCAGAGTAGCAGCGCGACTCAGAAGCGCACAGCGGACGATGCACCATGGGTTTGAAAAAAAAAGCGAATAGAGAGAGGGGGAGTGTTAATTTGGAAGGGCTATGATCTAGGAATATCGAACGGTCGACCTTTGAAATACTATTTTGCCTGTACTATTGGTAGATGCCATGTAATGTAACGTGGCCCGGGCCGAGCCGGGTCGGTAGGCGCAGTTCGAAATGTTCAAACTTCTGTGATGGCATTTTCCGAGCCCTTGTCTCTTCGTCTCCATGGATCTCGCGAGCGCAAGTCCGGTGCCCATAAAAGTCAGAACTGCTTGGATGCACTGAGCATTGCTCATTTAAGCTTTTCATCTTTGACAGTATGGTTTACAATCGCTGTTGAGCACTGGCCTTGGCCGTTCGTTCCCTCTGGCGGTTGGGACGTCCTACGAGAAAGAGGAGGTGCCAGACCCAGAAATAGCGCTTGCAGAACTTGGCACGATTCGCATTCCAGTCGACGAGGCTGACGCTTTAGCCCTCATTTCAAGTGCGACCGTAAAGGCCCACCGGCCTGTCAACGAGACGCCAGGGTCTCCGTCTGAGAGCCTCAATATCCCTGGTATATGGGAAATACCGGCGGACAAGGTGGGCAGCACATTTGCCTTTATAAACAAGCTCAAAAACATAGGTTTCGGTTTCCAACTCCGTATTTCTCGACTGGCTGCAAGATGTGGGCGGACCCGAATCACTCGACTGCATTGGCGCATCCGAACAAAGTGGAAGAGTGCAATACGTTCTCAAGGGTTTGGTGATCCACGAGGCCTCACAGTACGCCTTTTCCTTTGTGCCGTCAACAAGTCTTTTGTTGACGAAGCAAAAAAGACTTGCTCGCAGAACAATTCAAACCAGCAGCAACAAATTAGGAGAGCTCGTCGTGATCCTCCCGTGCTCTTACACTGACGGAAACATTACTCATGCGCATCTCGACGAGGATTTCCCACTGGACCTGACCCAAGACTGCAACAGACGCAAACAAACTTTTTCGGTCATCTCAGCTCACGCCGGTGTGGTCGAAATCGTCTCCCCAGTCACTACCGGATTCCGCGTCTCTCTGCTTTACGACATACTTCATGACGGTAGTTGGCTGTTGCCCAGTCTCCTCAGCCCCAAGCAAAGACTAATTCGTCTTCTTTCGCCGTGGGCATCGCAAGTCGTTTCGACATGGAGCTACCCACACGGTGTTCTCGGTTGCCTACTCAAGCACAGTTACACCCATTCGGCCGCGTTTGATAGTTCTTCGCTTGCGGGAACATCCGACGAGCTGTTGTTCAAACTATTCTGCATCGTCGCCCGCGAGTTGGGCTTCCATATATTTTTCGGGCAGATTGAACTTCTTGTCCGCAGCGAGGTCGCACGCGAGTTGAACCGGCAGTTTTGGGACTCTGAGATCGAGAAGGCCAGCATTGCAACGATATTCGACGTGAACGGGATCCCAGTCGCGGTCGAGGAACTTGAACAAGGGTTGATACAGCAAGAAAATCTAGTCATACAAGACGGCATCCAACTTGAACCGGCAATTTCGGTTACCTACAGCGCCGAGGTGAGCCAGGTGACTTTAGTGGTATGTTGAGCTGATGGTTGAACAGAAGACCCACATATTCTCAAGTAAGCTTTCGTCATTTCCGCATGTAAAACGAAAGCAGTGTCATCCGTCTTTCAGTGTATCGTCACACCGGCTTATTACTGTGGCCACACAGCACGAAGGGGCTTTCCGTCAAGGCGGCCGACAAAATCGTCGAATACGCGCAAGAGGTGCTTGAAGATAGCCAGACGATGACACCTAGTCGCAAAGAAAAGGTGTTGTTTAACGCATTGTTGGGCTGGTGCAAGAGCCAGGACAGTGACGCAGTGGTATTACCTGCCCGCCTTCTCCAGAAATGTAGCCGGCAATGGTGGGATCCAGAGCTCTTCTTTCGCGCGGCGCTGGCTTGCGGCTGTGACAAGTCCATCGCAGTCTTGGGCCCAGAGGGTTACGTGTCGGCATATCTCGAGTTTGGGTGGCTCAATTCGATTCGAAATCTGTGAGTGGTATGATTAGTTTGATTCCTTGAACAATTTGAATGGAACATAATTCGCGTAGGTGCGAAGCAGCACTCATCAACGACAACTCCAAACTCCGAAAATGGTGTTTAATTGTATGCTTATGGGAGAAGGCGATGCTGTATGGCGATTTGCAGCTCGAAGCGTGGTGTGAGGGCCATCAGTCACGACTCTTATCTTCGTTGGCAGAGCTGCAACCCAGCGACATACCGTGGCTGATGTCCCTTTGCATGTCTGGGGGCGGCAAGTATCTGAGAAATGTGTAAGCGGGCGAAGATTTCTCCGGTTTGATACTTAGGTTTCCAACAGAATATATCCCCACCTTGTGAGCCAATGGCTTCCTATTGAAGCATTCTGGATTCCTTTTATGAGGGGTCTTCACGAGCATCGAGCACGGATACCATACCTTGAAGATCCCAAGGCCGTATACGATGTCATTGAACTGGCAATTCAGCACGTCACAGCATGCCTCTCCCCGTTCCCAACCAAGTTTGTCGGCGACGAGGAAGTTCAAGACGTCAACATCGTCGCAGAGCTTATGTGCTGCTGTCTCGAGATAGATCACGGGACAAGCATTTGTGTCGCTCTCACCTCCAAGATGCACGACGCCGCTGCAAGAGGAGAATGGCCAAAACCGTCTCCATGGCCATATTACGACGTCATGGTTGACATAATCCGGAAGCATTACGCAGGAGAGCCATGCCAATCCTGTGCAGATTCCCATGGGAATTTCCTATAGGAAAGGTTTATTTTCCTACAGGAAGGGTTTTATTTCCTACAGGATAGTTGTGTTTCCTGTAGGTTTCTTGACTGCAATGGAGAATAATATATATACGGTTCATAAGAAAGGTTCATTCCTACAGGATATATTTCCTGCAGGAAAAAACCCCTGCAGGTCCTATAGGAAACTTGAAAACAATGGGATTTCACTAATAATATAGATTCTGTAGGATGATCAAGAATCCTATAGAATGAATATAGATCCTGCAGTAAGAAGAGAAAGGCTCCTATAGGAAGGTTAAGGAAATAAAGAGGCTAGTAGCATAAATAAGAACTATAATATATATGACGATTCTAGAGGAAAGAATCTGAATACACTCTTTATTGCAATGAGTTTAGCATTTGTCCAGCTTCCTAGCTTAGTTAGATCTTCTGGTGTTGAGATATTTACTGCTCTGTGTTCAATTCTGCTTTCTAGCTTTTTGTCCACTGGCTTACCTATCAAATGTATCCTGCAGGATTAATTCCACTCCAGTTTCCTGTAGGACAGGTTACTTTCCTATAGGATAACTTGAGGTCTTTTCCTATAGGATACTTGAGGTCTTTCCTACAGGATACATTGCTTTCCTATAGGATAACTTGAGCATGTCTTCCTATAGGATATATTGTGTTCCTATAGGATAACTTGAGGGTCTTTCCTATAGGATACATTGCTTTCCTATAGGATAGATCTCCTATGACTTTATTATTTTTACAGAGTCGTTAACTCGTTCTAAAGGAACTGTGACTTCTGTATATGATAACAAGACAAAATTGGCCAAGTCATAATATCCTATAGGAAAAACACCATCATGTGATCAGTACACATTCCTGTAGGAAGCATGAGTTACGCGTCTTGATTCAAAGTTTTCTGTCTGGCTCTCTTAATTTGTGACATATAAACCTTCTCCCCCCCAATATGAGCAGTCCACCACCAGCACTGCTACCAGCTCTTGGCTCCACCTGCCAGAATTGTCATAGAGGCACTATTCTATTCAGCAGACGTGCTTTTGGCAAAAACAATATAGAGCATCATAGTCAATATTATATCAAGGTATGCGACTTTTCATGTTCTAACTTCAAACTCATGTTCCTTCCAATAGTGTTCTAATAATTATTATGACTTTGGAGGTATATTGCCTGTTAGTGGTTGGCTCTCACAAGGAGCTCTGGACGCAAAATGTAATGGGTTTTGGTGGGTGCCAGAGGGTACCCATACTAAGGTGTGCAACCATACTCTTTATTCATTATAAGGTTCTGACATGGGGTAGCCAACAGGTTCTACCGCATGCCAGGGCAGTCACTGCAATGGCAAGGGGGCCAGAAATGCAAGTTGCACTCACTGGCTATGTAAACTCTGCTGTATAGGCTATGCTCAGGCATATTCTGGGTATCATTGCTGTGCCCTCAGTACACACCACACCTCCTTCCCAATTGCTATTGGCCCTAGGCTTCCAACAACGCCCACAACAGTGCCACTGAGCAGTTTGATGCCATCAACACCTGCATCGATATCCACTCCCGCCACCAGTACCGACTCTCTCTCCTTGAGTGTTCAGCCAGCTATCCCAGGTGAGTTACATCTTATATAGAAATTCAATATAAACCTCTTTGCAGGTTCAAGTCAAGACATTATATCGAATACCCCTACATCTACTATATCTGCGACACGCTCACTACCCCCTTCATGGACATAATCTCTCTCCTTATTGGCGTAGCTTACCCCAAGACTTCATTGAAAACTCTCTATCGAAATCTAAGTCATCTAGTTTGAATTCCTATCCCGAGGGGCAAAATCGAACAATTGAAGTGGCGTGGTACAAGGTATGCCTTTGGCTTCACTCTATATTCATTATGGTCAAGCTAACATTTAATAGAGTTTGGAGGATGATGTCAGGGGAACCTCCCTTTCGGCCCGGAGACGCGTCCGATTCCAGTCCGATTCCGGTTCCGACTCCGGTCCGGCCCTCCATCTCGCCCCGCACAATCACCGATCCGTCAACGCCCTCCCGACGGTCGCCCTGGGACCTTGCCTGCGACGCCGCCCAAGCCTTCTGTGCCCGACAGCGACAGCTACGGACAAGCAGTATATAGTCAGCTCCCTAGCAGGCGGACCCTTAGAGTTTCTTCTCTTTGGATCCTCCCCTGCTAGGTCAGCTTCATTTGTATTCGCTTACCAATGTTCACGCTTTAGATCCTCCCCTGCTAGGACCTTGATCTCAGGCCTCCGGGGTTGCCCTTACAGATGAAATGCCTGTCTATTGTACAACATCTGCACCTAAATTTCCCACTTTCCATCCCAGCGAATCACTTCTAGTTCAAAGGGTTTCGGGACTGAAAGCTGAAGAGTTGACCGTATACTGCGTGCTAGTCAAGAATGTCTGGATTGGCCGTGATACACCTCTTACTAGTCTTTCTCAAGGTCAAAAGGTTATTTTAGGACCCTTTGCTTTTCATGGTAAACGCAATGAGTCGGTGCCTGGGCCCCAGTTACTCGACTTCAGCAAGAGCAAGGACAACTTAATAGAATAGAAGTTGAAAAAGAGAAGCCTTACAACGGCAGTACAATGGGACCTCATAGACTGGTAATACACCATTCCGGAGAGTATAAAGCCGGGCAAAGACTGTATATGGGTTTCCAAGACGGTAGCCCCTGTGATCACATTTAAGATTTTGACATTGCCTATAGGGAGGCAATAGCATATAAGCCCCTGAAAAAGGCGAGATTTACAGAGAGATAAAGATAGTAATTTATACCTAATTGCCGAACCTAAGGTTTGGCTCTATAGAATCATGTTGAAACCAGCCCCCCCATATCGGGAATGGCTGTGCATTTCTATAACCCTTTTGGGACGAGCTACGTCATATCATGTGGTGCTGGCCACAGTCTTCCTTGGCTTATTATGTAAGGTTCAGCACCTGCCGCTTGCGGCCTTATCCCTCCTCATTTATGTTCTGGTCCATGCACTTTTAGGTATTCATCGACCTCTTGCTGAAGTAACAACCCCTTCCAAGTCTCAATATGATCTCTGAGAGTCTCCCATAGCAATGAGACTTCATGTGGTGAACCCACTAAAGTGGCTAGCAAATCTGCAACATCCTTTAGAAGACTAAGTGACTGGCCAGCATATTTCGGCTGATGAGATAGCTTGATATAATCTCAAAGTCTTTTGACTATAGATATGTAAAGGAGGAGGTTATGCAGCTGTTCAGGTGCTGCTAGTGCCATTTGTGCAAGTTCAGAGAGAGCTATAGCCATGAGAGCTGAGAACAAGAGTTATCAAGATATCATCAAGATAAGAACGCTTTGATTTATAATATACTTTTCCTATAGGATGAATCTCACTGGTTCCTGCAGGATTGTTTCAAAATATTCCTATAGGATGAATCCTATAGTTTCCTGCAGGATTGTTCTTCCTACAGGATTGGTTTCAGAAATTTCCTACAGGATAATCACATAGTTACCTGCAGGATTGTTTCTTAGAGCTTCCTACGGGATTTTTTTTTTTTCAAAATTTTCCTATAGGATAACTAACTATCTTCCTGTAGGATAAGTTTCTTAGTTTCCTGCAGGGTACTTTCCTACAGGCCTTCGATTTACCATTTCGGGTTACCTACAGTATATATACAGTATCCTATAGGAAGTAATGTAGGCTTCCTGCAGGAAATTCCCATGGGACAGTCCCATGGGAACGTGCATAGGATTGGCACCTTTCTGTTACGCAGATGACTGCGAACACCACAGCCTGTGGTATCGTCAATTTTTCCAAGATGCGACAATATTTTTGCTGTCACCTCATAGCCTTGCAGAAAAACGAATGGTGTTTCCTTGGGAATTCACCGAGACAACACTTGCAAAAATTGTCGATGTTGTAGCCCGCGCTGGGGGGATGCCCTTCTTGAACAGCTTGTGAGTATAAAATTGAAACCAAGTGCGAATTAACAGACTAACCTAGAGACACAGATTACTCGTTCAGCCGCATCTATTACATGGACGCGATTCCGATTCGTTGAAAGCATTCGCGAAAACTATCTTGAGCAAATTTTCCGTCGTGGGCGGCGGCCGCGAATTCAAGGTGGTGAAAGATTTCCTTCTCGATGCGGCCATGAGCGCCGAAGACCTTGAAAATATAAAAAGTGACAAGGTAACCGAGAACATCAAATTTTGCCTGGAGCATGACGCGTCTGCGCCAACCTATGAGCGTTTCTTGCTGAGAATTACAACGACTCCTCGGGGAATGGCCAACGATAGATATGTCCTTACGGTGCTCGTTCCGACCTTGATCAGTCTGCAGCGCGTTCTTCAGTCTTACGGCTTGTCTTGGGAGAGCCCCGCATTCAAAAGGTTTGCACAAAATGTGGTCCTTTCATTCGCCAGATGTGCAACATATATCCCCGCACAACATCTTCAGACGATCCAAATTGGTTGCTCCGAAGCTTCCTGTGCTGATTGCCCAGCACTCAGAGACTTTCTCTTTGCAGAAAATCAGCATAGTTCTATCACGTTTCAGAGGAAAGACAAATTGCGGAACCATATCATCACAGGGCTGAAATTAGCACCGCTGGACCAGCTTGGGGTGACATGGGAGACCCTCAAAACGTCGACGCCATATATGTTAAAGGTGCGCGGGTATTTCTGAACAACGAACCACAAAGGTCATTGACTGCTTTGCAGATACACAAGCGAACCAGTTTAGTGTCACCAGAGCTCCGACTTCAAGGTGTTGGATTGCTGACGCTTCTGGGGGATCGGGAAGCCCAGAAAAAGATACTGCAAGATAACTTCGCGCGGGTATGGGCCACTTTTAACGATGTTAACACGGCGGGCGAGTCGAAGAAGCACAAGGCCGCAGTAGTAACGCGTTCCTCGTGAAGTCGAGAAAAGTGGATGTGTGTGTAGTAATCAGAAGTGTGTGACGCCATCAAAACGGGACTCTTCTTGAATTGCCACCCTCACGCCTTTGAGAGAATTGTCTGGTGACCGCTCATGCCCTCAAATATACAGAAATGCCGGTATCGGATGACTTCGACTCCCCACACCCACTATGTCTAATAGTGTGGACAACAAACGACAGCTCGCTCGCACCGACTCGTTTCTCGACAACGAACATGTACCACTCACCTGGAGGTCCTGGGTGGTCGTGGGGATCTCCTGCTTTGCCATCTTCGTTCAAGTCTTCGTTGTCGTGGCAGCAGGCTCGGTCATAGCATTCATCATAAGAGATTTGGGCGAGCCAGAAATCGCGGGTTGGATCATCCAAGGACCGTTGTTGATTCAAAGCGTTCTTTCTCCAATCGTTGGCCGTCTTTCCGATGTCCTGGACCGCAAATATCTGTCAGGTATTCCTCCTCTCATTGCATTTGCTGGAGCAGTGGTACTTTGGCTCTTGTGCTTCAACTCAAGTCAAGTCTCACCAAGTTGTAGATGTCAGCCAAAGTATCCTTCCTAGTCTTCATTCTGGCTATCATGGAACTCAGTCTCTCTTCAGGCTCAAAATATGACCGTACTGATTGGCGGAGGCATCTTAATTGGGACAACGCTTAGCACCATTGCTATCGTCCAAGCAATCCCATCTGAAGTTCTGCCACTGAAGTACCGCGCTCTCGCGAATGGTTGTGCATTTCTTGCAGGCTCTTTTGGTATGATTCATGTCTAATCTCCTCCGCCTTTCTGAAAACTGTTCCTCAACAGGCGGGTTGGTTGGAGTGCTGGGTTCTGGAGGCGTGACGAACATGAATCCATCTGGCTGGGTGGGTATTCATCCGGCGAAAATTAATATCCGGCACTCATTCGACTCAGAGGAATATATTCTGGATTCAAGCTGCTTTTCATGCAACGACAGCCATTGGTCTGCTCGGCTTTTACTGGCCACCACCCTCTGGTTACCCTCGTCTCAACACCCGCGAGCTCATCTGGGCTTGTGATCCTATAGGCTCCGTCCTGATGACCGGTGGGACCACATTGCTCCTTCTTGCATTCGATTGGGCTGGGGGAACATTTTCCTGGCACGATACGCACGTTGTCGCGCCGCTCGTGATTGGGGTTGTCCTTCTTTTGCTCTTCTGTCTGTATGAATGGAAGGGCAGGACAGACGGGATTGTCGCTCATGTCTTCTTCTCTCGCGGACCGAACTTCCTTCTCTCCGTTTTCGCCTTCGCTGTCGAAGGTTTCGTGTTCTATAGCGCAGTCAACTCAGTGGTGCCACAAATCGTCCTCAATCTTGGATTCGAGTCGAATGCATGGCGGATTAGTGTGCGTCAGCTGTCGTACAACCTGCTGATAATCACGACCTCAATTCCTGTCACGTGCGTATTTTACATTTCGCCGCAGCTTGGTCTCAACGGTGTTTGCACAGATGGTACGCAACAAAATACAAAGACCTGAAAGGCCCTCTTTTGGTGACTTTTTCGTTCTTCCTCATCGTGTTGGTCTTATCTGCGTATATCGGAGTCTTCTAATGTTTCCCTCACAGCTCCATATGCTATGCCACGATCACTCCCCAGCTCAACCACGCCCAAATCGTCTACAACATCCTCGCTGGCATCGGACAATCTGGCCCACTAACTCTCATTGTTGCTCTCACCCAATTTACCGCGCCACATCAGTATCTGGTCTGTCATAACCCTTTCACCCGTTGACGTATTTTGAGATGTTCCTTCTAGTCTACTGCAACTGGGCTGGCTTTCAGTGCGCGCGCGATTGGTGGTGCTTTTGGCAGCGCAATCTTGGACGCCATTATCAACAATAAACTTACATCGTACGCTCAAGATGTTGGCGGGGCTGCAGTCTCCGCTGGTTTACCGACAAGCTCCGCCCCAGCACTCATCGAAGCACTGCGTGCTGGTGGTCCCGTAACACCAGAAGCCGTCCCTGGAATTTCACCCACAATAATTGCCGCCGCACTTGACAAGTCGCATCATGTATACGCTCGTGCCTACCGGTTTGCCTGGATTCCCATTATCCCGTTCGTGATTCTGGCCATGGTCGCAATCGTGTGTCTTCAGGACGTGAAGGACCTTATGACGGAGCATGTGGAGGCCACAGTCGAGCATATGGAGGCTCCATTACAAGAGCAGGAGGAGAAGGTTGCGCCAGAGATGGTAGAATCAGTATAAGTGAGAATGGGGAGGCTATTAACGCTACATGATTCGACATGCCCCAGTCAGATGGAACTAGTACTTTGAGGGCCAAATTGGATTCGTGGATATGTGCTAGTCACGTGCTCTTCTCTTGTTCTTGTTATGACCTCGACCACATCTCCAACTGGCTTCATTCCTGAACCAGACCTACCTGTCTACGATCCTACCTACGATCCGCTTGGATATGGTGTGCTTGGGGTATGTCGTGAAATAAACCAGCTGTGCCACCGGTATGAGAACCACCAACAGGCCGACTGGGGCACGCCCTACGCGAAACCACTCAAGGATCACGTCAAGGCTATTGATATCGAAGGAACTCCGTACACATCTGTACTGTGGGCCAACGGCGCAACCAGAGTGGCCGGACTTTGGCATTTCCATATCGCTCTAAGCACCGCGCCACTGGAGCCCCTGTACATCGACTCCCTGCAGAAGAAGGGCGTTGAGCTGCTGCAAATGGGAGACAAGGGGTGGCTCCGCGGCGACGGTGACTGGGGTAACCTTTTTTTCATTTCATCTTTCGCACCGCACGATTGCTCAGTCCACTGTAGAGGAAAGCAAGACTTTGCACGGCACCACGGGCCACCAAATCGCCCTTCGCATCAACGGAATTGATTACGAAGTCGAGCCGTTTCCGATTGCGCCTCATATCGACGTGACTGCTGACTACCGCAAGCCAAGTAGACTTCGAACGCTCGAAGTATAAGCTTAGTTTCAACATTCTGCTTACCTCCTGGATCATGCAATCTAATCTTATCTTAAACTCACTCCTACTTGGTGGGGGATGTCGTTCCGAGCAAGGCAATCCGGCACCCGTCAGCGAGCATGGCCAGCCAAAATTCGCATTCAAGGGGTATAAAATTGTAGACTAGTCCAACGCAAAGTGGTCCGAAAGCAGATACTTTGCTGAAACAATGCTAGATAGAGCGGTTGGCTTCGTCAAGTGTTGCCTTTGAGCCGGAAACCTTCCCAACTTGAATGTGCAAGGTCGTCCTGAAGGTTGCCCCACAGCTTTAACCGGATGAGCCATAGAACACAAAAAAGCAGTAGCACTTGCCTTATGAGCCAACTGATCTTCATCCAGTGTTTCCAGCATACGTTCCTCGTTATATTCAGAATATTGCTCCCGCAGATGCTCGACTTCGTGGCGTATTCGCTGTGCAATGTGGTACAACCGATGACGGACGTAATGGCTATCCACAGTAAAAAAGGTTGCTCGACCCTTGGAAAGGATTATGCCTACTATTGGGACGCCTGGCTAGCACAACGTTCACCGATAACCAGCGGAAAGCAGGGCGGATAAAGCATCTTCTGCGCCTCGGTCCGTTTTTTCAGATCTGCTGCGGTACCTGTGCCATATTGCTGGCTAGTCTCTTGAACATCCTATCGTTTGCATAAGGAAAGCTCGACCGAATTCATTAATGAAATCGACTCACCATGAAAGTCTCGGGGTCGTAAAAACCCTTTGCGGTCGATACTATCGACATACGAGAGGTGCGACAAGAATGCGTCCCGGCAGAGTAACAAGCATCACACTTGCGTTCCTCGAGACTGTTCTGAACGGACGTTGCGGTGGGACCGTTGAGCTGACCTCGTCTGTCTAACGTGTACTTGAAAGGGGCGATCCAAGTGGCTCCGCCAAAAATTGGGAGGAAAGTTTCGATGCGAGACTCCAATAAGTGCTTCGCGTCCAAGTAGTCCTTCACTATAAAAGGGGTTGAGTACATGTACAGAAGACGGGGATGGATGGAGACGAACAAGCCGCTGGGTTGGTGACCAAAATATCAGGAATAAACGCGAGTTTGACAATTCCTTGCACGAACTGCCTCATCGCGAGCCCGAGGTTTGGACCAAGACGGTCATCCTCTTGATCGTCTGTGCTTTCCGTCCCGCCTGGGTATTGGACATCGTCGACTACGAAAGATTCTGAGTTGTCATTTGAGTCAGCATCAGAGTCCGGCGCAATAAAATTGTCGCCGATCGCACTCTCTGAGCCACCATTCTCTTGCGTGCCTTCGTCGTCTGCCAAGTTCGAGTCCTGAGAGTGTTGCTCGAGATTCCCCTCCTCAGGCTCTGGGAGCTCCAATCTCAAGCCTGCCTGTTTTCGCCGTCGCTGTTGCGTATAAGTGTCGATGTTCTTTTGTTTGCGATCTTGCCGAGTTGTTTTCGAAGATGTAGAAGGGGAATTCGACACTAGACCAGAATAAGTTGTGTGGAGGTTGCAATATCTTGGTGAACGCACATCGTAGATCATCTACCTCCTGCTGAGAGATTCTGTGCTCATGGTCGGCGTGCCCCTCATCTTCCTCAGCTAATGACTGCTGACTAGCCCCAGCTTCGTCGTCTTGCTCACTCTCAGTGCTGCCTTTAAATAACTCGCTTGGATCCGGTGCGGTTCCGGTTCGACGTCGTTTCGGTTGTGATCCCTCCGGCTCTGGTGAGCTTGTCTCGGACTCGATTATACGACGCTTCAAAGCAGACTTTCGCGGTCTTTTGGGCGGGGATTCAGACATGGTGTCGTCTGAAGCCTCCCGCGCGTCTCGTGCGATAATGGGAGGATGAGGTGGCGCTTGTGCTGTTGAAGGGACTGATCGATAATGGGAGGATGAGGTGGCGCTTGTGCTGTTGAAGGGACTGATTCGCTCTTGCCTGGGGTGGTTACGCCAATCCGACGTCGTTTCATTTGGGGCTTTCGTGACTCTGGGGAGCTCGATTCGACTCTCAAACGCTTTGACGCTGGCTTTCTCGTTCTCTTGGACGGAGAATCGTCTGAAGAGTCTGCATTTGACGTTTCTTCAGTGAGCCCCTGGTTGCCAGCACGATCGGGAAGGAACTCGTCGGCTTCGGAAAAGCTCGGACGGACATTTTGCTTGGAGATTATCTTGGGCATGAATGGATATTCCTCAGCAACCGATAGGTGGTGGTTGAAGCGTAAGACGCGTGCGAGTCATCACATCCGAGTCAAATCACGGCCCGCGTGACATCACGCCCATGTGATCAGAAGCAAGCCCGCGGCAAGGAGCAGTGCCCTCTAGCGAGGTACAGCTGGCAAACACAAGGCAGTGACAGACACCCCACCAAAGTGCTGCAACAGAGAATGGAAGAGGAGGTCATGAAAAGACTGGAAAGTGCGAGAGAGAAGCTGAGAAGAGACGGTAAAGAAGGAGTAATAGGTGGTCCTTGGTGGGACACCCCGGGCCAGATCAGAGTGTAAAACCAACCTTTATACTGCTTACACAATGCAGAACCACATGTGAATAGAGGGGACAAGTAATGGGGTACTCTATGTTATGCAGATTCACCCCGACGAGCAATTTGGATTTCAGCTTCTGGTTATAAGTTAAAGTGGGGAATATTTCAAGTGCTACATGATTGGGATGCCACAGTCCAAAAAAATTACCTTTGTACTCTTACACTCCCCCTCCACTCTTTTCGACAGGGATAACACGTCGAGAGGTCAGCACAGGCGCAAACGAGACCTCTTTTACACTCCCACAAATCTATAAAACCGTCAATAAACATCTTTGGTCTCAGAAAACGTCAAACCTCGAGAAATTCATCCCAATCCACATCCCCTTGCTTCTTGAAACCGGCCTCCTCCAGCACATACTCGTAATCTTTCACGGTTATCCCCTCATAACCCGGGACTTCCGCCAGAACGCTCCCCAGCGCCTGTTTCTTCAACCGCGTTTCGGGCCCCGTCGGCCCGGCCACCTCCGTCGCACCACGTGCAAACGCATTCTTCAACGCAGCGAGCTCGGCCCCGTCAAACTTGGCCCGACTATATTCTTGGATTGACGGGGAGGCAGCAACAAGCCCCAGGCCACGCGCAGCACCCCAAATCGCGTGTTCGACACGCTCGCGGACGCCTTGTGGGGGCAGAATCGTACCCGGAGGCAGGCCCATGCTTGCCAAAAACTCGACAGCCCGCTTCATGTGACGTGATTTCTCCGCGCTGGACCAGTTGAGCTCCTTTGCCATGATGTCTGCAACACGGGGAAGTGCCTCAAGCGCTGCTCTGGCATTCAAGAACGACAACCTCGTTCTCCTCGCAAGCACATCAACGGGAGTGAGTGCGTATTCGTGACGAACAGCGTAGCGGACCTCAGCCTCGATGACTGTGGATGGTATTAGGAACGAAAAAAAAAAGTTGGAACAACAAACATGGATATGCAGCACTCAGCCGGACACCGTGTAGCGGCCAGCTCTCGCCAGTGGCCTCTGCCAAGTCTGACACTGTCCACGCACGATCGCCGTAGTTGTCCGATAGGTGTTTTGCTACCTCCGTTTCAAGGCCGTACTAAATAAAATAATAATAAGTAAAAGAACCTTTCGAAAAAAAAAAATAAGCAAACCCGTTGAACAAGACCAATGAACATGTTCCGACTCCAGCCATCGCTGCCGACTAATCGCAGGGTAGATGTAACACAACCAGTTTTCGGTTTGAGCCCAAACACTTTGACAGCTTCGTCAACCGTCTCCTCGGCCATTGCGCGATATGTCGTCCATTTGCCCCCAGCGATTGTGAGCAGTCCACTGTCGCTGACGTAGATCATATGGTTTCTAACAAGACCCTCTGTACTTGCAGCAGCGGGGTTACGGACTAGCGGTCGTAGGCCACTCCAAGCACTGAGTACATCGCCGCGACGGACTTTGATGTCTGGAGCCAAGTACCGGCGAATTTCGTCAAGCACCCAGCGAATTTCCTCCTCTTGAGCCCGAGGCTCGCGTTCTACTTCAGCCGGAGAGTCGGTAGTACCAGCGATTGTGTTGCCTTGCCACGGAAGGAAGAAGATAACTCGTCCATCGGAGGTTGCTGGATCGAGCAAGCCCATTTTCCGTGGAGAGTAGTAGTTGGGGAGCGTGATATGAATTCCAGAAGACGGTTGGACGATAGTTTTGTGAGCAGGATTGTCAAGGGTGAGCAGCGCGTCGGCAAAGGGACCAGTAGCATTGATAACGCCTTTGGCGCGGACGTCGAACTCTTTCCCAGTCATGTTATCCTTGACACGGGCACCATTCAACTTGCCATCTGAGCCCTTGTGCAGGTCGGTGACTTCGCAGTAGTTGGCGACGGTTGCCCCATGCTTAACAGCGCTGAGTATCAAGGCCATGTTCATCCGCGAATCGTTGTGTTGACCGTCGTAGTAGACCAGCGCGCCAACCAGTCCGTCGCTCTTGAGCATGGGGAAAGTCTCGAGTGCTTTGCCCTTACTCATGAGGTATGACGACTCCATATTTTCCTCCCCCGCAAGGATGTCATACATCTTGCACCCCGACCAATAGTACGGAACTTGCCAATACCTTTTTTTGCAAATAGCGAGGTCAGCCAAGAGGGTCAGAGGTCTTATGACGACAAAACGCACTTATATATTGGGAGCATAATTGGAAGCATCGCAGAGAGGTAGGGTGCGGTCTGGAGGAATATCCTGCGTTCATGGAGAGCCTCGCGGACAAGCTTGTATTGCTCATAGTCGAGTTCAAACACGGCTTTCTGCAGGTAGCGCACGCCGCCATGAACAAGTTTGGTTGACTTTGATGACGTGCCTGTTGTTTGTCAGACAAAAACCAGAAACTATGAATAGCTGGAGACACGCACCGGCGCTGAAATCGTCACGCTCGACAAGAGCAACCTTGAGGCCCCGACTCGCCGCGTCAACCGCAACTCCAGCACCAGTGGCTCCACCACCAACGATGAGAAGGTCGAATTCCTCATCAGCAGCCGAAGAGCGAAGTGTTTTCATCATATGTTCTCTTGAAGGCGGTGTCCATGGTGGAGGAGGGCGTCGTGTCTCGAGTGTTGACGATGGGTAGGCTGGACCCGAATTAAGAAACCAATACCCACCCGCAACAGCTACCACAGATCCACTTCCAGCAAATGCAAGGGCCCGCCGAGAAAAGAGGGCCCTGAAGACGGACATGGGAGAAGGAAAGAGAAATAGAGATGGATGACCAGCACGTTCGAGTGAGACCAAGCCATCGGCGGTGAATTACACAATTCTTCGCGGCCCGTCACGCCTGTTCGGTCCGGTATGACACATGTGACGTCACAGCACCCGATTGGGTAATTTCGGTGATTTATTGTAAACTATTTTTACTCTCCCAATTCGCGCTTTCAATGTACAAGAGTAAATTTTGTCGCAGCTGAAGTGCTTGCAACATTATTTACCAAGGCTCCTGCGCCATCTAAGCCCACGTAAGCCGCATTGACCCCCGCCCGGATGATATATGTCCCATCTGCCTGGATTAAGAGTTTGAAGTTCTCCCAAGCTTGCGCGACTGGCCGCGCAGACGAAAGTGGCAGGGCCCCATTTGGGTCGGCAGTTACATATTGCTGCGTTATATTGTTGAATATTGAGCCACCGCCCGGCATGAACGTAAACGTGAATGGCGTTCCTGCCGTTGCGGTAGCCACAAGATTGGGTGCGGCACCGGTCGAAGAGACAAAATGACCATTAGGCGCACGGATTGTGAAAGTTCCACTTGGATTTGATGCCGTTGCGGAACAGATATTTCCCCCAGAACTATTCTTTCGCGTGGCCAAGTGGTAGAGCAGAAGGGCTTGCGATGTGGTGCCGCCCCAGCCAGTGATATTCGTCGAGCGTGAAAAGGACGTTTGAGGGTTGACCTCGCCATAGGCCATATAGATCACCGCTTTCCACTCGTCTCCGATAGTTGGGTCTGCCAACTCAGACGACACGTAGTTCCACATTCCGTTCAGCCAGGCAGTGTCATACATCCCTTCATTTATTGGGGTCACGGGTAAAATCTGAATAGCCGCAATTTCTGAACATTGAGCTCCCCAGAATCTACTTTTATGAGTTGATTGTTTCCTTCGAGAAATTGGGTACTTACAACCATGCGCCCGCTTGATAGTCCATCACATTTCCAATCGTAGTTAGAGCTCGAAGTCCCGGTTCAGGATATGGGGTGTCTGGATCGTTAGAACTTGGATATAGGTGCCAATACGTTTGTGCGCCATCAACCTCAGTAGCCCAAAGCAACCGTGCCCAATTCATTAGATCCTGGTTCCCTAAGATGTTTGCGAAGAGAATCAACCCATAATATCCGTTCACAGCTTCCCCTATAGACTCTTGATCTCGTGAACCTGCTCCGTTGGCAATACCTGACGCTAGAGTCACAAATAAGTCAATAAACTCTTGGATCTGATTGAATCCTACCCCATGAGTGACCAGCAAACCAATCTTTACATCTTGAAACCGTAAAATATTTATCGGCTGTCGAGGGGTTCCCGATGTCCCGTGCAAAGGCGGTGATAAAGTTTTTATTCGCGTTCCACCATGTTGTGTCGTATTTGGCAATCACCGCAGCGCCATGAAGCATGTATCCGTAGTGGAAATGGTGGTCGTTGTACTGCGTTCGATTGATTTAATCCGCGATCGCTGAGGAATGTTTACGGTACTCACATAGCCATTCCCATAATCGATACTCGGATCAGAAGCGCCAGGACCATCGACAACACCACCCCATGCTGTTTCGTAGGCGGCATAAGTGGATGATTGACGTCCATTCAGCCAATAGGCAAAGCTCTGTTTCATCACCGAGATAACCGGATTGATCAAATCAGGTCTGCCGACATGATCCGCAATCAGCCTTGATCATAATCAAACGAAAGCCGCAAGAAAATGGAGGTTGGCGCACGCTAAACGAGCCATCCCTTGGAAAGCCTTGCCCCAGAAGTAAAAGTCACCTGGTTCATTATCATTATATGCACCGTTTCCATCATTGAACTGACCAGGAACGGCAACAGTGAGATGTTGCACCTCGTATTCCAACGCCTGGATAATTTGAGATGTACAAGATGCTTGAGGAGCACGGGGAGCCAGCCAATTGATAGTAGGAAGAGCGTAGTTAAGCTTCCAGACGTTTCCTAACGTAGGCTTCATGTATCCTTTCGTCGTCAGATAGCTTAGACCAGACACAATTGCTGTGGGCGAGATCAGCCGTTTCCTAAGTAGGATAATAAATTTGCGCAGGAGTATTTTGTAAAACCGCAGACCTGTGATGGGGCCAAGTTAGATGCAGAAGTTGCGAGGCTGTTCCAACAACATTCCAAGTGAATGAAAGGGTCGCGTTGTTGGCAGAAAACGAGTAATCCAGCGCCACGCCAGTTGGGTATGTTGTCGAGTACTGGTCGAGGATTGACTGGCTGGTTGCTTCTGCCGTAACGCGGGCGAGGCGAATGACTCCGTTGTGAGTTGCGGTCGCAGTCAACGATACAGATGTTGCGCTGAACGTTATGGATCCGCTGAGAGAATAAATGACGTAGGTTCCGGCACCATTGATGACTGTGAATTTGGTGCCGCTGAAAGAAGCTACGAGAGCATGAGCAACAACTCGAACTAGACTGAAAGGGCATACTGGGAGTCGCAGTCACATTTTTGCCGTTGACCGAAAGAACGTTGCCATTCCTACTCGTTAAAATAATGGTTGCCGCGTTATAGTTGAGGGTGATATATGGGGATCCAGGGACAAGATAGGTCGTAAATCCTGCTCCCGACGACGCGAAGTACTTGATAGTGACGCTTTGTGTGTCCTGACACCAAATAAGCCAAGGACAAGGGACATAGATTGATGGTTACCCATGCAGAGGCTTTATGGCTTGTATGTGTATTGGGGTTCTCTAAATAGGAAGCCTCCCAATCCATTTGTGTGGTTTGGATTATTGATGTCCCATCAAAGTTCCTTGCACTGGAGATACCGAATTGCAGACCAGTATCAAGCGATCGACTCATGTATGGAAATGGGCCAGCAACGACGCTAACAGCCATCAGACTTATTATAAGATCAACATCAACAAAGCTTCACCTATCTTGTGAGGGTGCAGCAGCATAGCCAACCCACCAGCCTGTAGTCGGGAATGGCGGCTTGTAATCTTGGAAGAAGGGTCCAGGAGGAGCGGCGCTAACAACAGTGCCGCCAGGTATGGAAGGGGCAGCGGTGTCTATGGGCCCGATTACCGCAGAAACTAGGCATGCACAGAGCAAAAGGATCACAAACGCGAGCATGGGAGGGAGTTCGGTCCACCGATGGTTTACACCTCCATATAAGTAGTTGTCGCAAGCGGTCATGCGGGAAGATTGGACCATGCTTGTGGCCGACTTGTGGGGCCGCAGTGGGTTTCCAACATGTCTCCTCAGGCGAAACCAGAAGAAGGAACAAGGTAACGAGAAAGATGGTCAGGATGGGGCGGTTGGCGACAGCGGCGCTGGTTTCGGGCAGAGACTGGTGAAGTTGCTGTTCAGATGATGGTGAAGGCCGGACCACATGGTGATCTGGGGGAAGGTCCGAGAAGTGTGTTTGCCCGAGTATGGCGAGTCGTGAGACAGGGTTGCCGTGCTGAGAGAGAGGTATGTAAATGGGACGAACACAAGACGAACGCAATGAAGGGGATTCGGAAGAGAGTTTGCGGCCACGGTGGCACATGATCCTGTTAGAAAAGCACGAAAGCATCTCCCATAGCAATGGGGCCTCTTTAAGACTTTCACGAGTGCGACACGGCCAGTCATGAAACCCCGAGCCTAAGCCCAACTGAGAGGTCTCAAAAGGTCAACTTGGTCTTGCGTCCTCCACAACAACTGAATTCGACACTCTGCCCCGGTCGGTTTCAACTTGTCCGGACCGGAGTGAGACGTTAGGTGGTGAAAAGTCTGTTGCGGGATTTCCCTGACGAATGTTCCGTCAGAATGCCAAGTGTTGCTCGAGAAAGACGGAGAGATACGGGCCGGGATGAAGTACCTTGTTTGCTCCTCAATACTCTAGTCAACTCACCCATCATGTCCGTTAAGCGAGTTTGCCAATTGGTGAAGGTTGGAGCAATGTTTAGCGATTACAACGTGGCAGATGGGGCTGATGCGATGTACAGCTCAAGCCTTCCGCTGAAGCTGAATATCGAAAGATTCATGCGGAAGGTAAAGGTCACTGAGGCGCCATACCCCTTCTGATAAACTCCAATGGTTGTCTAGTGTGGCCCAGCGTTCTTGCAGCATTGGAGCGAGCCCACGTTGAAGACTACTCGATCCATTATTATGCTCCACTGCAGTTGCTGATCGCCAACTTCAAATATACGGGCTCAGACTATGAGGTCTGTCGGTTGTGTCCGTTAAAAAGTGGTTGAAGAGCTTCATATGTAGGCGGATATGAGGAAAGTCGCTGAAGATCCGGAAACCCAGCGTTGGTGGCAAATTACCGATATTATGCAGGAAACTCTGGTCGAAGGCGCTAGCGGGAGTGGAAAGGAAGTTCCTTGGTGGGCGGACACTGAGGAAGTGTTTCGGTTCGAGGGAAAGTAGCTGTACCATCAATTTGTAACTCTCCAGAAACGTCCATCTACACACACCCAAACGACCATGGCTGAAGGAAGCAACTACGACTACCTCTTCAAGGTAAGCTCATTCATGGAGAGGGCTTCCTGTTAGCACTAAGCTCGGTCTCTAGGTCGTTCTCATTGGTGACTCTGGAGTCGGCAAATCGTACGTCGCAGTATATTCATGACCCCATATCCAGCTGACAGTCCACAGCAATCGTTCGTTGCTCTCTCTCGCCATTATGTCCCTCCTCAACCACCCCACCTAGTGCTCTCGCGATTCACCCGCAACGAATTCAACCTCGAGTCCAAGTCAACGATTGGTGTCGAGTTTGCGACCCGGTCAATTGACGTCGACGGCAAGACGGTCAAGGCGCAGATTTGGGATACAGGTGCGACACATGATTCTATTGTCTCGCCATTCCTGAATTTGCTCTCCAGCTGGCCAAGAACGATACCGCGCCATCACTTCTGCGTGAGCAAGACCACGCCATCGCTGCCTCATTTCTCATTGCTTTCGAATAGGTACTATCGTGGCGCCGTTGGCGCTCTACTAGTCTACGACATCGCCAAGCATGCAACCTACGTGAACGTAACACGGTGGCTGAAGGAGTTGCGCGACCATGCCGACTCAAACATCGTCATCATGCTGGTCGGCAACAAAAGTGACTTGAAGCACCTCAGGGCTGTGCCGACAGATGAGGCGAAGACGTTTTCGAGTGAGTACAAGTGACACATAGACTAATCCTATCACTAAATCATCGCAGCGGAAAATGGATTGTCGTTCATCGAAACTTCGGCGCTGGACGCCTCAAATGTCGAGAGTGCATTCCAAACGATCCTGACAGGCCAGTTTCCATATCTACATCAGACGCAGTCATCTAACCCTGGATAATCAGACATTTACCGCATCGTATCTAGCAAGTCCCTTGAGCAGTCGAACAACACCGTCGACCTCCCCAACAACAGTGTCAGCGTTGGCCCCAGCGTCGATTCCACCGCCCAACCCGCAAGCAAGTGCTGCTAAGCGCTTTATACCGCTGTTAGATTAGTGGGACCTTCATTGTCTGTTTCTTGTTTGCCCTATACACCGTATATAAGTATTATTGGTTCTTCTCGAATGTACATATTTTCTCGACGGCTTGCTGCAAGGTTTGGCACGTGCACTCTGAAACTTGACTTGATGCCCATCGGATACACGACAGGGGTTCTACGCAGTGAATTCAAGGAACTCGCAGCAGTCTCAACTCCTAAGTTTGCTCAATGTCATCACGTCAATTTCTCTGGCTGCGGCCCGACTTAGATGCTTCTGACCGGAAGGGCTTGCTCGAGGAGAAACGTTATTCTTCGCAGCGCAATGGCTACAAATTTGTCTCCCGCGGTCAGGTTATGGCTTAATAGCTACAAATCAAATTCGAGTTTCGAGTTGTCTGCTCTTCTTGAGAATGCTATGGAAGCTGAGGCGCTGAGGCTATTTCCGCTCTCTCTCAAGACCCATACCTCTCCGAACCTTGCTCAACTCAAATCCACCCTCGAATGCTGATAAATACAACCCGCGACGACGCTGTTCTACTGAAAAATGGCCCGTAGTCACGAGTGGCCTCCTACTTTCCGTGTCAATGAAATGACGGTGGCATAGTGCTTCTTCCTCGTATCTAGTTGCCTACTTGATGAAGTCGATCCATCGACAGTGATGACGAGCAAGGTGGAATACCTTGCGCATCGGCAAAGGACACTTGTTTATTTCTTAGCCTTGTTGGACCATTATATCTCAGTCTTGCTGTTTATGTAATCCCAGGAGTAATTAGATGCTCAATATCCTATGTCTATTACTGTGTCAGAGCTCTGGAGTTGACCATCGCAAGTTTTGCAACCAAAGTTCTCTCCTTAGCTATTGATCCGGACTGACCAATCGCTGATCCGACCAGCATAACTCAACCACATTCATCTCCCTATCCATTCTCTGTTCAAAACACTGCACGGTTGTCTCGAATGCGCCACTCTATAGCACATGAACCGAACTCGGGGAAAGCATCCATAACCCCGACCGATCTACGAGGACGCGTATTTGAGAAATGAGAATCTACATCCTATCGCAACACTTGCTCAAGACACCGAATGCAACTTTCAAGTTGGCTGCCGGATCCCCGCTTCTCAGGTGTTCTAGTTCCCGGCGACAGTGAACCGGATCCCGTGGCAAGGACTCGGTTTTCTTCTCTCGCGCGTCATTCCTGGGTGAACTCTGTGTTGACACATGTGCTCTCAACTTCGCCGTCCATGCATCAGACTGTACAAGTGGGGAGAGAGTACACATAGCATGGGAATCTGCTACATATCGTTCAAATTGGAGTCTGACTGTGTGGTCAATTCGCTTCCTTCCCTCCTCTCATCATGCCGCTGAACGACATCGACCCTCAATCCATCGCAGCGACATGGCTCGAAGGTTTTACAACAGCACTTACTTCCGGCGACGCCTCAGCCTCCGCTGAATGCTTCCAACCCAACGGGTTTCTCCGGGATATCAACACCTTCACCTGGAATAGACGCTGTCTTGGGGGTCGGGAGAAGATTGCCGATTATCTGAAAACAAACAACTCTCCCTCAGCTATTCGCAACATCCAACTCGACACCTGCCCAGACCTCAAGCCAAGCATCAGTGGGGCAGACACCAGCTTCGTTGTGCCCATGGGAGAAGCTGTCACAAGTGGGTTCACCTTTGATGTTGAACAAGTCGGGCCTGGCCAGGGATTTGTCTTCCTCGCACCAGCGGCGGATGCTCCTGTCAGTGGATGCACGTGGCAAGCGGTTTCGGTCTTTATGCGTCTCAACAATATCACTGGACATGAGGAATGGTTGTGTGAGAATGGTGTCTATGGAGGGCACACCCTTGCGTGGACAGACATACGCCGCGAGCGACGCCAAGCCATCGAGAAGACGCCCCACGTCGTTATAAGTGAGTCCAACGTCGCCTGCATTGGCCAATCTCATTTTTCTCAGTCGGAGCGGGTCAAACAGGCTTGAACCTTGCTGCTCAATTGACGCATATGAACATCCCAACGCTTGTGGTCGAAACTAACCAACGTGTTGGAGATAATTGGCGCAAGCGCTACCCAACACTCTCGCTGCACAGTGCAAAAGCATATTCAGAATGTTCGTTCCTTACCTGTCAGCATTTTTGTTTTCCTTACAACCCAGAAGTGCTTTACCAGCCATTCCCGACGACATGGCCCATCTACGCCCCCCGTGACAAGATAGCTGATTGGCTGGAGCAGTATGCATCCACACAAGATCTTGTCGTTTGGACAAACTCGCGACCGCTACCTGGCCCAACGTACGATACCGCCTCTCGTCGCTGGACCATCGTTATCGATCGTGCCGGAGAACTGGTCACACTTGAGCCCGCCCACGTTATTGTCTGTGGTGCACTAGGCGCGCCATTCACACCACATGTCGAAAACAAGGACATATTTGCTGGGGTCGCGTTGCATTGCGTCAACTACCGCGGGGGGGCGCCGTTTGCTGGAAAACGCGTCGTTGTCGTTGGTGCAGGCAATACTTCTGTGGATATCTGCCAGGACCTTGTTTTCCACGGGGCCCAAACTGTCACGATGGTCCAGCGCTCAGAGAGCTCTGTGTCGCCGGTGGAGGCAGTCAGACAGGCCACGGACGAGTTGTTTCCCCCTCATCGGACGACAGACGTGTCGGACCTGCGGCTGATGGCCATGCCTGTTCCGCTGATAAAGAGGAGGTATACCGCCAATAAACCACTGATACTGGAGGCTTTCAAGGGCCTCCACAGCGCAGTCGAGTCGGCGGGCTTCAAACTCCGCACGGACGATGACATCTTTACGGTGTTCTACAGTGGTTACGGAGGCTATTGTGGGTTGGCATATGCGTCGTTCCTCTGCTGATTACTTTCTGCTTTCTCAGGGTATGATGTGGGCTGCGCGGAGCTCATGAAGAACGGCCAAGTCCGGGTGAAACAAGGGGTCGAACTGGCGCGGTTCGAGAGAGAGCACGTCATTTGCACGGACGGCTCCAGCCTCGAAGCCGATGTGGTGATTTTCGCGTCAGTTGGGCTGCTTAATCGTTGCGCCAAAATTGACACTTTGCAGAACATCGTTCGAGTCGATGCGCGACACGATGCGGGGCGTATTTGGACATGACATTATCAACCAGACCAGCCCAGTTTGGGGGCTCGATGAAGAGGGGGAGCTGAGGGGCGTCTACCGGCCGAGCGGGCATCCCGGCGCAAGTCTATTTGCTGTCGCACTTGGATTTCTGACCTGTATTTCCAGCTATGGTTTGCGGCAGGCGAATTCTTTACTGCTCGGGCGTATGCTAAGCAATTGGTGTGTCTGTCAAGACTTGGATGAACGCGACTGATCTCCTCAAGGCGTTGCAAATCAAGGCCATTGAGTTGGGCCTCCTCAAGTTGTGAGCATGTAACAAGACGTTGATTGTACACTACTTTTATTCTATGTGGAAACTTGGACAAAAAGACCACTTGCGGTCGAGCGGCGCCACATTACGCGTGCACCCTCCTGGCCATGCAGCAGACTGATAACCTTCAAGCCCGGGTACGTCTTGAGCAACGCGGGGCCTGTCTTTTTGAAGCACGAGACCGCATCTGCCGCGGCCTCGTCTGGGGGGATCCACAGGTTGAACTTGTCGCGGCCCTGGATGTGCAGCGTGAGCTCCTCGAGTGCGTAGTGTGGCGGGCTGGCAGCAAGGGTACTGCTTATGTCAGAGGAGGAGAGGGCAGGCTCGGTCACGCAAAGCGACTTGAGCATCGGAAAGCGGCGGTGGATTGTGGCGAGAAGCGTGGCGGGGAGCTCGGCGCCGTCCAGCAGGAAAGCGAGGGACTTTAGCGACGAGTCTATGCCCTTGAGCGACGCCTCAAGCCGCGCTGGTTTGCTGTGGATGGAGATTTCGACGCTTTTTGGTTTGCGATTGCGGAGGAAGACGGGCGCAAAATGATGCGGCCCGCGATAGGAAGCGAGGAGAGGGAGTATTCCCTCGGGCAGGGACTCGAGGTGCGAGTGTGGGATCGTGTCGCGCACGTGCAATGTTATATGGTCAACAACCGGACATCGGGCAAGTGCTGGGATAAATGCATCTGACGAAATGCACTCGATGGGGAGTTCGATGGTGCGCAGCTTGCTGAACGGCTCTGACTTGGCGAGGGTGGGCAGAACACCCGTTGTGGTCGCGTGGAGGTATTCAAGCTGGCGCGGGGAGAGGAACAGCCCGGATGGACTGGCCTGCGTGGCATTCTCGGGGTATTTAAACGTGACGGCTTGGATGGGCACCGCGGGCGCAACATCAAAGTCCGCAATGTCCCCAAAGCACGCGTCGAGCCTGATCGTGCTCAATTTCAGCCTCTGGAGGATGATTAGTCTGCGTGGGGTGAGCCGGACGAATCGACAGCTGAGTATCCGGAGGTTGGGCAGGAGGGAAAGGGAGTCAAAGATGGTGTCAATAAGATCATCGCTGCCATCTTCTTGGAAGGGAGGAGAGATCCAGCATTCATATACGGAGGGAGCAATCTGGGGAGAGAAGAAGAAATCCTTCCGCTCGATTATGCGCTTGCGGTACTTGGAGGAGGTTTGTGGCCCGCGTAAGGCCAAGGAAGAAAGGGCCGCTGGATGCGTGGAAATGGTTGAAAAGAGCAATGGTTGGGCGAGGGAGCGGAATGTCCGGCATGTGAGGGTGACGGAGGGAAGGAGGTATAGTGGGATGTACATGAAGACTTGGATCCACAACTCTGGTGGAATGCGCGTCGCCACGGCGAAATCGAGTCTTCGCGCCTTTTTGGAACCAAGAGACGTCAACGAACGCGCTTTATGTATCAGACGCGTGAAGCCGGGGCTGCTAGGGCTTTTTGGCCTCATCGCACTGCTGGGCCTGGGCGACAACATGCTTGGAGTTATACTAGTAGAGCGGCTCAAGACGCCCGCCGGCGCAGAGAGTGGGGTCAATAGAGTGTGCTTGCTGTGTGGAACCACACCAATCGGGTCCAATGTGAGGAAGGGGTAGGGCTTGCGGGTTTGTGCCATGGCTGCTGGGGCGGAGAAGAGACAGAATTGACGCAGAGAAAACTAACCTTGTACTTAAGTACATAGAACTCATTAGCCGATGGTGAAACAACGGGAAAGAGGCGTTCTCGCCAATCAAATCCGACTCGGAAAAGAGACAGTTGGGCCTATCAATACCAGCCTGACCAGGACGGTGCGGACTGTTGACAAAGTTGACCCAGAGTGCACAGACGCATCAAGCTTGGTCTCTACAAGTTTTTTCAGGTCATAAATATCATGGTCCCAATGTAATATGACTTACACGGTCTATGTACCACCAAAAAAACTGCGCCAAGAGCTTTGCATCTCTCGATATGAAACAAAGCTTAAATTCATGATGCGATCAAAGACGGCAGGTCCGAGCAACTCCGCAAAAATTTAAAAATCTGTACGTACTCTGTTGCTTCCGTTGGCGCTCACGATGATCTTGTAACTCTAATTGTAAGAACCTTGTGGATTTTGCAAGTGTTCAAGGCAACTTGGAGGCCAATTCTACCTAGCGGAACAACCTTCAAGCTGCCTCGTTGACTGAGAACAGTATTGATAAATAAGTAAATGGATGTTTGCTCGACAGTTGACAATGAATGATCCAAACCTACGACGACGTTTGCACAAGGTCGAGTAATCTCGTCCAAATGTCAATTTATGAACGGATGACAAAGGAGTATAAGTGAATTGCGAACGACGAAAACGCATTGTTGCTGGGGTGGATCAAAGGTAAATCCAAGGCGGATCTCGGTGTTGACAGAAAGTAGTATAGAGATCTATAGCGGGTGCGGTCAGCAATAACTAGGCAGAAAGATTAGTTGTCTTGAAAGACAAGGCCCGAATTCATCTTATCATGGGGGCCGGGTCCTCCTATACGTATGCGCTCAAGATGAGCTGAACACACAACCGAGATTGCAAGTATATCGAATAGACCACCCGCACCATCTCCTCCTATCCTCCTTAATTAATAGACCGGGGGGAATGACGACGGGTTCCGCCGGCCCGGACGATGACATTGAAAGCTTCTTCAGCGAAGAAGTTTTCTCATCACCAAGAGGCAAGCCAAAGCGAGCGACTAGTTTTCGCCCTTTGTGATAATGGTAAGCTGGCCTCTGTCCAAGACGATCGCAAGCCGGGGTGATACGAAAGTAGAGAAATTGCATTCATCATTATTGAACGACGAGGAAGAGACTTAAACCATGTCAAGCGACGTCATCAGCGAGATCGTGGGTCGCACCAACAATGACCAATCAAGGTCGCAGCAGAGAGACGAGCGGCGTTAGCTCGAATCGCTCGACAAACCACACGGTCGCAGCATTGTAAAAACACCGCAATAAAAAGAGCCGCATTTAGCTGCCCGATTATCAGCGCATATCGCAACCTTCTCTCCGTTTCACCGAGGAAAAATGTCTTTGCGGCGATGCAAGGGACATCCATTGGTCCTTGGAGAATGACGCCACAAACAAAAAGTGCTTGCTGTCGGTTTTGCGACGGCCCTAGCAGCGCAATATCAGAGAAATCTGTCGAAAGAAGAGACAGTATGCTGGCACAAAAAGACCAAGTCACCAATTGATTTCGGAGACGGGAGATATATGGGTACACGAGTCGACTATCTTATCCGAATTGCGGCTGAGGCGGAGGTGGCATCATTTGCCCAGGGAATGGTGTTGCAAAGCCAGCTGGAGGCGGAGGGAAGGCGGTACCAGGATATATTGGCATATTTTGCGGAGGTGGAGGCATCATAGGCATTCCAGGCATAGCCATCGGAGGAGGCATTGGTGCACCCATAGCTGGAACACCCATGGGCATTGGGGGTAAGATTGTTTGTTGTTGCGTGAATCCAGGAGGCGGGGGGTGGTTGAGCCAGGGCACCAGCAAATTGACCTTGGAACTGATATGCTGGGACGGGACCGAAACCAAGAGGCGCGATTGGCCGACCAGCAGGTATCGCATTGTTCTTGCGTGCTTGCGAGACCAAGAGACGCTCAGCGGCAGTTCCATGTCTCTCGCCTTTGCCGTCCTTTTTGAACGCGTATTGAACGGTGATGGCTTTGTTCATAAGGAAAGATCCATTCATAGCCTCGGTAGCAGCGTCAGACGCCTCGAAATCTATGTAGGACACGAAACCATAGCCTTTTGAGGTACCAGTGGACGGGTCGCGGGCAATCTTAGACAACATGAGCTAGGTACAGAAGTCAAGAAGAATGAAAACATACCTTGGCAGTAGATGCCATGATGCCGAAGGCACTGAAAGTGTCGTATAGCAGCCGCTCGTCAACATTCTCGTCTAGATTCCCGATAAACAAGTTGGCGCCGACATCGAGTTGTTTCTTATCAGAAGAGGCCTAGGAGACGAGTCAGCCAAGACAGAAACAAAGAAGACAAAATTTAACCTGCCTTATTAACACGAATCGGTTTGCCCCATAGTTTTATTTGGTTCATTATCTTGCACGCGTATTCCGCATCCTCTTCTGTTAAGAACTCGCAAAACCCGTAGCCTTGGTGCGCCATAGAAACGCGATCCTTGGGAAGATGGACATTGACTGCTATTTTTGAGCTCAACACGCGTCACAATAGCGACAACTCACCGACGGGCCCCGCTTGTAGCATCAACTCCCATACCAGTGCGTCGGTACAGCGTTCATCGAGGTTGCCCTAAAAACTCAAATATTAGATTCAAGGATACAAATAGCAACTTCACCCACAAGGTAGACCGTTGCCTCTTGGTTCCTATCATCTTGTGGACGCGACATAGAAAGAGCTTATGTAGACGGGTAGGAAGTCAATGCTGGCACAAGCTGGCGTCTCGAACTTTTCGTTGACTCCGGTCGACAAGAGAGTTGCAGACAGATGTGTGACGGTACTTGTGACGTTGATTCGCTCAAAACGCGCTTGACTTCTGCGACGACCTAGAGAGATGGCCGGAATCAAAACAACATCTGGCGCTGTCCGCTCTCCTGCCCCCCCCTTTCTCCTGTTGCCGCACTATCCTACTATCAACGCAAATATGGCGCAAGAAAATGAGTCTTGAGCAAGTTAGTCTGCGCGATGTTCTTGGCCAGTCAGCAATCCGAATTACTGTCTACATGCCTGGGTTGCACTGCCAAATGCACATCCCCAGCCGCAAACCACCCTCTCAAATCCTACCTCGCCCCGCTCAGTATCTTTCCAATCACTGGAACTTATTATCAAGATTTGAACCAAGTCGCAACCCTGCTCTCCGCTTTGGGGCCGACTTCGCGCGACAATTCTCCATGTCAAAACGCTGTCTCTGTCTTCGGGGATATATATTTGTTGCACGGTCTTAACTCGCCTCTGACAACACAATCTTTACATGTTGCGGCTCGACAGCTGTGTTCGAGGGTGATTGTCCATTCGTGCGGCCTACGTTCGGCACAGATAGATGGTCCCTTATAACCCGTCTGGCTTCTTCTTCCACCACTTTTCGTCCTCTTCGCGTGAAAGGTCCTTTCAGAAAGATGACTGGCGCCAGAGCTATCCTCATCCTCACTGCCCTGTTCCTCTTCCTTTCCATGGCCGTGGCTGCCCCCATCCCAGTCCTGGTCGATGGCGCCGTCGTCAAGAAGGCACTCAAACAATACAAGGCAAAACGTGGAGAGACCCCCGCTCGTGTCGGTCGCTCCCCCAAGCCATCAGGCTACGCCGTCCGTGGGTATGTCGACAACTCTCCTGCCTTGATCCATGTTCATGACACCTGCTATCTTCTTTAGTGTCACCAAGAGAGACGATGCTGCGCTTCCCAAACCATCCAAGTACTTATCATTCTCCTTGTCCTTGACGCGTGTTGATCGCTTCTGCAGGGGCTACAGACGTTAAAGCGACCGCCCCCCAGAACATATCGTCCTCATTCCCGTCTCAACCAATCCCCTTTGGTTTCCCGATAGACTGTGCCATATAATATACGCATCGCTGGTGGTAGCTGAACATTGGCCCTCCCTCATAGCTTTGCATTGATTCTGTCTTTTGTAATCATGAAAGTCCCTTTTTTTTTCCACATCGTGTCGCAAATAAACAGATTAGTTTTTGGGGAAAAAGTCAATAGCAACATTCTAGCGAGTCAACCCGAGCGACTCGGACTACTAAACCACCTAACAACGGCTTTAACATAGACCAGAAGATATGGATTTAACTAGGACAGAGCAGACAAAAGAAAAGGGTGATATACGACAATACCGAGTAAGTATAGGGCTGTCGTGGCGTAACGGCATTCGTGAAAAGGGAATCCGCGATGGGGGAAGAGCCACCATGAAGTAAGTATGTCTAGACAACAACACACTTGACTTTTGGCTTGCGGATCATGGGGGGCTCGAGAGCAGCAACAATAGCCTGGTGCACACACATCAGATAAGAAAAGAAAGTTTTCGTGGGACTATGACGCACCTCGTCAAAGACATTCTTCAACCCCTTCTGTGTTAGAGCAGAACACTCAACATACTTGACCGCTCCAAGTTCCTTTGCAAGTCGGTCACCTTGCTCGGTTGTGACCGGACGCTGCTTTTGCCTAGCCAGCTTCTCTATCACTTGGGAGTCATCCCGCAAATCGACTTGAGTGCCAACAATGAGGCAAGGCACGCCGGGGCAGTGGTGGTGAACTTCAGGGAACCATTTCTCCTTGACGTTTTCGAATGAAGCGGGTGACGTGACGCTGAAGCAAACGAGGAAGACGTCGGTTTGGGGGTAGGATAACGGACGCAGACGATCATAATCCTCCTGGCCTGTTTGGCGCATGTAGTCGAGATGCAATGGAGAGAATAACTCAACGCACCAGCGGTATCAAATAACCCCAGAGTGTATGGGTCATCTCCAATCATCACCGTCACCGCATAGTTGTCAAATACCTGGGGGAGAGATTGAGCTGCCAAACAAGGGGGAAACAGGAGGACGCGCACCGTAGGTACATATTCGCTGGGGAACTTGTTTGTCGTATAAGAGATCAACAAGCAAGTCTGTTGGTCCCATAGTTAGAAACAAGCATCGTCCGGTATCCAACCAAATCTGCGCACTTTTCCGACTGCTCCGTCTCCGACTACCTTTGGGAAATTTTAGGGAACATACAAGAAGTAGCGTCAATGAAGACATACCACGCATTTAATGGTCTGCATTGGGGTCAAAATTTGGGGGATTTGGGGTTGGAAGAGGTTGGCGAAGAGTGGTTGACCGTTTCCGAAGAGTGATGCGAGGAGTGTGAAAGAGGCTGCCAAACGGTGGATTGCGTAAGCTGGTTGTGGGCAGTGAACGGACAACAGGCATACCGACGGGAAGACAAGTCGATGGTCAGACGAAGGTGGTCGTCGTTGTCGAGGTGTCGGGTCACAGCTGTGACGATGTAACGTCAGGATTGGATCGTCGGCAGTGGGAGGATAGAGGGCGGTTGGGAAGTGGGGGTGGCAGACTGCGACACTCACAGGAAACGAAGCAGTGGTCCGGAGCGCCTAGATCAGAGGTAAAAACTCAGTTAGAAACGACAGCACTTGCTTGGAGACGGCGACAAGGAACAGGGTGGATGGAAAGGTAGCAGGAAGGAGAGTAGGACTCACCGAGGCAACGAGAACGGCCTGGTTTATGCAAGGAAACAAGCACGCTGCCGGTCGCAAGATGAAGGAAGGGAGCTGCTCTGGAGTTTGATGTGTCATCACGTGGAGCTTGAATCAAAACACGAAGTTTGGTCGGTTGGTTACACGGTGCAAAATATAGCAAGTACGCCCACGACACGCAAAGGCTAACTCAAGGGATAATATTTTTTGTCTCAGCTACCTAAATTTCCCCAGCTTTTGAACCGAGACAGTCGCTGAAACCGTCGTCAAAACTTAACGCCGCCAACCTGAAATATTACCCACAGCCACTGGAATGATGTTTGGGAGTATCCCACCGCAATAATTGACCATCGCGAGTGCCTGCAAGGACACAGGCCCGCGGGCCATCGCAAGTCTAACAGCATCTGAGTACAATAATCGCAAAAGGGGAATGCGGCTCACTGCCACGACTTGGATCAAGTTATCTTGGGCGCCGGTGAGTGACGGTGAAAGGTGCCAACTAAACCGAGCTTACCATGCCCATATTCCATCTCACAAACTAATAGGTTCTCCTTTTGTGCATCCCAGACCGCTAGACAGTCCTGTCGGGAGCCACAAATGACAACATTACCCTCACTAGCAAACTGTCCGTCAAATGACGAGCTCGAATAATCATATTTTAATCGGCGAGTCTGTTGCGGGCCGAGATCAACCACGCAAACAGGCCCATCCGCTGTCGAGGCCAATGCCTGCATGCATCTTGGATTGATGGAGAGTGATGTGCTGGGTCCAAATCAGTTGAAATTAGACAGCCGAACACCACGCTGACATTTTGGATGGCAGGAAGGCATACGCCTTGAGCATGCCATTAGGAACCGCACAATGCCACCTGCAAACAGTCAAATCAAATAAAGCAACTTGGCCAGCGTACACAACACCCTCAAGAGTCCCCCCAATCAACGCATCACCTCCTTCAATGAACTTGAGCGCTGTGATATTCTTTCTCGAAATAGATCGTTGCGCAACCCAAGAGCCTGGAATACATCTCTTTGTCCTTTCAATCGTCGGTAAGCGAAGATCGAACCTTTACTCCATATCCAAACGTTAACTCCGAATCGAGGACAAGATATCGCAATTCGACCCCCAAGCACCGTGAGGCGCAGCTCATCGTCTAGCGAGTATTGCTCTGGACTGACGCAGACGATGGGGATGCGGTCCCAACCTCGTTCCTATGCCCCTTCAAAACCCTGATGAGAGTAAGCTGGGTTTAACTTACCCTCTTCACTAGTTTACGCAGGACGCCATCTCGAGAAAGCGAAACCAAGTCCTTTTCTAGCCACGCCAGTTCCGCGTTCGCAAATTGGGACAAACAAACTATCTCAGTCATGGCCACACAATCCCAAATACGAACAGTATTGTCTTGACCTAGACACAACGAATTAGCTATTGAGAAGGTCAATGAAATGCCCACATAGCACTGCAGTCTTTGACCCATCCGAATTGAATACTATCTTGACAACCCCGGGTCCACCAGCGAGGGTTTCCGTATGACTTGGCTTGAGTTTTCTGCAGGTATCTTGTGGGGCCGGAAGGCCTGGTGATGGAGATTCTTCTCGTTTTACACGTCTTGGCTGAGGATCTGGAATCAAATCAACATCAATTGGACGAGCACTAGTTGATGCTGCGGGCTGCAGACGGACAACATCTGGTGCTGTCCAACAATCACTTTCACGGCGCCTCCTTCCAGGTGAGGCATTCCTCCGTTTCGAACGTGAAGCCTTTCTCGAGCGTTTATGAACGCGAACAATGCCAGGCGCTGTCCAAATATTGGGCGATGGCGAGCGCTCTCGCTTTATGACCCGAGACGGCTCCAATGTCGAGAGAGAAGGAATGTCTAGGGGCCGGGCAGGCAAGGGATGCTTGAGCGCTACAACACAAATCATTTGAGCAAGAACGCACACAACGAAATGGGTCAAAGATGCACCAGATTTCAAAGAAAGCGAAGATGATTCCGATTGGGGAAAAGCGACTTGGCGTTCCGATTCATTCTCCCCTTTGCGTTTCTTGCCATTGGGTGAGATTTGTGGCAAGACTGGCTCTGAATGAACATCTACAAGTCGCACGGCTCAATTAGATTTGCTCACGAGAGGCATTGATGTCATTTGTAAGACGAGATGAGGATTCCTCTGGCAATAGCATTGAACGAGGCACTGTAGGGCGCGATTGAGGTTCAGAGACCTTATTTTTGATCCTCAGATTTTCGCCTATAACTTCCCGACTTGCCTCGATGCGTTGCCATCTGCTCGCAGCTGGAACAGACGAGGACGAACTTGGACTTTCAATACCGATATCAATACTATTGTCAATGGTGGTGTTATCGCAATCGACGTTGTTCGGCTCTTGATTCGCAGTCTTTTTGACCCGTGCACTGAGCGGTCCAGTACTATTAATGACCAATCTTTTCTTGGAGCTTGAAGCTGCCAGTGAGGAAGCGGTCGTCGTAGGTCCAGTTGTGCGCGAATGTATGGAAGATGGCCGGATATTGAGGCAGTTCGAGTACGGCCCAGTCGAGATGACAATAGCTTCTTTCGCATCGGCGATATTGACTGCTGTGACGGTGACTTCCGGTTCTGGCTTCGTTTTCATTTTCGCTTTGGTCTGTATTCCACGAGGAATCATGAGACTGAACTTCGGAAGAGGCGGCGGAGCGTCAGGCGGCGGATGTGGATGAATTTGGATCTTCTTTGCAGGCGGGAATCCATGTCTGAGCGAGGCGGGCTCCGTCGGAGGGATGCCCGTTAAAGCGGTGTGTTGTCTGTGGAAGATAGGTCCAGAATCCAAGGTGGAAACAACGGCTGGGACAGGTGACGAAATTGGGTGGGATATTGATGAAGCGGGGAGGAGGGGAGAAGAACTTCCGTTCTCGGATGTGGGGTTTATGGGACTAGAGTACGATATGTCGTCGTCGAGAATCTCCTCTTTCACCGACTTGAAGGTGAGAAGAGACGACTTGACGAGCGAATCTTCTTCGAGTGCATCGCCTGGCGAGATTTCCATGTCGTCCACAGAAGGAGAAGAAGTCGGAATATCGATAGTCAAAGCGGATAATGGCTCTTGGCTCTTTGCAAACCGACTCGAAGGTGCCGTGGACGAGCTCACTGTTGTGGTTTGAATGCTCTGGGAATGTGTTTCGATTCGAGCTTGAACGGAACTCGACACGTAAGAAGGGGTGGCCTGCGTTGAAGCTGAGAGCATCGGGGGTGTTGCTTGCACAGCAATAGATGCTAAACACCGGTGGATGGGGGTTGCTTGGGTTGTTTGCACTCCAGCGGATGCGTAGGCTGCCGATTGCTTCACAGGTACTTCCGAACAATGATGAAAGCGCCGCGACGTGAATAAAAACGAGAAACTTACCAGGTGCGATCGGGTCTTTGTTCATCCATTCTCTACGGCGCATTTTGGGAGGCATGGTTGCACATGGGAGCACAGTATCATCTTCTCCGTCCGGGATTAGAGGCTCTTCTTCTACTTGAGTGGTATTCTCAGCGTCGGAGTCATCCGAGTCGCTAGAGGCATCAAGGGTCCCCTCAAAAGTGAAAAGTTGGTCTTCAAACTTTTCGTCAAGTGATTCTACAGTCAAGAGCAATTCTCGGCCGGGTTTTAGGTTTAGATGCTTGGCTGTGTAGATTCTGAACTGGACGGTGTCGCTATGAGGTTCGTCGCTATCGTCGCTTGAGGTGTCCGACTCTTCCACGCGTTTTAGAATGATATGTGGCCGTTGACGAATGCCAATGGGGTCTCGTCTAAGGCGAAGACTATCCTTGATACCCAAAAGCGACGCCAAAGATGGGAAATCATCAAGATTCTCGTCCTCTGAAGGCGCCTGGGTGGGCATAGCCACCAGGGTTGCGTGGAAGGTGAGAGTTTGAAGGAAAGCTGTCACGTCGTGACGAGCTAGAACGCGCCAAAGATACACACTGTTTCTACGAAAAAGTCGGTCTTTAACCAAGCGGGAGGAGTACTCCGAGTCGTCAGCGCTTGGGAACGTAACGACGCGTTCCCACCTCTACAGGCAAATATTAGTTTCGAACATAATAATACTTAAGTACACAGGTTATGTAACCTTGACCACACAGCCGACCAGTAATTACTTATCCAAGATTGGAGTCTTGAAATCATTGGCAATGGGGCGTAAGTATTCAAGCGTACTATGAGACGCGATATACGACTCTTTTAAGAGGCTGTAGACTGGCCAAGCGGACAATATGAAGGTGGGCGTCGAGGACAAGCGTTAGATCAGTGATGCACGTGCCCGCGCGCTTGCAAGTCATGACATTTAGGACGTCTTGGACAAGCGCATTCAAGACTTTCAAGTTATGAGCCGCTGGAGAGTTCCTATATGCACAAGTTCAGACTCCCTTTAGATAGTCCAAATGTACATTTCTTATTTTACAGATCCAAGCCCTGGTCCCCTTCACACGAGATCAAGCTCGACACGCAAACCCTGGTTTCCAAGCGCAAGTAGCTCTGCTTGCACGGTGGCCGGGACCACAGAGGGCTCATCTGGGTGCCCTTGAGGGTCTTTGTTCATGTAGAACTCCTCCAAAGTAACCCGCCCTTCCGCATCCTGTCTTCGCAGCTGCAAAAGATCCACCAGGGGTTGGAACGATGAATCCGAGGCTTCCTGTCTGGGACCATACATGAGGCGCAATATCCTGAGCCGCGGCAAAACATCGTTATTTCGCAGGACGGTGCTGATTTCTTGCAGCTTTGCAAAGTGGACAACAATGTGTAGGTCGACGACTGATGGCATGATTTCTAGAAGTGTTTGGAGCTGAACCGTGGTAACGCTGGGAGGGAAGCGGAACATGAGGCGGGTTATTGTGCACGAGGAACGTGTCACCAATTCCCTTAGGTCATGAAGGAGTTGTTCCATCTCGCTTGCTGGACCGAATCCTGGGCCCCACAAGCCGAGGTGTACAAGGTTAGGAGCGGTGACGAACGGCAAGATGGTCATGCCCATGTTGTCGAGAAACCGCAGCGCAGGAAGTAAAATTGGAGCCATCGAGGGTAAAGTCTGTCGATGAACGATGAGCGCTAAATGCAGCTCCTGCAAATTAATGCAACGTTGCAAGGCCGCCAGTCCTTCAAGCTCATCGTGTACTTCCATCTGGAGCGTCGTCAACTGCTGCCAGATTGGAGAGGCAGTTTCAACGGAAAGGTCGGGGAATGCCCTCAAGTCCAGCTTGCGCAAGAGGGGGGGCGTTTATCCGTAGGATCTTTTCGCCCACCCATACCCTAGATGTCATGGACAGCATGAGGTTTTGCAGGAGAGGAAAGGATCCATTGTGTGCAACCAGCGCCGTAAATGCATCAAAGTCGAGACGCAGATGAATATACTGCCATCTACCGCAGAACTGCATACTCGCAGATAGGAGCTGAGCGCCGCGCTGTTGGCGCCATTCATCGAGCACGATTGTTAGCGGAAGAGTTTCCGCGCGAGAGGCCCACTGGACTATCACTTGTGCGGGCACGTGCTTGGTGTCCTTATCCATCTTAATCGCGGCCCAGAGTTGAGGTGTGTTTAGGCTGATGTTTCGCCATGCGGTGGAAATTTGGGTGAAGAGCAGCGGGAATTTTTCTGGAAGAGGGAGGGGTGCATCACCGGGTGCCAGTGAGGCAGCAAGCGTCTCTATCATGATTCGCTGCGTAAGCTCGATTGGGATGGAGGAGATATTGGCCATGGGGGTGGACGAGGGCTGGGAGTTTGAGATCAAATGTACCTCCTAGTATCAAACCGCGTCACACGCCCATTTTTGAGTCCGCTTGGCGGAAATGCACCATCCTGGGGCATGGTCTTGAAGCGGACAAGATGAAAGTGGGCGTCGAGGACAAGCTTAAGCGCTAGATCAATGATGCACGTGCCCACGCGCTTGTAAGTCATGACCTCCGGTATCGACACATTAACGCGACGAATACGAACCATCTTCGCCTCTCAGCCTTTTCAACAGCGCATTTCTCGTGAATCCGATGTACCCTCTCCATCGCGCAACAACGGCCGTCCAATTCCCCCTCCTGACGCAACACCAATCCAGGATCCCGAACTCATTTCACTACTCTCCGACCCCGCGATTATGAACGGCGTCGATTCGCGTCGTCAGAGCGTTTGGAGTATGCTTGAGGAGTTCTCTCCCCAGCTTCATGTGGATTCAGACCGCTCCAGTGTCATGATGTACTCCCCACTCATCCCAACAACCGACTCCGTGGTCGAATTGGCTGAAATGGAGATTGTTCCTGTACCTGCAAGCCCACCTTCCTCAGGCTGGTTCTCATTTCTACCCCTTGTTTGGCCTTTTACAGGCTTTGGGGCCTCACCACCCGCTGAACCGGATGCCACTCCCCGACCATCACCAACCGTTCTTTCTATAGAGACAAGTTCTATAACATCTTCACCAGAAAGTGTAGCTGTGCGTCGTATATGGGTTCCATCGACGACCCAGTTGTCGTTCGAAACAATGTGGTGGGGCTATCGAATGTCTGGCGCAGTCATCAAGCTCTTTCAAGTTTGCTAATAATATCTAGATACCTTCCGCCCCCTGTATTGGAGATACTCGATGACCAGTCTGTAGAAGCCGCACGACAAACAACCATCCTTACCAGTGCCCTAACATGGTTTTTCTCAAACTTACCGATCACTGCGTTTCCGCCCCCACTTCAACCGGCAATGCTGCTTCTCCAGCGACTTGTTCCTCTCGTCAGCTATCTTGGGACATTTATATCATGGAGCTGGGGCACTATCAGAAGCTTCGACAAAGGTATGCAGTAATCTGGCTTGGAAACAGCGCTCAATATACTTGAAGGGCACGGTGTGATCCTGACCGCAACATGGCTGTTTCCACCAGCACTCTTACCAAGTACATGGCATGCGCGAGACTTCCCTCCCCCGTCCAATCCAGTGTCTCCGGCATCCAGCTACACCCCCCTGCTCGTATTCTCGCCTCAACTTGCTTCATCTCCCTCGCTTCCTTTGGTCCCCGAAGAAGTCGAGGAGCCCCCACCGCTTCCCCCAACGCCTAAGCTCTCTTCAGTACCACTACCACCAACACCTGAGCCGCTAGAGCCTCCATTACTTCCTCCTCCTTCCCCAGCGCCACTCACTCCCCCATCGACACCCAAAATAAAGTCCAGGTCAAAGATAAAGACAATGCGTCGGAAGCTGGTGAGAGCTCTTTCGGAACATGGATTGGCATAGAAATCTATATATAATTACGCGCTATGTAGCATAAACTGTACTGATTTTACCTGAGCTCAAGATTGCGTCCATTATCAGCGTCACGTGCGATCACTCATGTCTCTCCCGTATTCCACTCTGGAAAGCGCGTCGCGGTCAGTTACGCAGTCCCCCTCTTCTTTGCCCACTCACACCCCTTCCAGATGGCGGAATCTACCTCCCCCGCCAGGCTTTTCCAAGGCCACGTCGGTACGCGGCGTTGATTGCACCAATTGCGCAACTCACTTCCATCGAGTCCAAAAGCACCGGCAAAGCCGCTGCTGTCCGGTCTCCTGAGTCATACAACACCCTCAAAGAGAAGCGGGCCATCGACTTCGCCCTGGGGCCGGCGAAGCAGCTTCCAATGCAGGCGTTTATGCTGTACATGTCGGGCAGCGGAGTGCAGATATTCAGCATGGGGATCGTCTTCATGTTGCTTCTCAGTCCATTCAAGAACATCGCTGGAATGAACGAGGGTGCGTGGCTGCACTGCCCATTCTTCTGGGCTGACTGACTTGGCCAGCATTCGCCCAGTTTGCCCCGACCACGGCCTCGAATCCCAAGTCGTTCACGACCCTGATTGGCCAGAAGACTCTATTTATCCTGTGCAACATCTTAACGCTTGCGGTCGGACTTTGGAAATGTCGGTCTATGGGGTTGCTGCCGACTGGGACAGGCGATTGGCTAGCATTCGAAACGAGGGGAATAGTACGTCTATTTTGCTTCAACTCTTCATGCTGATTGACCTTGTTTAGGCACCAGAGACCGTGTTATTCTGACTTATGTACGGTGGTACAACACTGCATATAGATATGTTTACTACGGGCTCCATCGAATCCCTATCAGGTGTGAGTTCGACTGACGACTGTCGAAAGCGAAGACATACCCTGGATGGAAGACAAAAAATGTTTACAATTTCCTTTTACGTGCAGCGACACTGACGCGAAGAGCGTTGAATGCCGCAATCAGTTCCTCCCGCTTTATGAAGTGGAGTTTTCGCTCGGGACAGACCTCCATCGCAACCTTCTCTCTCACTTCCTCCAACACCCTCCCCTCCCCCCACCCCACCTGGCGTGCCCCGACCAGATGGGCCTCTGATGAGCCCAGAACAGTAACGTCAAAGGACATCCTCATCACTGTCGTAGAACTCGTCTTCTTCGTCGGGCATGAGCGTTGTGAAATCGACTTTGTAACGCAAAAGTCCGCCAATTCCACCGAACCCTTTGACGAATTGCGCGCCTTCTTGCGATCGGTTGGTGACAAACTCGAGTGCAGCACCGAACTCCTTGTACTTCTCTGCGAACCATTCGAGGAGCGCTTGTGGCTCAGCAGATTGTTCCATCTCTAGGCCTGTCGACTTGTCGATAAATTTCTCTCTGTCTTTATCTTGCTCCTTGTTGGCGTGGACGATTATTTCCTCTGATGAGATGATCAGTGTTGGAGCAATGAGGTGAACAACACTATCATACCGCCAGCTGCGTTGCGGAGAGTGTAGCGCGTGATGTCAAGATTCTCCCAGACAACCAGGGTCTCAACGGCACCGAGATCGAGGGCCTTCAGGGTGTCATCGATACCGAAACAATATTTGCCAGTATCCTGGCTGATCTCGTCGAAGTACTTTTGTATAAGCTTTTTCTCCTGGACAAACTTGACGTTGGCGAGGGCATCCGCTGCCAGCTCAATAGCCTGGAGAGAAGTTTAGACTCGGATGGAGGTGCGGGAAGCATGACGTACCTGATTAAATCCGTTCTCCCCGCCATAACTCACATCAACGACCTTGATGACCTTTGCTGCCAGACGTGGGTCAAACATGTCGCTCTGGCCAAGCTCAGTCTTGAAATCTGCACTTCCTGCGAGAATGAGCCCGGTAACGTTGACCTTGTCGTTGGAAATGAAGTTCTGGACCGCAAGCTCGGCGACTTTGCGGACATAATTGTGGCGCTTCTCGTCACGGAGACGAGAGAAACGAAGAGCTGACTGACCACCACGGCCGTGTTTCTTGGGGAGGTCGACGGTGAATTTATGGAGCACCTCGCGGGTGTTGCCAGCCAAAGTGCCGAAAAGAGTGCCGTTTCCGTCCATGACGATGAATCCGAATCGGGAATCAGATTCGAGGAGTTCCGACAGGGCTTCAGTGTGGAATTTATTGTCGCAAAGGTAGAGAGAGCTAGTTGACGATTAGTCCGATATGCAAAGAGAGTAAATAAATTCATACGTATTTATGGGCTTGTGCGGTTCGAAGTCAAAAGACACTTTCTTTTCCTTGCCTTCATCGGTGAGGATGGTGCCTACAAACAGGACTAGACCATTTGGAGGAACTCTGTTGTATAGCTTGAGACGCTGCTGGGTACTGGTGATTGCAGCAAGGACAGAAAGTCGATTCACGCGAGACTTGATGTTGGAGGCTGTCCCGTACTCCTGCGTCAACATCGCAGACGCTCGGGAGATTTGGTCCTATATAGATTGGACATCGGATTGAGATTGGGAGGTAAAAGGTACCTTGGGAGGCAAGATGAGACTGATCATCGAAGTGCCGGCACTGAAGAGGTCGATGAGAATGAAGAAAAGACATGAAGACGACCAACATACCCCCTGGCCGAGTCAAGGCTCTTAATGAGCTTCTTGACCTTCCACATCTGGATATTTTGCTCAGCAGCATCGGGCTGGCTCATGTCGTCCTGAAAAATCGAGGCAAAGGCTGGGAAATTGTGTGTCACACGTAGTGGTCACGCTGCCTTGCACTTATGAAACGCGCTCATCCTGACTCGCAACCGACCGCCCGAAAGCGCGTCCGCACCGACGCTCCTGTTCCCGAGTCAAATGATGCGGTTCTGCGTCGCCCAAACATCACCAAACTTGCCCCTCCTCGCCCGTTTCCAACTGTACCAACTTCTGTCTCTGCAACGGGTCCGAGATCAGCTCACAAAGAAGGAAAAAATATGATCTGCATAACGCGCAAAACACCACTAGCCGCTTATCTACGACGATGCAAGAAAGTCATTCTTGAGGATGGGTTCGTTTTCTCGACGCGTCATTCGTCCTTTTCTTGATGAACAGCAAGTTACAAAACCCTTCATCTCAGTGCGATGGGTGCAGCGATACCACATCTTCTCCAACTCTCAGTTGCATTACCACCCATTCTCCCGTTCTCACCTTCTGAGTTGCATACCGAAGTTTCGACTAATACCGTCCACGTCCAAGATGAGATAAATCCGGACAACGAAGAGGATGATGTCCAGTACAACACCCGTGGAAAGTCAACTTTGCTGGTGGTCATTCGGATTGGCGATGGCCATGGCCCAGAGGTTAAAACAAAGTCTAAAGTAGCCAAACCTCGGCCAGCAACAAAAAGTGGTGGTGAAGGGTCCGGACCTGTTGTTTTTTTTGAGCCAGACCAAGAAGACATGGACATTTGAGTTCATTAGAAATATCCGTATGTCCCTTCATTTCTTGGCATGGAATGGTGATTGATTTCGCTCAGGCCATGTAATAATGTACACTATCAGACTGGGCCTGCTGTTCCACTATCTGTGCGAATGTGACTCTTCCCTTTGGGCAAGGTGCAACTTCCTTCTCACCCATGTTGGTGCTTAAAAAGCGTCTAACTGGATCTGCTTCGTGATAATATTTCCTCATGACCGCCACTGAAGGCCCCAAGCAGCCAGATATCTCGTATCATCCAGACGCAAAGAAATTCCGTGCCCGGACTGCTCGTCGTCTTGCAGAAGACCCATCGCTACCTCAGCAGCCTCTCCCTGCCAATTTTCCTGACCGTGTCGATGGCCCAATCGTCTGGGAGGGCAAAGACTGGACAGACGAATCTCAATGGGTCTACAACCTCTCGCAGACCCAACTCAATGAGATAGACGGAGCTCTGGCGCATTTCAACAGTGGGTTGCCCAGTCTGATAATCTTTCATTCCTACTGACGCTATTCCAAGGCCTTGATAAACCAATGGGATTCATCAGTCGCGAAACGTTCCCACTCCCCACTCTTTCGGCGGAACTCTGGAAACTCGCTGACGCGTTGTATAACGGTCGTGGCTTCTTTGTGTTGCGCGAAATTCCCATCGACAAATACTCGCGCAAAGACTTGGCTATCGTTTATGCCGGTCGGGAGCCTCCGTTGTCTGCTCACCCTGATCTCATTTGTAGCAGGACTTTCATCTCACGTTGGGTCTGGGCGTGGAAGGCAGGACGCCACCAACGCAGTCCTCGCCCACATCAAAGACCTGCGCACCAGCCACAAAGGAGTACTTGGTAATGCAGCGTATACCACCGACAAACAAGTCTTCCACACCGATATTGGCGATCTCATTGCCCTCCTCAGCATTCAACAGTCGGCCTCTGGTGGGGTTTCCCGTCTCGCAAGCAGCGGTTTTATCTACAACGAGATTGCCAAGACACGACCAGACTTGATCCATGTTCTGAAAGATAACTGGCCTCTCGATCGGTATGTGTTTCTCAGGTTTAACTCCATTTTGCTGATTCGCGCTCTGAAGTTTCGGTGGTGACCCACCTTATACCGAACGGCCGGTGCTGTACAACGAAGATGGCCATATTGTAATCCAGTACTCGCGCCGTCATTTTACCGGCTACGGCGAGCAGATTCGCAGCACCAATATTCCCCCCATCTCAGAAGCGCAAGCGGAAGCACTGGACATGCTGCATTTCCTCGCAGAAAAGCACTCGCTGGGACTCAACTTCCAGAAAGGGGACATCCAATACATCAACAGCATGGGGCTGCTCCACGCCCGCGATGCCTTTGTCGACGATCCTGAGCACACGTGAGTTTTGTTCCCGATGTCCCTCGTGTGTGTGGTTGAAGAGAAATAATAGACGCCATCTTGTTCGCCTCTGGCTCCGCAACGATGAGCTTGCGTGGAAAACTCCAAAACCGCTTGAGAAGACATGGGCCCTGCTGTATTCGGTGGCCGCAAATGCTCAGCGGTTTCCTCTGGAGCCAGAGATCCGCAAAACAGCGAGTGGTGCGACGAAATAATTGTTAGGAGCAACATAAGATAAGCCTATGAGGAGAGGGCACCAACAGAAAGGGCAGCGGACGATTATTTTGGTTTCGATAAGGAGTATCAGAAAAAAAAACAAGTTGGTATGTCGAGATAGGGGTAACATTGTCCTTCGATTAGCAAAAAATAAAGTAAAGCAAGGCACAAGCAAGTCTACTTGCCCCAAGCTTTGCGCTGATAGTTCAAGACGATTGGCACAAAGTCCCACAACCCAAAGTCCGGCCAGTAGGCCGACACGAAGTGTATTTGCGTGTTTTCATTGCACTGGACAGGGTTGTGGAAAGCACGACGGAAGGAGAACGTGGAACGCACCTGCCACAACAGATAGTCGCTCAGACGCTTTACCCCGCTGGTTCGCACAAGCACTTCAAGTGGTGGGCTCCTGGACAACGACGTGAAGAGTTGGTCCTCGACATCTTTTTCGGTAATGTGGCTGTTATTTGGTCAATCGTGGTCCAAACGAGTAGCGCAGCTCTCACATATCGGATGGGTTGTCCAAAGAAATGTGAATAGCAGACTCTACGGCCGTGGCGATTTCATCCTGGGCAGAATAGGACATGTGGATATTGAGGATCGCTGTAACGACCAGTTCAGCCTTTCGTGCAGAGACCGGTGTAGAAAAGACACATCTGTCGTTATTCCGGGTGATGCTCTCGACGTGTCGGATGGCTTCTTGCACGTATTCTGGTAACAGCGAAGTTTTGCCCAACACGTTTAATCGCACGCCATACTGCTCGAGAATATCACTGTTCGAGTTTTCAGGCCAAGAAATTGGGAGACTTTCATACGACACACACCCATGTTGGGACAGCTCCCTCAGTTTGTCGTGGGCCAAGTGCATGAGATGGTCTATTTCTTCTGGCGACCGCCGAAAGTTGTCCATTGCAAACGCGTAGACAGAAACACATCGGATTTCGAGGCGGAGACACGCTTCAAGAAGCTTCCAACGCAGTGTCAGGCACGCTTTAGTTTAGAAACAGACGACATACGCGTCGCAGAGTCAGAAACCCGTCGCTGTGGCCCTGTGAGATCGCTTTGTGGTTCATACGGGCGTAGCGGCGATTGCCATCCATGACAAACGCGACATGTTTGGGAATAGGCCCGGCGGCAAGGACATGAAGCAGCAAACGCTCGGCTCGTTGTACAACCTTGGCGCGAAGCCATCGAAGACAGCGCAAAAGCATGACGTGCCATATTTTGTGACTAAGCAACCCTCTGGTTAAAGATTTACTTCCGTCCGCGGAGCCTTCCGACAAAAAACCATTTCTTGCGGCAGAGATACACTTGACCTGCCGGCTGAGGGGCTCTCAACTTTCATCCAACCGATGCTGCACAGAATTTATTTGATTCATCCGGCTAACTACAAGTACCAGTACACAAAAATCTTACAAGTTACAACCATGTGGTCGGTTCAGAAAATTCAGCCTTGTCGCCCGAATCCCTGGTGAATTTTCGCGCTCTCCGGTTCGTTCAAATCACAAGCCGCTACTGTGGACTCAGAATCGTCGCTTTGGGTTACAGTGGGGCGTTTTTGATGACTGAAAACCGGTTTTTCAAGGGAGTCGCTAATCGACACCGGTGGGGCTGGACGGGGAGGTCGCCACGCGGCTGAGCACGAGGACGGCATTGACGTTGGTAATGACGGTACAGCACTGGTGGTAGTTGCTCGTCGGCACCGGAAGATAAAGCTGAGTATTGGCTAGGAGGAAGGTGAGACCAAGTTGAAAAGCCATGACCAGGGACAGACCTTGGTAGTGCCAAAGATGAGAAATGCTGCGACGCCGCAGGTAGAGAAAAACGACATCAGGCATGACCTCAGCAAAAGTCGATGTAAAAGAGACCATGTTGGCTCTGAAAATGTTGAGTCTATGGTTCAAGAGAGTTGAACACTTACTTACACAACCGCAACGCCCACAAACACTGAAAACAGCAAAGTGCGCAAGATGAGCGAATACGAGATCCCACTGTGGTCTAGGATACTACAAATGCGCCAACGCATGTAGAGGAGGCGGATGACAATCCCGATAGCAAAGCATAAGCATGTCAACGAATACACAGCACCCAGACCCAGGGAAGCGTACTGTCTAATTGAACATTATAAGACACAACAATTCACACTTGAAAAAAAAACGCACAGCGGAGTATTGTTGACAACGCAGTACATTGGCGAGCCCCGATAAACGATACTCCGATCCTTGAGGCCTATCACAAGTCCAGCACAGAACACAGGCAGCGCGGACACTATGGGCAGCAGCAACAACTAGAAGAAATATCTCAGTGAAGGCCGTTGCAGTAGCAGGTGACGCACTAATGGGGTACAGCTAACCCGCTCGTAAAAACCGCGCCAGGCTGGAAAGCCCGTCATCATAACGCCTGCCCAAACTTTTAAACTGAGCGCCAACGCGGAGGCGCCTATAAGCGGGACATTGCTTAGCGCGATAACACCGCTCCAGAGACAAACTTCGAAAGGTGGATGCTGATTTAGCGCGTGTCCTGACCATGCAAGGATACTGAAGGAAATCGAGGCAATGATGAAGGCGAGGGTCAGATTGAGGAGTACCAGATTGGTGGTATTTCGGCTGAGAATGTTAACGATGAAGAGCACGCTGTTACCCACCGCCGCGCAGGTCTGGAATGCATTCCATAGGATGAGGTGTGAAAGGTAGTCTTGTGGCTCGATGATTAGCATTGGCGAAGTGGGAGGAGGGAAACCAGATAGATGAGGTATATAGTCTGGAGAACGCCCAGGCCGCAGGTCTCAGATGAGTTCTGTTCTAGACGTGGGGCTGTCTTACTGAGCATAAGTGCCTCCATTCCAACCTCGTATCGGACCGATATGTCCCTGAGTAACATGCCACTGCCTTGGCATTCGTTGGTTTTGTAGACTTGAGTGAGCGCAGCATGAGGCTGGACATATATTACTGGGTGCAGGTTATTTCTTGGTGTGTTTTCGTTTGCTCCTAAAAGAATTATTTATCCAAGTACCAAGTTCTGTTGTAATGTTCGTTAGGATTTCGACCACGTTCGAAAGAAACCAAAGCAATTGTCCTACTAGATGTCTGACGTCTTGCTGACGTCTCAGCCATTTTGAAGCGCGATGGTTTGCCGCGGCTACCACTACTAATCCTAGTGGAGCGCTCAACCTTTGCCAGCAAGTTTTAAGCAGGTGTGTATTTCCTTGGCTCTTCTGCTTGCGCTGTTGCCCTGGAGAGGGAAGTGACATTCGTCGCATGAGACCAAGGGGATAGGCTAAACACATGTTGTGGCGCTCGGCGGCTCTACGCATTTGTGAAAGTGGTGCACTATGTTGAAGGGTCGTATAGTACAGCAAGAAGGTATTTTTCGTCTAGAACCAAAGCATTCACGGACAGAGCAAACTTGGACCGAAACTCGCGCACCACCCAGGCGAAATCATGACTTCGTGGCGTTTTGTCCTTATTCTGAGGAAACACAAGTCACCCTTGCCCCCGAAATGAGCAAGTATCTAAGAAGGAGGCAGCGGCAAGAACGCACCGACTCCCCTTCGCCTGGGTGGACGTCCTCCAAACCTACCTAAACACCCTCCACGCATCTTCCCAATTGCAGCTGCATATTTATTTCCCCGCTCGCCATCGAATACGACCCCCCGCATGTCGAGCAATGCCCACGGGGTGTCCGCGGCTGATGAGAAGATAGCCAATCACTGCGCGATGCGACGAGAGGTGCGATAATGTTCGTTCGAGTTCAGATATCATGGGTGTCGGAGTAGCTGGAGTTGCGCCATTAGGCAAAGGTAATGCCAGGGGGCGCGTTCAATGTCTCCACTATCGATGAAAGTGAGAATCCAACTGAGAAAAAAGCAACCTGACATGACTGGAGGGTCTGTGACAGTCACATCGCTCCGAATTCCGAACCAGGTATTCTCAAACTGCAATTGAAAATTTACTGCAAGTGCACTCTGGGTTGGTCCGGAATATACAAGTTACTATGCAATCTAAAGACCAGCATTGCGTGGTGAGACAAGGTAACGCTCAAGGAAGTGAAGCTTAGCAGCATTCGTAAACTCAATAACACTTCGCTGTTTAAATCCTGGAAACACGGTTAAGCAGTCGGCAGGAGAAAACATGATCCCCCACCATGTCCCTCCTTAGCACAGACCATCAGCTCGCTATGGACCCTACTCTTTGTCACTGTTTGCCACATGCGGACAGCCTGGTCAACGGGAATACGGCTGTCGGAGTCTCCATGCGCAATTTGCAGGGGGGCAGCAATTTCCGAAGCGCGGTTGATGGGTGATATGCGCTCTAAAAATGCACGGATTTCCGGGATGCGTTCGTCACCGTATTTTCCGCGTCGGTGATTCGCGCGACTGGGCGCTGTCTTTTCCAAAAACGAGGGCCAGTGAGCCACAGGGAAGTTCGCTACTCCGCAGGCAAATCGAGTGGGAAAGTGGATGAGGGTAGCCTGAAAAAAAACGTCGAATTTTGTTCTTGGATTGAGGATGGGCTTACAAGGGTCATATACCCGCCATCTGTAAGCTGTTTAGCAACCAAACAGGATTTGGAAAAGCACAAACTGACATGAACCTCCCATCACCGCAATCCTCTTTGAATCAAGCTCGTTTGCCATAGAGGTCTCGACATGATCGAGCAACGCGCCGATGTCCCTATGGACTATCGTCTAACCAAATGAACCAATAACACTTTCCGCTTACTTGACTGAATCTTCCCGCTTTTCGACACTGTCGGCCGCCATAAAGTGTTTGCCATACCCGCGACTACCTCGAACATTGGGAAGGATTACAGCGCACCCAAGCTCGTTCATAAGGTACCAATGGATAGGCGACCGCCTATTCGAGTCGGATTGAGCTGAACATAGGTCAAAGTCAGCGAAAGAGAAATAGAACACAAACATTCTGGGCCACCATGGATGTCGACGACGAGTGGTGCCATGGTCTTCCCGTCCGTAGGATGATAATACATGCAGGGAATTTCCAACCCATCAAAGCTCTTGAACCGGATAATTTTCGATGGGAAGGTTGGGTAGGAAGGCGGAACGGGCGTGGCTTGTTTGTAAGGAAAGACGGGCACGGGAATGTACGAACCGCCATTTTCGTCTGTTTTGACATTTTCGGGAATGATATAACCGTCGAGGTCCATACGCGCAAGGCGATTCTGGGATAGATGGGATCGTAGAGTTACTATTAACTCATAAGGTTTGCCGTTCCTGGCGTTGGTGTGGACGGTGAACTGGCCACCCTCCCACTGCGGTTTGATTTGCACAACCTTGCCCTTGAGGGGACCATGCAACTGCCAGATGAAAAGAGCAGCATAGCCATCAACGTTGGCTTGAAAGTAAACGCATTCGGAGTTGACTGCTAAACGCGAGCAATCCCAGTCAATCGGACGGAGGGACCGAAGATCATGCTGAGGCGTCGTTATGTGTATGACTGAACGAGTTTTGATGTCATAGGTACAGATAGACTGAAAAGCACCAAACGCGTCACCGACCAAGTAGAGTAAATGTGGTTGGTTGGGATCACGAGAGAAGGACGCGGATGCAAACGCGGTTTCTGCTTCACTTTCTGTAGCATTTGGGAGTAAGATTCGTTCAGGATGGCCGCCTGAGGTAGGAACGATGAAAAGCGGTCGGAATGCTGAGGTTTGCACGTCAATCAGGACGAGATACTCGTCATCGATTGAAATTGACTCGATGCTCCATCGGGAATGACCATTCTCGGGTAACGGGGTCACCAGTCGCGAAGGTAAAGTAAGCGGATTAGAGTCTGCTGTGGCGCCAGTATCAGAGTCAGTCATTTGCGAGATGTATACGAGAAGGTCGGTTCCGTTCTCTTTGTTGGAAACAAATGCCATGATTCTGTGCTCGAGCCGTCAGACATACGACTGAAAAAAAGTGGATTTGTCAACTTTTGCGAGTCTGATATAACAATGTTGAGATATTTATTTTCGTCGTGCGTTAAACGCTCGATACGACCACCGGGGGAATTTTGTAGCTCGCCATCGATCGCCGGAAGCGGGGTGTCACCGTCCTCCCAGTAGCGCCAGAGCTGGAAATACTCGTTCCCGTTGAGGTCCATGGTGAATACATGTCCCCCAGACCTCCAGACTCCACGCCAGTCTTCTCCGACAATGGGATGGAAGGAGCCAATGATTCTGCCGCCTTTGAAGTCAAAATGAGTAATTCGCTCCATGCTATTGACTTGAGGATCCAGCGAGATACGGTAAAGCTCTGCTACTTGGGAATCTTCAGGACGATGTTGAATGATTGCATTATTTGCGGTATTATCGCTTCCACGGGGCTTTTCAAAACAAGTAAAAGCAAATCCTTGGGTGAGGTGGTCAATATAAGAAAAGAGTAGTCCAAGGAGCAGTGTGACCTCGAGCCGCAGCCTCATATTTCCGCATATCTTCGAAAATACGTTGAGGGACAGCCTTCATGTTGAAAGCTTTTATCTGCTCGGCAGGTTCCGTGAACTCGAGCCCGCTATAGTCGAAAGGAGCAGGCGGAGCCATGCTGTTTGAGGGAGAGTCAGAACCTTGAGACTATCTGCGTTCACACTGCTCGCATCGTGGTTCTAGCCAAAGTTCTCATCACTCCGCTCGGCCCGTAAGCATCAATGATGCCATCGCATAATCATAATCTTTGCTTCTCTCCCTCACCAATGGCGTTTTCCAATGCCTCCCACGCGAGGCACCGACCCTCTGGCAGACTATGACCTTTCGCATCCCATTGACACGCGCTCCGGGCTTCGCCAAGGGCTAACCTCATACGGAGACCCACACTTTTCGCTCTTCCTACGCAAAGCCTTCATCAAAGCAGCTGGTTATGGCGAAGACGCACTCTCTAGACCAGTCATCGGAATAATCAACACTGGCAGCGGCTACAATCCGTGCCATGCAAACGTTCCCCAACTCGTAGAAGCTGTGAAGCGGGGAGTCCAACAGGCTGGCGGTTTGCCCATTGACTTCCCAACAATCAGTCTTCACGAGTCGTTTGCAGCACCGTCGAGTATGTTCTTGCGGAACTTAATGAGTATGGACACCGAAGAAATGATCAAGGCTCAGCCTATGGATGCTTGTGAGCTCTTGCCGTCTTCCAAAATGTCTTGTTGCTCAAGTATTAGGCATTATGATTGGCGGATGCGATAAGACAGTACCAGCACAGTTGATGGGAGGTATATCTGCCAACAAACCCGTCCTTCCTCTCCTCACAGGCCCAATGATGCCTGGCTCCTACCGAGGCAAGCGACTCGGCGCATGCACTGACTGTCGAAACAACTGGGCAGACTACCGTGCTGGAATCATCGATATCGAGGAAATTGCGGCCATAAACAATGAACTCGTGCCTACGGTGAGAGTGCTTCGTTAATCCTTTAGTTTGGGCTGATTATGACTATAGTCCGGAACTTGTGGGGTGATGGGGACAGCGAGCACGATGGCCGCTATCACTGCAGCATTGGGTCTTATGCCACTGGAAGGTGCTTCGGCACCGGCCGTCTCCTCCGCTCGTCTCCGAATTGCTGAAGCAACGGGAAGAAACGCGGTATCAGCCATTTCTGAAGGGCACAAACCCCAGCATATCCTATCTCGCGAGTCGTTTCTCAACGCAATCACTGTACTCCAAGCAATCGGAGGTTCGACCAACGCTGTAGTACATCTCATGGCCATTATCAATCGACATCCTACAGTTGCGGGAACCATCACCTTAGACACCTTCGACGAAATTGGCAGGAACACGCCTCTGCTGGTAGATCTCAAACCCAGCGGGGACAATTACATGACCGATTTCCATAACGCGGGCGGGATGACTGCGTTGTTGCATCATTTACGACCACTGTTGCATTTGTCTGTGTTAACCATCACGGGACAAACCTTGGGAGAAGTCCTCGATGCTGCTACAAACCACGACTTTCCGTTTTCTCGTGAAATCATCCATCCATTAGCCCACCCGCTCTATCCGGCTTCCTCGATTGTTGTATTGAGAGGTAATCTGGCTCCCGGCGGGGCAGTCATAAAGGCTTCTGCTTCCCAAGACCGTCGCCTCCTCAGTCATTCTGGTCCTGCCGTCGTTTTCGTTAACACAACAGACCTCGCTCTTCGCATCGATGACCCAGACCTACAAGTCACGCCAGACTCTGTGCTTGTTCTTCAGAACATCGGGCCAATTGGAAACCCCGGCATGCCTGAGGCAGGATTAATTCCAATCCCTAGAAAGCTCGGCGTGTTGGGGGTCACAGATATGCTTCGGCTGTCTGACGGCCGAATGTCTGGTACAGCCGGGGGAACCGTGGTCTTGCACATATCACCCGAGTCGGCTCAATTGGACTCTGTATTCGGCGTTGTTCAGAATGGGGACATCATCAAGTGTGACTTGGAGAGTCGCCGGTTATCCCTAGAAGTGTCAGAAGAGGAAATTGCCCGCAGGATTGCGGAGAGGAAGGAGAATCAGCCAGTAGTTGCAAAGAAGAGAGGATATCGAGGGCTTTACGAGCGGAGTGTGAACCAAGCGCAGCACGGTGCTGATTTCGATTTTCTCACGGCCGCTGGATCCTAGTCTTGCCCGTGCACTGAGTCTATTCTATTCACCGAGGATGCATTGGGCCACAAATCATGTACCCTGTGCTTCTGTGTGCTGGTTGAGCTTGAAAACAGCTAAAATATAGACAGTGGTTTGCGTGGAGCTCACAATTTCCTTTTTTTCGGCGTAGCAGTTGGAGCCAACTTCGAAGTTTTTGATTCCAGTCCAAACTAGTCCAAACTACGACATGAAGTCACATGATCGTGAAACACATGGCCACAACAACCATGCATAGTTTACCAGTTGAGCTGCTAGCGGAAATATTCACCCATTGCCTCCCCAAAAATGCAACACCGACCGCTACATCTAACTCTCCTCTGCTTCTAATGCGGGTCTGTCGACTTTGGCGCGATATTACTGTTGCAACCCCAGTGTTATGGACGACATTTTCTATCGACTTGACGTCGGCCAAGGGTATGATACCATCCGAAAGTTTGGAACTGTGGCTTTCGCGCTCCCAAAACATGCCCTTGACTATCAACGTTGACGACGCCGGCTGCGAGGAACCTCGGGCTGACCCGCAGTATTGGATGGTTTATGAGGAGCTCTGTCGACACGCTCAGAGATGGCAAAGCGTAACTTTCAACATACCGTTCGCCGCTATCTGGTGCCTTCCTACCCAACAACCGCTTAAGCTACTCAAGGGGCTCAAGTTTGGGAGCGAGGAGGAGGATCAGCCCGTTCCTGGCCAGGCCCTGGAGAGCTTCGCTACCGCCCCACAACTGCGCGCTGTTGATATTACGCTAGACGCTTCCGGAGCCGTCTACATTCAAGGAATCCATCTCCCTTGGCACCAGTTGACAACCTTCCGTGGCACGTTGTTTGCCACGTATGAATGTGCATTTGTTTTAAGGGAGGCGACTAATCTCGTTGACTGTCGATTCAGCGATGTATCTACTGGGATGGTCTCAGATAGCCCTCCGAAACCACACTTCCAACTTTGCGAACTCCAAATGGATGCGCGAAATCTGATAACTTGCTTGGACCTTCTCCCGTTCTTCTCCTTCCCCAACTTGAAAAGGCTGGCGTTGGGATCGCTGGTTCGCGAAGGCCGTAGTCAGATTTCTTGGTCTGTGTTCAATTCACTATTGTCGAGATCTTCTTGCTCTCTTGTCCGGCTTGACATTTCGGTCAACAACATAAAATGGACAGATTCACTGGTTGAGTGCTTCTCTCTGCTGCCCTCACTAGAGCATATGGAGATTTTCTGGTTCAATGAAGAATCCAGCATTACCCCGCTGCTCCAAACATCCAATGCCCTCCTGCCTCGACTCCACACACTTGTTCTCTATTCGGAAAACTCACCCAGCAGCCCTTGGATCAATGACATAGTCTCTCTCTTGTTTGTCCGCACTTCCGACAAGTGGGTAACGGCGCATGGTGCCTCCTTGCAACACTTTCACTACATCTGGATGAGACTAGGCGACCCTTATCCTGACGAAACAGTTCAGAGCCGCATCAAGGCCCTCCGTGACAGAGGCCTGCACGTAGAATTCCGTCCGAATGAGCCATTTGTTTAGCTTGGTGTCGCATATAATCTAATCTTGTCTTCATCCAATACATTTTGTACATCAGCAACTCTTTTGATGTGGCTCATGTGATCGACGCGGCGTTCGGCTCAACTTCTGGCAATGACCCTAGCAAAGGTGCTTAGAGTGCTAAAACTCACGCTTAGAGTAGATGTATGGACAGTTTTACGTCTGTTTTCAACACTAAACTTTCGCCTGATAGGTCCCCGCAACCAGAATTCGTCCCATCGGCCGAGGTTACAACAATGACCTATTCATCGTTGACCACGACGAGTTCAAGGTCGTCCACCACAAGCCACAGCAAGCAGGGACTGTGCCGCCGGCAAGTGGCGCGAAAACCGTGGTGGTCCGGTTGCTCAAGACCGCGTTAGACGGACTGTTGGAGAGGACAGAGAACGAGGTTGCTGCACTTTCGCTCGTTCGCGGGCCTCTACACAAGGTGGTCCATGTCCCTAAAATCTACGCTTGGAGTACAACCGCGGACGAGTTTCCCTTCATTATCATGGAGCATCTCGAGGGTATTCAAGTTTGCTCCCAGCTTCCCATGTACTTTTACTCATGCTCTACAGGTGTACCTCTTGATACAATCTGGCCGACGCTCGACCTCCCTGCGCGCCTGCTAATTGTCCAGCAGATCGCGACAATCCTCAAGACTTTGCAATCTATTCCTAGTCCAACTAGCGTTGATACCTTTGGTGGCTTGTCGTTCACGCCTTCGGGAGACATAACCACTTCCATGCACCCAGATGGATTGGGTGGCCCGTTTTCTTCAGCTCACGCGCAATGGCTCTCGATGCTGACGCTCCGTCTGAGGGATGCTGAAGCAAATTCCGTGATCGAAGGTTGGAAAGCAAACGGGCTCCGTGATCGAATCGAGGCGTTTGTTGCAAGCCACAAGTTCAGTGCTATCATAAACCAAGCCGCAACGGAACCCGTTTTCGTCCATGGTGACTTCAGTATGTCTCTTTGGCTGCCGTCTTGCATCTGATGTTTGTCATGAAGACTGTCGCAACATGCTCGTCTCGCCTGACACGCACAAAATCACTGGTCTGCTTGACTTCGAGTTCGCCCGTATCGACACAGCACCAGAGGAGCTCATGGACGGTCTTGAAGACTTCCGCGGCCATACGTGTCTGCAACCGCCACCAAAAGGTCTACAATTGCACCTTTTGGACGCGAAGTCCAGCTGGCCGTGCCAGAGGGACGACTACAGCCTTGCGCTCAGTGACGGGTGTCAGATTGCCCTTGCATGGAAAGATGCATTCCGCATTGATGGGCCAGAATATGACGCGACTGCGCGGGCGTATTCATTCTTAGAGAATCTTTGCCCGTAAATATCAGCTCCGTCCCTTTTTTTTTTTTGAAAAGCTGACAGGTTCTCGTAGTTGGTACTTTTGTCAAGAGCCATGGCGGAAAGCGCACGATATGTCTGCTGAGCGTCACAAAGTCGAGAAAGTGTTGAGCGACATGTTGAGTAGTTGGGGATTTGAGCAGAAATCACATCAAGTCGCGCAAGAATCAAAAAGTAGAACATTACGACCAGACATCTGGGTCCTTTCTATTGGCCATCGAGGACCACCGTTTCTTGTCGAATTTGAAGACACCCCACAGCTAGATAAAACCATCAGAAAAATGTTCAGACATTCGAGCGAAACAAAGGACCTGATCAATGTAACCTTGCTCTTTAAACGCTTCCATCTGAGCGCGCACGTCATTCTCCAGCTCCGAGTTCTCCGCACACAGCTCCTCGATTTTTTCCTTGACGCGAACGGAGATGTTATAGAGATAATGTCGAACTTCGTGACTAAGAGAGCTTGAGCATCCTATTTCATCACATTAGCAAGCACGCACTAAGCTGTCGCCCGTCTGAAACAGCGAGCGCCGATGAAGAGCTTGAATTGCGGAGGATAGGGCAAGTTCCTTGCTTCGGCATTGTTCTCGAAGGAAGTGCGTGTTCCGTATTTGATTCCACGTTCTTTCTTTTTCTGCAGTGGTATCACTTCAATGGCAATTGATTGAAATATAAGCAGGAACCCTACCTGGAAAGTGTCTGGATCGTATGTCCCCTTGCGTGTTGAGAGCTCATAGGACCCACTGACGTCACACGAGTACATCCCACGCGTCCAACATGCATGGCAATTCCCTGTACTGTCACATGAAGTTCCGTCCTGAAGAGAAGGCCGCAGTTGCAGGGTGGCGATGAACGGCGCTTTCCACGTCGTATGAACCAAAGTATCAGAGAGAGGCTCAATGGTCTTTCGGAGGGCTGCCACAGCTGTTTGGTAGTATTCCTCTGATGCAATGTTAGCGACGATATTGGAGGAGCAAAAAAATGACACACTGTCGTCTTCTGAAGCTGTTTCCCGCCATTTGGGGTCGTCGTGTAGCAATACCATGTACTCAACGAAGATGCCAAAGTTTTCTTCGAGATCACGGCTGGTATATCGCATCCGATCCAGAGCAGCTTTCGCGTCTTCATCCTCTCCCTCCTCGACTATGAAATCTTCACCGTCGTCATCGTCCTCATTTTGTTCCGCTTCATTTTCCTCATCTGGATCCACCTCTGGAATGGGGTCAAAGTCGAGCTCCGGTTCGTCGTTGACCGCGTCAGAGGGAATTGGAGCAGGCGAAGACCGATGTTTTCGTGCGCGTGCATATTTCTCAAGCGCTCCTGCCAGGACTTGCCGTTTGGTCGGTTTTGAAGTAGAAGATGGTGCTTCTGGGACTATAGAGGAAGGTGAGTTGACAAATCAGAAACAAATGCCACCTACGTTCGAGGTCCTCGTCGTCTGAATCCAGTTTGTACTTGTCTGCATCGTCATTTTTCCGTCTGAGCCTGCCCTTACTGGGCTTAGCAGCCTCATCTTCCTCTTCCACTGGCGAAGAGCCCCTCATGAGTCGTTTTCTCCTTCTCGGCAACAGTTCTTCGTCGGAATCCGAGTCGACCATAATCGTTTGCTTCTCCAGTCTGGTAGCGTCTTCACTATCGCTATCTTGCACATTGGCTGTCTTTTTTTTCACATTTGTCTCGCGCTGATGCTTCTGTTTCGGTATCTGGGGCTCGTCGTCATCTAAATCCACCATTACTACCGCAGTTTGCTTCCGTTTCTTGAACTCCATTACTGAATCGTCTGGGTCGGACTTCAAAACCTTGGCTCGACGTGCTTTTTTGGCTGGTGGTGCGCCTTCAGCTGACGGGTGCTTTCGTTTGCCCATACTCGTCGAGTGTTGAGGCGCGTTGCGTCACGCGAGTCACACATCGTCGTACCTAAGTAAAATTATGGGTGCATGCATCTCATTTATTAGCTTCAAATGGCTATGAGTGGTCTCGAATTGAACAGTATATAGCGGAAATCCGAAGCGAAGTCAAAATCTGACGAGAAACGGCAAATCATAATGGTCAAAGAAACTGGGATACATCCACGGGCCACGGCTAGCGCTAATGAGCCATATGTACTTACAATGCTACGTGCTACATAATTTAACATATCACCCTCGTCCTTTGCCTTTTCTCCGTCCAGCTGAGGGCGACTCCGGCATGTTCTCTTCCGCTGAATTCGAAGATTGGTCCTCTGATCCAGAAGTGTCTGCCTCTGCATAACTTGTTCCAATAGAAGATCGTGTTCGACCAGAAACGCGTTTGGTGGGCGGCGCATCGGGCACATCATCAACTGAATTGGACTTCCGTTTGCTTTGTCGTTGATTGAGCGTTGGGGGAGGTCGTGAATATGGCTCAAGGACACCTCCAGCCTCCAAGTCCATAATGCCCTGCTCTATCGGCGCGAGAAAGGCAGCATAGTCCGATTTTGCTTGTTCAGCATTGTAGGGGGGCAGAGGAGTTGGATGTAATATCCGGGTTGCTGCCCCAATTGCAGTTATTCGGGTTCGGAAGAAATGGTGAAGCTGGTGGATGACAGCCATGAGGATGTCATGTTGGAGTGGAAACCGGGTGACGCGAAATTCAAGGTCACATAGAAGAAAGGAGCGTTTTATGGGGGCTAAAGCCATCGCCTTCGGTGTATTCCCGCCGTCCATCCAGGATTGGATTGAGGGGGGAAGTTTCGCAATTTTTTCCCCATGCTCGTCGAAGCCGCATAATACGTAGATGATGACATAGTAGATCGACTCGAGGTCGTCCATAGGTTGAAGATGGCTTAGGCGCTCAGCGTCCCCCATATGCACTCTCACTGAATGGTAAATTTCAGTGCCCTGGTTGCAGTGTGAGAAAACCGAGCTATAGGTACGAAAAGGTAGAGAAACACACTGTTCTGAGGTCAGAAGAAGATGCCAAATCCCCAGCAATGAGGCGAGCCATGCGTTTTGCGAGATCCCAGTCAATCAGAACAGCGTGCTGATCTGCTCTGTCGTAGGCAAGACGTATGTTGAAAGGGCTGATGTCACTTTGGAGGACACGTTTGTCTTCATCCAAGCCTATGGTGGCTGTATGGTGACCTGTAGAAGAAGTTAGTCCTCTGGAGACACGGAGGAAGAAAAACTAGCAATATTCACCCTTGACAATGTCACGAATCGCACAAAGGAACTGATGGGCACAGACTGCCTCATCAAGTGTGGCACCATATTCAACCACAACGATACGCATCAAATATCGGTTAATGACCGTCGGTGGGTACTCGGACGAAGGAGGGGAGTCGTGCTTCATTGCCTCAGTTGATGGGATGCCTCGCAGTTCCTTAATCGAGAAGCGATCATTCTCAAAGCAGAGCATCTGGCCAATGCCAGGTATTCCGCTAAGGTCTTGGAGAATTTCGGACTCAAGTATGCGCCCATCACCGCGCCAATAGTCCTTGATCACATATGAAACACCATTGCAAACGGCACGCCAACAGACTGTTCCTCGAGAGCGAATGGTACGACGAGAAAAGAGTGGCTTGGGATCGATAACGAAGACATAGACTGTCTTGGTGATGTTGTCTCGCCATTCGCCAGCGTCGTTGTCATAGATTCGCGGCGGGATGAGCTTCATTTTACGACGACCGTTTTCCCAATAGATTGACGTATCAAATCCAATCAAGGATTCGTCGAATGCACTGCCAAGCAGTACAAGTTTGACGAGGAAGATGGCGCCAGCAGACGAGTGATAGTTGACAGGTTGCGAATAATAACAACCACTTCGATCAAAAAGAAGGATTCGGACAGTCATTGGGGTGATGATGTTGACGCGCACAAACATTCGGTTCGGCTGTTGAATAAACACCTCTCTAGCATAAACTGCCATCTGCGATCGTTCTGCTTTCCCCAGATTGTCGGAGAGCTTGTTGTCGTAGATTTCGCCGATGTCAGCATACGAGAGAGCTGGGGGGGAAATGCGCAGAAGGGGTTGCGCAGCCTCCGGCGAGGAGGATAGAGATGTCGGGTTGTGTGTGGAGCGAGCCGCTCCCGCCACCGTCCACGTTATGCTGAATACAGACCCGATGAGTATCCCTTGCCAAGCGTCGTTTAACGACGGCTTCATCGTCCTCGGAAATCAGCTGGTCATGACCAAAGTACTCAATGATGTCGTTGATGAGCGTCACGGTGGGGGAATAGAGGACACTTTCGTTGGCTGGCTTTGTGGGGATGTGCTTCCAGCGCCGGTTAAAACCGGAGTAGGACTGAATCCAGTCGACTATCTTTTTCTCCTGCGAAAGCTGCGCGGCCATTGATATGATGTGTTGCTGGAGAGGGCAAGTCGTGCGGTCTTCTTCGACCCACGAGTGGCTGAGTTCCAAAAGCATTCGTTTGCGAATATGGTCGACCACTTGGTATTGATGGTCATCATCGTGTGAGGAGACGCGGTGGGGGGTGGGAGGTGTGACGGAGTGGGTAGTACGTTCGGCACCGTCAATGCTCGAGCCGGCAGTATCGCTTTGTAGATACTCGTACATGCGCTTGAACTCGATGAGACCAGTCTCCTCGATCTCCGCACGCCTATTAGCGAGAGCGGTTTGTTCCAAAGGTGTTTTGGCCGCTTTGTCGGCGACAGGCTTGAAGTCCCGGGCCGCAAGTTCCAGCGAGTCCTCAGTTATCCCTACGAGGAATTTTTGCGGCGGGGTAGGCTTTTTCGACATGAGTGTTCGCAATAAAAGGGTTAGCGGAACGCACTTTCTCGAGTGTCTTGACAGTTGTCTCTGAAAGATCTGAAGGAGGAGGCTTAGGAGGGTCTTGATTACCAATCAAGTTTTGGCACCCAAGTACAATTACATACATATTATTACGTCAAACAAACGAACGCAGATAGACTTCAACTTGTAAATAAGTATATCTTGTGTATATGCATATGTTCAGACTTGAGTCGGTATACCGTTCGAATCACATGACCGCGATTTTCCCCCACAAAATCACATTTATATTTCGTCGCAAGTTTACTAGTGCTACACTGTGCGTGACGCTTCAAGTTTCAGCTTGGTTGCAATTATCTTTGATTCTTCAAGCTTTATACCCGATATCGCCTGGCCAAATTTACACAAGGTCTGGTCAGTTCATGTTCGACTCTTACTTAACGTCAAAATCACATGATCGCGCAAGAACATGATGACAACGACCCTGTCCAGTCTACCAGTTGAGCTGCTGGCTGAGATATTCACCCATTCTCTTCCGCAATACCAGTCGAAGCCGAAAATATCCACCTCTCCGCTGCTTCTCACACGCGTTAGCAGACTGTGGTACAACGTTGCTGTCGCTACACCAGAATTATGGTCGACATTCTCTGTTGATGTGAGAGCAGAGGAAGATATGATTCCGCTGGCGGCCGTCAAACTGTGGCTTTCTCGCTCACAAACCTTCCCTTTGTCAATTTCCGTGGACGACTCGGTCTTCGGAAAACCTGAACCACCTCGGCAGGCATTCTATGATGAACTCTGTCAACATGCGGGTCGGTGGCGGGACGTGACCTTCAATGCGACATTCACTATGATTTGCCGGCTTAACGTCCAGCAGCCGCTGGATATGCTAGAAAGACTGAAGATGGGAAGCGATGATGACCGCCAATTTGTTCCGGACCGCTCAATCGCGATGTTTGCGACAGCCCCGCGGCTACAGGTTGTCGACATCCTCCTGGACTCCGATGAGGCTATCAATATTCAAGAAATCAGCCTTCCTTGGTGTCAGTTGACGACCTTCCGGGGCCAACTTATCACTACCCAGGAATGTTTCTTTGTGTTGCTTCAGGCAGCCAATCTTGTCGAATGCGAGTTTCGCGATATCGTTCTCCAGGGACCCGCCACACCCAGCAATGCATCGGTCTCGCGACATCTGCTGCCCCATATCCAAACTCTCCGGCTGGACGGGAGCTTTGCCGAGAATTATATAGAGCTGATACTGTCACTGACACTCCCCAACGTGAAAACGTTATCCTTGGGCTCAAAAAAGCAAGTGTACACCGACAACATCGTCTGGTCAATCTTCGACAGTTTTTTGTTCCGGTCGGTATGCAATTTGACCCACCTTCATTTCTCCGTGAACAACTCGACAAACGAATGGGAGGAGCTGGTCGAGCGGCTGCCCATGTTTCAAATGCTAGAATTCTTAGAGCTATTTTCGTTCAATGGGGACTGCAACATCGCGCCTCTAAGCTACACCTTTAATGTCCTCCTGCCCCAACTCCAGATGCTCGTCTTCTCTTCCCGGGGGCCTCCCGACAGCAATTCGATGGCTAATATCATCACACTTCTTTTCAAACGCACCTCAGTGGCCTGGACGGCGACGCACAATAATGCACCTTTGCGCCGCTTTGAATATATCTGGAAGCTCGACAATGGTGTTGAGCTGGACGAAAAGCTGCCGCGTCATATTGAGAAGCTCCGTCGTCGAGGCCTCCAAGTATACTTCGGCCTATTCAAAGGCCTCACTGAAGCACTGCCCTTACGACAACATACCTAGTGAAGCGTACTTGGATCGCCGTAAGTATTCACAACTTGAATAGTATCTTCCCAGTCTTTATAGCTGGTAGAATGAAATCCTTTTATGCGCACGACAACTTGACGAACCAAGATTCCTTTGTCCAGAGAAATTGAAAACTGGACATCATACGTCATATATCATCAGGCCATCTTCTTCGCATAGTCCTCGTATGTCAGAAGCTGAGCTTCTTGCGACTGGCACTAGAAGACTCGTCCCGTTTTCTCTTTTCACTGCGTCACCACTGATCCCGCCCCACTCCTCGTCTTCCACTGCCACAGCTTCAGCAGCTGAGCCATCATATTCTAACAAAACTCTTCGTCCAGGGGAACAAGGTCCTCGTTGTCCGAATCTTCTACAAGAAGGAAGACGCGCCCTTTTCTTTCCGGCTACGAAACATCGCGGGCGTTCTTGATCTCAAGCTCAGGGCACGTGACACAGAATTAAATACTTCGCTTTTGACTTCGTCTCGTCATTCTCAAGAGGACAAATGGCTTTGTTTCGCTATCTCCTGGGACCCTACTACTCTTTCATCCACTCGCCCGTTCTCCTTCACGTTGGTATATTCTTCCAAAGCATTATTCGTCGCATCAGGAGCCTGAGCATTTTTTACACACATTCTCCAATCGTCTCAGCGCCAAAAGGCTTACAGTTCCGCGATTTCCGCCACCCACCGACAAAAATGACTTCGTATGCAGCGCTCACGAGTTCCCATAAGGGAGAAGCAGATGCATGAGCGTATTGGGGATCGCGTTTGCGAGCATCGTATTCTTCGCCCTCTTGACTAGCACCACTAAGCATACCGCGTAGCCCAGGTATACTACTAAAAAGCTAGATAACTCGCGTGTCAACTAAAAACCAGATGAAACGGATCAAAGACTTACTTCTCCGAGAAGGAATAGTCCGCCTGCGACAAACTCAGTCGCACCGTTACCTCCACTAACCAGCACTTGAACAAACCGACGGATCATAGCTTTGACTCGGTCGATGTTGTCAGCGTCTGCCTTGATGGACTTGAATAGCAGGTTGAGATACATTGCCTGCTTTGAAGACGAAGCCAAACGCGAGTCATGTAGAGAGGAGTAGAGCGTTCGGTAGTAGCGATCAGTTATAGATTTCGATGTTGGGGCAGACGATGATGAAGCTGTAGATGGCGCGGAAGCGGAAAGAGAAGCGGAGATTTGTTGGATCAAAACCAGCGCTTGGAGGGAGATGTTGAAGGTCGAGGTATGGGTTATCAAGAACAAGGTGTCGATGTGCTTGTTTATCCTGCGAGAAAATGAGACAAGAAAATGACGATAGAAACAACTATTTACCCAGCATCACTGGCCACGATCTTAGCATATGGCAAGGCCCGGTTGACGCCCGTCAGAATGGCCGAGATGAGTTTCGAGTGTGCATCCTCTACTTCTGCGAAACCTGCTGCTCCACGAGTCTCCACAACTTTGCCTTTTCCCTTCCCTTTCCCTTTCTTTTTGTCCCGGATTCGTCCAGCCTTGTCCGCCGATACAGTTTCTCCCTCGTCTTTCTCGTGCTTGTCATCCTCCTTATTCTCGTCTTCATCGGAATTTCCTTCGCCCAGAAGTTCCTTGAACAGCACAAAATATACGTCGATCAGCTGCAAAGCAACCTCTCGGTCTCCAGGAGCAAGTACAATCTGGTTGAACGTGATGGTCGCGTAATATCGTGCATGTGCATTTCCGGCCACTTTTTTCTCCTCTGGCTTTGCTTTCGACTTCGGCTTGTCATCGTCCGTGAATCGGATGTGTTTGGGAGTCGGGGCCGATGAGGTCGGTGGGCGGGAAGCAGAAGGGCGCAGAACGAGAGCAACGATCTCCCGGACAACAATGAGCTTCATGGCTGGATGGGTTTGCAGTAATTGAAGGATGAGGTAGGATGCTCGAGAACATATAGACTTCTCGGTGTCTCCCTGGCATTACGTCAACTTGGGCAATGTCAACAAAAAATGACCACACTAGTTTATTGACGAGAAGGCGCAGCAGATTCTGTTCTTGTTCGGGTTTTTCCCGCAGCAAAGTGCAAAGTAAGGTAATGGATTGCGTCCGCACATATGGGAGCGGATCGAGTGAAAGGGTCTACGATAAAGGTCAGACATCGAAGGAAATCTGTGAAGACCACTACCTCGAGTATCTGCAGGATGGAGAAGAAATATTTCTTGAGCCAATCTTCGAAGTACCACAGTAAAAGGTGTTGATCGGTGACGCCAGGATGTCCTAACGGTTGGTCTCGGAAATATCTGCTCAGAGTTGAGTATGATAAAAAAGGGTAATATAAAATCAACAAACTTGAGTTTGCGACTGGGCGCACCACCACCAACCCACCAATCCGAGATACATCGTAAAGCCTTCAACGATACTCTTGGGACACTCCAGCTTAGGCATTCACAGCACTCATGAGGCTGTCCGTTCCACGACTAATGACGATCATCTATCAAGCTTGACAGAGGACTCTGACCACGACCGCCCCCCCACCCTTACCCACCCAGTCGCTTGCTAGCGGCGAGAATGCTGACAGATATCCACGACCAGCGCATGCGCACGCAGAGGGCTTCTCCGGATGAAGAACATGGTGCGTTCTCTGTTGCTTTTGTCTTTGTTGCTCGTCTCATGACAATATCACAGACCTCCCGAGCCTGTCGCCCAGCATGTCCAATGAGTTAACACACCTGCATTTGCTTCCACCGCCCTGCTGCTGGGCCAAAGGCTGTGTACGCGGCATGATCAGTATGAATATTATACCCTTGTGTACTTACATGCATACTTACATGCAATTACAACAAATCAGAGTGAATATTGTGGTCCGACTGATTGCCTTGATAACCAATGTGTATGCCGGGAAAAAATGTCATTGGCCGGATCACAGATCCGAGTGCTACATGTTCTGAAAATTTTCTGTGACAGAAAATTGGAAATAGTGCTCACGCTCCTCATCCATCAAAGGCTGACATTTTGGGCGGATACACGCAGTCTTATTCCGAACTGGCAGAACGGCTTTCGCGCCAAATACAGAACTAACAACAACCCATTTGTTCTCCGATGCATTCGTGACTGGGCAAGAGCACATAGTAAGATTGTTTATGTGGCTGCCATTGATGCCTCCAATGCTTTCCCATCGGTTGATCAACCCTCGCTCTGGGTCAAGCTCCACAAATTAGGCTTCTCGGGCCCAATCTTTGACTGGCTGCGAAAAACCTATGCCAGCATGTCCTACGCTGTCCGGCATGGTGGTGAGGATGCAGACTCATACAAGGCGGCGATGGGATTGCTGACCGGAGATCCAGCTTCCCCAATCTTATGGAACCTGTTCATGTCTGACTTGTGCCTCCCACCTGACTCGGACGACTTCCTGTTTGAATCAGTACGGATTGCGATTATGGCTCAAGCAGATGACATCTTACTGCTGGCGTTCACGGTGCTAGCTTTACAACTCAAGCTGAATGCACTTGCCTACTGGTGCTCTCGAAACTTCGTTCTGATCAACATGCTCAAAACGGTGATTCTACTGTTTGGCCCTCGTCTGCTTCAAGCGCCATCTTTTTACATCAATGGAAACCTGCTGCAGATCACAGAACTCGAGCGCTATGTAGGTATTCACTTCCATGCAACTGCGACAACATCAAACATTCTTGATGAGCACTACAAGCAAAAAGCCAGCACTGCGCGGTACTGTGCCCATCGAATTATGGCTGTAGAAGATAAGGCATCTGTTACCCCGAGGGAACTAAGAAACCTGTACATGGCGCGTGTGGACTGTCATCTAATTCATGGCTGCGAAATCTCGCCAGACTGCGAGGATGTGCATGTAAATCGCCTAATAGATGTCCAGAAAAGCTTCCTCCGACAGATTCTCAATCTTCACAGTCGTTCAATGGTGGCTCCGCTTTATACGGAAACCGCCGTTGTCCCAATTCGCACACGCCGCTTCCTTCTCACTCTTGGCTACCTTGGCTACATATTGGATCTGCAACCTACGCACTTTGCCCGTGTAGCACTGAACAGTGCTATAGACCTACATGGGAGAGGCAAGCGTTCATGGGTTAAGGACCTGATTTCAGCCCAGTCAAAACTGGAATATGCATGCACAACACTTGTCCTAACACGGGACACCACTAAAGCTGAGATAGACAGTCATTCAAAGCACGTCTATGACCACATGCTCCAGTGGCTTCAGAGTGAAATTGACAACAGCCCCAAAATGTACCTGATCCAACAGCGTTTAGAACCCCAACCAGAAGGCCGTGCACCAAAGCTAATGACTCTACGCATGAGACATTATCTATTCATGGTGAAAACCAAGCCTCATCGTAATGCTCTGATTTCCCTTTTGCTGTCGACGCACCGACTGGCGATTGAAGAACTCCGCTATCCAGATCATGCACATCAGAGAGAACCCGACCGTGAACGACGCGTATGTCGCTTCTGCAAGATGGCTGTCGAGACTCCAGAGCATGCACTACTCACTTGCATGTCAAATCCTCTGCTCTTGCGACTACGTCTTGACTTCCTGGGAAATCTCTTTGAGAAAGCACCAAAACTCGCTGCCAAATGCATGCTGATGGATCCGGTCGACTTTCTTCGAATGGTGCTATACGAGCGCTCGACAATAGCAATATTGGCAAAACATGCATACGATGTACTGGAGGTCTACTATGCTACTCCAATTTACAGGTTACCACCAAGGATTGCTCGCCTTCCTTGACTCAACGGGCTAACACTGATTCTGATTCCACTCACAGACTAGGTTCTACAGCGCTTGGGAGACTGGGCGTGAGCTCGACTTGGAAACTGTTTGGAATCCCGGGACGAAGATATTCATATTACTGTACTGGCTATGTACTATGTATATCGGGCCAATCCCCGGAAACCGGCGTTCCTCAGTGGGACCGTGCCGCGTAATACTATCCTATCCTATCCTATCCTATCCTTCTGACCCGGAAAATTTCCAGAAGATTCTCAGAAGATTGATGGAAAATTCCAAATTTTCCGTGACAGAAAATTCTCGGAAAATCTTCAGAAAATCTTCAGAAAATTTCAAATTTTCTGTGCATTTTCTGGGGCGGAAAATGCATCAATGTCCGTAGTGTCAGCTCACGGCACGTGACACAGAAATACTTCGCTTTTGACTTCGTCTCGTCATTCTCAAGAGGACAAATGGCTTGGTTTCGTTATCTCCTTGGACCTTATTACTCTTTTATTCACTCGCCCGCTCTCCTTCACGTTGGTTCTTTCTTCCGAGGCATAATTCGTCGCATCAGGGGCGTACGTCCTCCAATCGCCTCCGCGCCAAAAGGATTGCGGTTCCACAATTTCCGTCACCCACCCAACCCTCTGCCAAAACCTGTTGTGTCATTCCTATACATCGCCTTGAACAAGCCTCCTTCGGCAACTTCCACCGCCCCTATCCTCCCACACACCCTCAAACTGTTGACGACATGCTTCCATGCATTAGCCAACGATCAAAGCCTATGCGCCTGTTATGATCAAATCTACATTATGTTGCGTCCACGACTGGCACAAAACTTCCCTGATCGACCTATTCCCAAGCATAAGTTCGGAGCATTCGAAGAATATGTCCTCACTAAGCTGCACACTGTCTGTGTGACGACAGACTTTGATCAGTGGTGGACGGGTACCGTTGCCTGGGGGTGTCATAAACCGGGATCCAGCTCTGAGAGATGTTCGCGGACTGCTTTGCCCAGCTTTAAATGGCGCGCTGATTGCCGCATACGAGGACATGGTAAGTTGTCCCTTGGTTGATTGACGAAGTTAAATCTCTCCTAGTGTGTTGCAAACGAATCTTCTCCTACCACACGACATAAGCGCTCTGTTCTTGAAGCCATGATCATCACGACATTGCTTCATGAACTTGCCCACACATGGTTGCGCCATATCCTTGCCGACACTCTCACACCACAAGAAATGAAAGTTTGGGAAACGCCCGAAAATCACCCGTATGACCCAATCGGTGAATCGGGACACCAGCTCGAAAGCTACTTGCTGCAGGGCACACTGTATTGTTGTTGGGATGATGATGACACATTTCTTATCGACCGATTCCACCGTATCATCGACCTTTACTTTCAAACCAACGGTGCGTAGCTCCCTTCGGAAGAGTGACATCCTCTAATTTTCAATAAGGTGCTGAGCACTTCTATGCTATCAGTCCGCTTGCTCATCTTCATTCTTTTTTGAATCATCTGATCCTTACATAGCGTGGTCCGGACTCGAAAGCTTCAGTCTGAACTTGCACTCTACACCGATGACTACCTCCTTGACAGAGGTTATGCAGACGTTGGGCGCAGCGATCGACTCTTCAGAACAGTTGTCAAAGAGTGTTGCTCGCACTTCAGGACTGTCGCTCCAGCGCGTTGGCAACTATGACCCTCAATCACAACTCCAGTCGATGCCCCTTGTGGACATCAGTCCGTATCCAGCAATCCACGACCACCTTGCCTTCACTGGACCGACGCGTGGCTGTGGGATGCGTGTAGAAGATAGAGGGGAATTGTGCTAGTAATGTATTTTTCCATCAACTGTAAAGGCTACCTGCAACAAACTCGGGCTGAGCCGGTAGAATGAGATCCTTTTGTGACGTCATATATCATCCTCTGGCCCATCTTCGATCATCTTCGCATAGTCCTCGTAACTCGCGAATGTCGGAAGTGACCTGAGCTTCTTGCGACTAGCACCAGAAGACTCGTTCCGTTTTCTCTTTTTCACAGCGTCACCACTGATCCCGCCCCACTCTTCCTCCTCATCTTCCACTGCCACAGCTTCGGCATCTGAGCCATCGTATTCTAACAGTCCCCCAGGGAACTCTTCGTTAAGAGGAACAAGGTCCTCGTTGTCCGAATCTTCTGCAAGAGAAAAGCCGTCGTTTTCACCATCGTCGTCGTCGTCGTCGTCGTCGTTTTCTTCTTCTTCTGAGTCTATATTCGAAGGAATACCATCGCTATCATCGTCCATCAGGTCTTCGTCTCCCTCTGCAGCTGGCATGCTGGCTTTCATGGCCTGGCCACGACGTCAATTATGAGTCACGTGACTGTCAAACACGAACCTTCCAAATCTCATCCTCGTCCAAATCACTGCCTTGATCCTCTTCATCGGATTCTCCAGCATTTTTCGCCTCATCTCCGGTGAGATCCATCTCTTCATCACCACTTTCGTCTTCATCCGAGGCACTCCCTGAGTCCTCTGCTTGCGATTCATCGTTCTCGGGTTTAGCTGACTTGGCGTTCCTCTCTTTCTCGTTCTTGCGGGAGAAGAAACGGTGAAAGAAAATCTGCACCATCTGTTATGCCAGACTCAAATTTGGGGAACGACCACAAACATACCTGATCAACAGGAATGTCTGATTCCTTCTTCTTCAGGAAAGCACTGTCGTTCATCCGGTCCTCCATATCGGCCATCTCGCCCTTGAGCAATTTGACGCCTTCCAGCCCACTCGCCGCAGGCTGCATGGCACTGGACCCTTTGCCCTTTCCAATCACGACGTTCGCATTGTTATTCTTGATTTTCTTGGGGTTTTTATAGACGAATCGATCAAGGAAGTGCGAAATTGTGTTCAGGGAGAGATCGGCGCTAGCAGTGAGGGGTTGGCCGGCCATGAGCTGGCGGGCGTGCAGTGAGATGGCTGGGTGGTAGTGGTTGAGCAGAGGTGTCTGAAAACAATCAGACGATAAAAATGACTTCGTATGCAGTGCTCACGAGTTCCCATAATGGAGAAGCAGATGCATGAGCGTATTGAGGATCGCGTTTGCGAGGATCATATTCTTCGCCCTCTTGACTGGCACCACTCAGCATACCGCGTAGCCCAGGTATACTACTAAAAAGCTAAATAACTCGCGTGTCAACCAAAGGCCACATGAAACGGATCAAAGACTTACTTCTCCGAGAAGGAATAGTCCGCCTGCGACAAACTCCGTCGCACCGTTACCTCCACTAACCAGCACTTGAACAAACCGACGGATCATAGCTTTGACTCGGTCGATGTTGTCAGCGTCTGCCTTGATGGACTTGAATAGCAGGTTGAGATACATTGCCTGCTTTGAAGACGAAGCCAAACGCGAGTCATGTAGAGAGGAGTAGAGCGTTCGGTAGTAGCGATCAGTTATAGATTTCGATGTTGGGGCAGACGATGATGAAGCTGTAGATGGCGCGGAAGCGGAAAGAGAAGCGGAGATTTGTTGGATCAAAACCAGCGCTTGGAGGGAGATGTTGAAGGTCGAGGTATGGGTTATCAAGAACAAGGTGTCGATGTGCTTGTTTATCCTGCGAGAAAATGAGACAAGAAAATGACGATAGAAACAACTATTTACCCAGCATCACTGGCCACGATCTTAGCATATGGCAAGGCCCGGTTGACGCCCGTCAGAATGGCCGAGATGAGTTTCGAGTGTGCATCCTCTACTTCTGCGAAACCTGCTGCTCCACGAGTCTCCACAACTTTGCCTTTTCCCTTCCCTTTCCCTTTCTTTTTGTCCCGGATTCGTCCAGCCTTGTCCGCCGATACAGTTTCTCCCTCGTCTTTCTCGTGCTTGTCATCCTCCTTATTCTCGTCTTCATCGGAATTTCCTTCGCCCAGAAGTTCCTTGAACAGCACAAAATATACGTCGATCAGCTGCAAAGCAACCTCTCGGTCTCCAGGAGCAAGTACAATCTGGTTGAACGTGATGGTCGCGTAATATCGTGCATGTGCATTTCCGGCCACTTTTTTCTCCTCTGGCTTTGCTTTCGACTTCGGCTTGTCATCGTCCGTGAATCGGATGTGTTTGGGAGTCGGGGCCGATGAGGTCGGTGGGCGGGAAGCAGAAGGGCGCAGAACGAGAGCAACGATCTCCCGGACAACAATGAGCTTCATGGCTGGATGGGTTTGCAGTAATTGAAGGATGAGGTAGGATGCTCGAGAACATATAGACTTCTCGGTGTCTCCCTGGCATTACGTCAACTTGGGCAATGTCAACAAAAAATGACCACACTAGTTTATTGACGAGAAGGCGCAGCAGATTCTGTTCTTGTTCGGGTTTTTCCCGCAGCAAAGTGCAAAGTAAGGTAATGGATTGCGTCCGCACATATGGGAGCGGATCGAGTGAAAGGGTCTACGATAAAGGTCAGACATCGAAGGAAATCTGTGAAGACCACTACCTCGAGTATCTGCAGGATGGAGAAGAAATATTTCTTGAGCCAATCTTCGAAGTACCACAGTAAAAGGTGTTGATCGGTGACGCCAGGATGTCCTAACGGTTGGTCTCGGAAATATCTGCTCAGAGTTGAGTATGATAAAAAAGGGTAATATAAAATCAACAAACTTGAGTTTGCGACTGGGCGCACCACCACCAACCCACCAATCCGAGATACATCGTAAAGCCTTCAACGATTCGTCCCGTCCACCCTTGCCCTTGCCCCGCTCGGCCATTCCCTTCAAGGTTTCGAGCGCCTTGATGTTGTGCAGGGGACTACTCTGAACCAGGAGCGTCAATGCACTCAGTCTATCGGACAGAGTGCCAGACTGAATTATTTTGGAGAGAAAGTTGGCTTCGGAGGCAGAAGAATTAGAAGATGACGATGTCTGGAAGACTTTGATGTCGGACTCATGAAGCTGAGCTGCCCGCGTTGTAAGTGAGGACACTTGGGTGGCAGATGGCGCAGGCAACGACGCTGGTGAAGGAGGTAATGGGGGGAGGGAGGAATACCATTCGGCAGAAGGAGAGACCACGAAACGAGATTTTGGATCGAGTGTAACCTTGGTTGGAAGCTGAACGCTGGGAGGTTCGGGTACTGTCGGTTCAGGTTGCACTTTCGGCGTCGGCGGCCCATTTCCTTTCTTTTTGGATGACTTCTTCCCTTCCACAGCTGGTTTTGCGCTCTTAGAGGCTTTTCCCTTCTCTTTGGACTGTTTGGGGGATTCTGAGTGAGGTGCTGGTTCCGAATTCTTCACAGATGCCGTCGATGTTGCCGCCTTTTTCTGTTTTTTAGATTTTGTGGCCGGGTTGTTCGTTTTACCCAAATTCAGCTCCTTGAGAAACTTGGACACATCGTGCGAGAGAGCAGGCTATTGAAGTCAGAGCTGTAAACCCCACAACACGTTTCGCAACTTACATCGGTGTTCACTTCCCCACCTGCAGCATCCTTTACATTTTTGACGAGATCCAAGTCAGCTCTCGTTCCACCCAATGCTAACACCTGCTTTTCCAAACCACTCCCTGCTTTTCCTGGACGTTTGGATGACGAAGCAGACGAGGCAGACGCGCCTTTCTCTTTCCGGACACGGACCATCGAGGTCCAGAAGGAAAAATTGGGCACGTGACGAGCTGATTGCTTCGCTTCACTTTCGACACTGTTCTGCGCGTTGCGCATTCCTTCATTGCGTATTGCCCAATCCTCTCCGGTGACCTGGAGAGGAGAACGCACAGGCTGGTCCGTCACAACATCACGCTACTAACACCTTGCTGCCATGTACCGTCATCTACTTGGCCGGAGGAAGACATTGTCCTTCCTTCTCCTCCCATACCTTGCCCAGTCAGTCCTTGCCATATGGCCCTTTCCACCCAAGAGATTCTCGGGCAACACTCTTGTCGACGCTGGGTCTATGGGGATCAATGTAGATGGTCGAATCGTGGCATTTGGCGATTTCGACGGCGACCAATTGTTAGTCATTCCCATAGTCCGGTTTATATTCCTGACCCACCATTACGTATAGTCTTGACGCGCTGACTCTTGACTCCGACCAACGAACGCTCACAGTTCACTTGTGGAATCATGGTACTGTCCCCAATGTCAACCGACCTAGCTTTGCTTATACCCACCTCAGAGGAGTTTTCCTATCAATCTACGCCCCCCATCAAACATTCCGACAAAGTCTACAACGTTGTACCTGGGGACTTTACGCATTCTGGAAAACTTGATCTCCTTGTTATGTCGAGAAGTTCCAGCCAGCAACTTGACCTCTTCGTATACCCCGCACTTCCTGCTGGTGGCTTTGGTGTGTGATATTATCTCCAATTCGTTGTGCCTCTTACGACCGCATTTGCAGATGCATCACATCCTCTGACTGTTCCCGCTTCTTCTCTTTCACAACCAATACCCATTGATGTCGACGGCGACATGAAGATAGACCTTTTAGGAATGACTCCTTCATCTCAAGGCTCCAGCTCACCACTACAAGTCTGGCTGAATACTTGGAATGCCTCAGAATCACAATCCTCCTTGTTCGACATGTATGCGTACTTTTCTGCTTTTGTTCTACTCCAATTGATCATGTCTCTTAGTCGCGAGCCTGCGTTCAGAGGAGCGCAATGTAAGCCCGCGAATCCACACAGTAACGCCGTCGTGGACTTCGATGGTGATTGTCTAGCAGGCATGTGAACCATAGTACTCTTTACCTGTGTACTGACCGTCTTAGACCTTTTCCTTCTTTGTGATGATGGGCGAGGTGGAATGACATATCAGATATGGGTAAATAAGAAGACAGAAGGATTCTCTCTGGCCTTACAAGGCGCGATGCCCGCTGGGGTACAATCTGTGTCTTTTGCCGATATCGGTAAGCTCTCCCCCACGTTGTGAATCTCTCAGAACTGAGCGCATCCAGACCGCGATGGGACTATGGACATGGTTTTCACAACGTGCTCATCTGTCTCCTCGTCCACCGGTGTAGGGAGTGATTGCGCCATCAATATCGCGTACAACAAGCAACTGCCGCTCTGCAAGGGACTGGGGTCAAGCACTGGGTCATGTCGCCCTCCGGAAGAGCTGTGCACAGCTGACTCTACATTTACATTCGACCTCTCACAAAGACCAGATAACGAGGTATGCCATTTTTAGTGACCAAGTTTCAATCCAATCAAGCACAGTATTTCGCTCGGATTCTGCTCCAAAGTTTGCTCCCCGGCTCCTCGCTACTTGTAACTGATGTTACCCAAACACCTTCCGTCCCTATTCCCCTCAAGCTTGGAGACACTAACCTCGATGGATTCCCTGACTTGTTGTTCATTGCTGTCTCCGGACAAGACCATACTCCCAAAATGGTTATCTCTACTCCTTGTGGCTCTGGCGTTGTTGGTTGCAATCGCGGGCATGGTTGGAGTGTTGTGAAAAAGGGCACCGAAGCGCTTGATGCCATCAAAGACGCTCGAGGGGTCGCTTTCTTGGACATTGACGAAGATGTGCGGCGGCTTGTTTATTCAGTCTTGCTGGCTAATGTGGCTTAGGGTACCCTTGACATACTGGTGCAACGGACTGGCGCTGCGGGCCGCGGCAACATCCAATTTGTGCAAAATAACTTTTACTATGACGCGTTCTTCTTGAAAGCGATTGGTGTGTTTCGGTGCCGGGTCCTCAACATTCTGCTTATATCATCCCCTAGTGTTGAATGGCGCGTGCGGCAATGGATGGTGTTACGGACACAACGCAAGCGACAAATATCACGTATGGTCCTGTTTCTCCAGAAATTTCGGGTGTCTGATTCAGTTCGTAGCCTTATGGCGTCAGCTATTCCGGGGCTTCCTACAAGTACACCGTTCTGGACACGAAGGGCGGTCGTCATGCTGCGCAAGGTAAGCAGATATTAATCTTTGGGGCATACCAAAGTGCCTTCCTGTAACTTCACGGGTATGGTACCGGTCACTCCTTGCTGCATGAGATTTGTAGCATTAAAGAAGCAAGGGGTCATTCACTCTTTTGGCGATGGACATATACCTTCATGGGCACTGCCAGAGGACCATACCCTCAGTCCTATTCAACTTCATTCACTAACAATGAGACCAGTTGCTCAACTTCCTCAAACATCATACCAATCACTCCAAACCCCGTATTCCTTCTTTGGCCTCGGGCGCACGAACAACTACATTGAAAACCTATTTGTCGGGTCGACGATCCACACACAACAGCACTTCATCAACATCGAGGGAGTGATACCCAACTCGAAACTGGTTATTCTCCCGCCATCGAAGACAGGCGATGCCTGGAAACGAGAACTGTTCTTGCGACCTGGGGAATGGACGCCGTATGTGACATTGACGACCGCGGTGGGCACACTGCTGTTACTGTCGATCATATGGCTCGTGCTACATTTGAACGAGAAACGCGAGGATGAGCTGGAGAGGAGGAGAGCGTCACACCATATCAACTTTGATGCTTTATGATTACTTTGATGCTTTATGATTACAATAGCTATAGTACGTCAGCACACTGTATGTAATAATAGACAAGATCAGTCCAGAGACCGCCTCTCAAGAAGCTTTGTGATTTCTCGGTGGTCTTTTAGCCAGGCGGTGAAGGTAGTGGACTCAGATTCATGTTGTCGACCGATAAGGTAGTTTGCGAAGACGATTAGCGAGCCATAACGGTATCTGAAGCCTTGAGCAAGCAAGCCCAGCCAAGGATAGCTATGAACCCACAAGTAGTTGACCCCGACATTCCTCAGTTTTTGCTCCTTGGGTGTCCCTCTTTCACACGCGTCCACTTTGAGTTTGTAGCTACAAGGGCTTATAACAACCGCCAACCCTGCAAGGAGAAATACATACTCGTAGATGGCCTTGCGGAGGTTCTGAACGTCTTGCATCAGGTCGATAGCACGGTCCGCCAAGCGTTTGGCCAGCTTTCCATACGACAAGACACCGACGAGCTGCAAAATTGTCTTGTACTCGCCCTGAAGATATGCCTCCTCTTCTGACGGCCCATCCATCGAGTCATACGCGTCTCCTCGGGCCTCGTCAAAGTCGTAGTGGGGCTCCTTGCCGTCCCACTTGCCGATTGTGGCAATGAGACACGCGGAGACCATCCCCGTTGTTGTCCGGCCCCGGCCCATCTGGCAGTTGAAGATAAAGTCTCCGGCGCGGGACAGGTTGGAGTGGACTCTATCGAACAGTTGTGAAAGGGCGTCTGGTAGAGGAGCTTGCTCGTCGGTCTGTTCCAATGTTGACTGTTTATCACATCAGAAAGAGCGCTTCACTCACAATCGCGATTCGCCCATAGTCGATCTATACATTGTTGAGGTTAACGTTGATGCAGCAAAACAAGAGCCACATACCTTGAAGCCTTCCTTCTTCATCAATGTAAACACATCCCGCGGAGTCAGAATATCTTCCTCCAGAACCGTCTCCCAGATGGGCACAATAGCAAAAGTTCCCGGCCGCTCCTCGACTTCGTCGTGTAATAACACTCTGCCCTCATTGGCGCGCAGCTCTCGCAGAACATCCTTCTTGAAGCTTTCCTCCATCTGCTCTACCATGCTAGTCGTGACACCAGTCGCTCTGTGCCAACTATATTAGTGATCCAAGAAAAGGGTTTCAAGTCAACTGACTGGACATTCTCTAAAGGATTATCCGACAGACGTAGTACGTGTGGGCTTCCGGCAATGTAGATGACAGGCTCCTAGAACCACAACGCTCAAACCTGGAAAGTAGTATAATGCACGAAATGTTACCTCACGAAGCGAGGTCCATATAACGTTGTTGTCGCCAGCAGGACCCGCATCGACTCGAAACAAAGCTCTTCGTAGACTGGGAGACTGATCAGAAAGATACTCCTCGCACAAAAGCAAACTCACCCTTCAACTGTTGGCATCCCGCTGCCGCACACCATTTTCTCCGCCACCAGGGACTCCGACGACTCTGTGCTAGTGGGTGTCGCAATAGGCGAGTCAGAGGATCGCAGGGTTAGCGGAAGTCGCCTAAAGTTCGGCGCGCCGTCTATGCGTTCGGGAAGTGTCATTTTCTGCAAGTTCAAAAACATATCGTTCTTCAATATAGTCGATGCCGACAGAATACTGCCTGATCTGTTTGCAACAATGAGGTTCACCTCATCTGGATGGGCAACACCATCTGTCACGTAAGCGCGCTCTAATGGTTTCAACGCGTTCTGTCCGTCTGCGAAAAGCTCTTTTTCGAAGGTCCCGATCACTAAATGATGGTATCAATAGTCAGGTCCTAATCACATGATCTGCTGACCAGGTTGCCGTTGAACAAACGACTCAATCGTCTCAAACGACTGTTTAGTGTCGGGCTCCGTGGATTGAAGGTATGATTGAAACACCATAAGCGCAAAATATCGATGCAAGTTCTGCAATCCTGAAGAAAGTCATGACACTAAGAAAATACCAAGAGGATGCCAACCTTTTTGCGCGTGTTTTCGTTTCTCCCTTTCATCCGTGGCTTGGTCTGCCCTCGTCCGCGCTTCCTCGATAGCATCACGCAGATTGTACACAACGTCAGCGCGATCAATAGCCTCGTCGACGACGCTCTTGACGAGCAAGCCCCTGCGAACAACACGAAGCAAATCTAGATGACTTATCACCGAACAGTGCTCAATTTGGGTAGTGGCGTACTGTTTATGACTTGATATGAATGCCGTTTCTTCGACGGTTCATCCAGCTCTATGGAGGGCGGGATAGAAAGCTTGGAGAAGGACCGAATGATGGTAAAAGGTGCCTCAGGCGTTGTAGGCGGCCGTCTCGAGTCCAGCCATTGACGGATGAGAAGGATGATGATCTACGAGCGGTAAGCCATAATGATTGGCCTGGCATATAAACTTGCCGATGCGAGGGTGCTTCGGCCTCTTCCGAGTTGACAGTTCACGACAATTGGTGTATTCTTGGATGAAGAAAGCACAACGTCAATCAGATCCTGGAGGTCGCAAAAGTCTGGTGGTTTCTCGGCCGTGATGGGGATTCGATGATAGTCTAGCTCAAGTCCATCGATTGCTTTGTGGGCTGCCATGATATCCTTAAGCACCACCACGTCTTCACATTCATTAGCGATGTCTTCCCATACAGGTAGCACGGTGCCATCGTCAGCTTCAGTGTGAAGCAAAAGGCTAAAATGATAGTTAAACTTGGTCTCAGCAGTCCAAACAGTTTGCACTAACCGACCACCAAAGGTATTGAGTTCAGCAATAACATCATCTCGCAAGCGCTCCTCCAATATTTCGAGACGTGAAGCGGAAATGCCACCATAATCTTGCCCACATTAAGCGTTGATTGTAGTGGACAGAGTGGACCTGCCTTTCATGTTCCTGAGAGAGAAGCCTTCTCTCCTCAAGCAATATGGCGACCCATTGATGTACACTATAGGTTCCTCTCTCAATGTGATCCATACGATTCGGCGAGCGGAAGGGTGTGCCGCTTTGATCCGAGAAACGACTTCATTGATGGCCTCCAGAGTCGGCTGGCCCAAAGCATACAACAAAGTCCCTGGCACTCGACGGAAGTTGATCGCCCCGCGCACATCGTGATCAACGTGAGCAGATTCCTGGAGCCACTGATCTGACTTGAGGAGCGTGCTGTCATCGTTCAGCAAGAAAAGAGAATCAAGAGAGTCTCTACACACCCCTCCCGTAATATGATACCGTTCCGGTTCTGTAACCATTTGATTCACCGAGCTCGGCAAAGCGGGCAGCAAACACACCTTCACAACATGAGTCGAATATTCGTCTCCTAAGATCTGTCCTCCAGCAATAGCTACATCGTTCTTTTTACCAGGAACGAGGGTGCGGTCTTCCCAGTTGGATTTAGAAAGCGACGATAGATCATTGATTGGCGCAAAGACGTTCAGCTTGGATCCATATGATTTGCGTAAAAACTTGATTTGGCTGTAACCTTCTGTGTTAATGCAGCAGGGGCAGGTATATGCGTCACTGACTTCCATATCTCTGTGCGATCCTAGACAAAGTTAATACAGACGCTGCATTGGGAAGGAGAGACCTGCGAACCTTCAACCAATCAGAGAAGCTCTGCGAGAAATCATTGCTGTTGTCGACATATGACGTGAAGGCGATGATGAAGAAACTAATGGCTGTTAAAATCGAATGAGCTCTTCGACAAGAACAACTGACTATTTCTCGATAGCCTTCACAGCTTTGATGAGATGGTCATCGCCCTTGGCATCCATACTCGTCATCGAGTATTTCAGCCGGTGAATAAGTATATCCTCACGAAGATTAGTCACTTGGTCAGCTAGCTAATGGTGTCAGCGACCGAGATTACGACTGAACGAAAAGCCGTCCTACTTGCGTCAATGACTCTATCCACAAGTCGTTTTGCTTGAAGTCCATGATCGAGGCAGCCGAGAAGGCTTAAAATGACGGAATAACTTCCGGTATGTGCTTTGCGAAGGTTTTCAAGCAGCGCAGGCTGTCGCATCAGAAGTTCTATGGCTGATTGAGAGTTTGGATTCTCGAGGCCTGCTGAGCGATCAATAATGCGAGAAGTTTGAAATAGACTCGTACATTGCTGCAGGAGGTAGGTCAGTCGCAACAGTGACTTGTTGAGATCCTGCTGCGCATTGGCCTGTTCTAGAGCCTGGATGATCCGTAATTCGGTCTCTTGGCTTGAGGGCTGGCGGCACTATTGAGGAAAGAACAACTTGATCGATATTGTGTCACATACCAAACCACCACTCGTCGGTGTTCCGATAGCTAAAGGGGTATTGGCGTTTCCCTTTATCGCGTAAGGATCGGCAAAACCACGAACGATAAGCTGCTTCCGACGAACGATGGAAGCAGCGACCATTGCAAATGTCGTTCGGACTGCTCCCATTCCGCAAGAAAACACAAGTGAAGTTCGCAAGGGATCTGTCGCGCGTATCACTCGTAGATAGGCGTCGAGGTAGTTGTCCTCAATGGGACGGTCGGGGGCAATAGGTATCCTGGAATAGATGAAGTCCAACGTTCGTGGTGTTGAAGAGAGAAACTGACCTATGGTACTATCGTAGATCAGCGAGGGAAGAATTAGCTTATCGTGGGTCCTTACATCGACATTCCATCCGTCTGCCTTCATCTGGCCCCAGAGTTCACGAGAAGTCCTGACGTTTGTGTTGTCGACTGAAGTCCACGTCGGTAGAATAGCTCCTTCGCCGGTTTCTGCCGCTGTGGTCACAAAGACAGTCAGCTCATACGAGGATAAAAAGAGCAGCTGCTTACCTATCTCGTTGTGTGTTAAGATGAGACCTGTAGACTCGTATGACGTCTGAAAAACTTGGGATTTACGACAAACCTCCGTATCTATTGAGTGTGAGCTGGCTTGAAACAAGCTGGTCAAAATTTCGTACCGCGTAGATTCCTGCAAAATGTCATGCTTCATCCGGTTTTCTATCGCCTCCAAGTTCTCGGCACGGTCCGAGAGTAGTAATGTCCGACGCGGTTGTGTCCCATCGCGCAAAACAAATGGTCTGCCAGAGATGTAGACTGGATGTGTAGTCAAGGGTGGTGTCACTGCAGCGGCATTGACCCATACTTATCGGCTCTTCCCGAGTTGAGAACCAAACGACATGTGAAGGATCTGGGGTACCAGGTCGGCATCTCAAGACAGCCAGGATGGCACGCAGTCCTTGGGTTCGCGGCTGGGCAACACCAAACACATTCAAATTGCCCACACGCGATGCTCGAAAGTTAGGTGCTCCATGAACGTTCAAATCGAGGTCCAATGCGCGACCTGGTAGAGTTGGGGTTGATGTTGACGGAACAGCGAGGCTCACCTGAGGGATAGTGGTCTGTCTTGAGGATAAAGCCCCTGCTTAACACGCTGCCTGTCCTGGATTTGACAACCGCGTGTTCTGAGCGCTGTAATTGAGCCATAAGGTCGAGTGAAGTTGTCTGCGGAGCCTTTGAAAGAGTTTGGGCGTCACTTAATGCGCGAGTAGGGTGCATGCCACCAGGGGGGATAGAAGTAGGTCGGGCATTGAGTGGTTCGGACCTTGAGGAAGCTATGGCGGGTGGGACGGACACGGGACGCTCATTCTCAAGTTTGCGAAGACTGTTCAGCATCATGGCGCGCTCTGTTAGGTAGTGAGCAAGCAAGTTAAACTGCTTGAGGGAATCAGCGCGCTTGCCTCGTGAGATACACGCGGTCTAAACAAGACGAGAGAGACGACTTCGAGAATCGTGACGTCACTCAGGGCTGGATCACATCATGTGATCAAGCCAGGTTTTCGCGCTGCAAATGCGCCTGCAAACCATTCGCCAGCCAGGTTGAGAGCCGCCCAGCAGGTGGACTTCTTATCTGGCTGGGTAATCACCCTGCAAGGTCGTGCCGCGCCCAGTCGATCTCACTCGCGCTACAACGCCGTTTCCGAATGAAGGCAAACATGGATTTCATCTTGAACGGACGAATTGTCTACATAGAGAAGCCGTCTACTGGATTGAAGTCTCCGTCAATCTGTGTTCCAAGGCTACACCAAGTACAAATTATTACAGACATCTCTTGCCAGCGGCTACGCTCTCAAGTACAGATAACTCTCCAAGTGTGCTGAAAGCGATTCAAGACCCTCAATACGCAGACCAGCACTCGGAAGGTCATGGACGGTGTCAGGGGGCTCTTCGCCATGAGAAGATCCGCACTCAGTCAATTGGTCGTCCTCCGTCTCTCTCGGCCGCTCGCGCAGAAGGCGATCGAGGTAATCTTCAAAAGACTCGCCTTCGTCAATCGGAGGAGAATGAAGGCGGGATCCAGGTTTTTGGTTGACTTCTAAAGAGGTTTTTCCAGCTTGATCATCGACCGCTTCATACTCCAGGATGGAACTTCGAAGTTGATTGACGGTGGATTCAGAGTTGGTTTGTTGCGACCCTGTCCGCACAAAACGATCAAATAAATTTTCGTATGACTCGTCTTCTAAAAACTCCTCTTGCGATCTTTCGTCAAATTGGGGGAGATTGGGGGAGAATCCTGGTTCCGACTGTTGTTGGTCAAGATGAATTGAGGTTTTCCTCGTCTTCTCAAAACGATCTTTGACGTCGCGGTAATCTTTAATGGTGGGCCACTGGCATGTCCTGCAAACGAGCTTATCTAGCGCAACCATGAAAATCACGATGCCGACCTTGGTGGGTCCAATCCTTGTCGAAACAGCTCATCCTTCCATCCGGGTTCATCCAGAGGCAGGAGACCAGATCGGAGAATAGCCAATTTACGCCATAAAAGGTCCACAATTTCCTCGTGTCTGAAGAGCGTCAGACGACCAACTTTGAACGCTTCGACAGTGGCAAGTTCGTAGTCTTTTCTTATTGGGTAATTGCCGTAGACTGAGGTCGCATAAGTACTAGAATACGAGTGAAATATGAGAGAGTCTCGCTCACCTACTGTTTTGTAAATAACCTGATCGTCATCGCTCAACTGTGAGCGTGGGCCTTGCCAGGCATGCTCTAGGCACCACTGTTTCCAAAGGTCCTGCCGCTCACTCTTTCCGTTGGTGGGCATGTTTGTTGGTACATAGCTCCATTACCAGAGCTGTTTTATAGTTCTTCACCGCGACAACCAAACAAAATGGTTGCTATGCCGTGTCCTTGTTCTTGACGAGCTCAGATAATAGATGGTGTTGTGCCAATCAAGGAATGACAATAAAGGCTCACTTTTGATGGTACAGGAAAAAAAGAAGGTACAGGAAAAGAAGGTCATCATTCAAGTCAACAGCGTCAACTTCAGCCAAACTTCAGCTTGAAAGTCCCTCTAGTGCCCCGTTGAAGGGTGGGGGCAGTCGAAAGACCGACTCGGGGATGAATTCTCCGGAAACATCGCGTGTTTGTACTTCTTTACCTCAGAGGCTGATGAACACAGCCACCACATTTTCTGCATAAAAGGCTCGCCTCGGCAAAAGTGTTTCTTTCAAGTGTCCGCCAACTACCGGAGCGCTCGTGGTCGTTCACTCGGCCCATTGCGCCATCCATGGTTGAGGAGGCAAGGTGTTATCCTCGGGAGAACACTCACGAGAAGGAGTCTCTGCTGTCGGGCCACTGTCCGCTTCGGCGTTGACTTTCGGTTTTGCAGCAGAGGCAGCGCCATATACCATAACCAGCCGTACGCTACTATGTGGCCTTGACGGCCCGGTGAAACCATGGCTCGAACATGCTAGATAGCTTTTCTCGTCGTCGAGTAAACAATAGAAATTTTTTTGTGTTGCTTTCCTAACTTAGTCACAACCACCACCATTGACGACTTTGACGCGTTTTACTCATGGCGGAGACCGCCCTGTATGTCTCTAGTGCAGAGGTGCTTTCGATATGCCAGTCCATGAACGACGACCTGGAGGCTATTCTCCATCCAGAAACTGGGTTTGCCCCGCGACTGCGCCAAATATGCCATGACCAGTAAGCACTCTTATTTTCTTCATTCTTGCGTGTATTAAAGCGTGTCATTAGGCTTTTGGACCTCGAGGAAAACCGCGACGCGCGAACAACTCAGGACGAGCTTGAGCTTCTCCGTCTGGAGCGCGATACTTGGGGACTATTGCAAGCAGTCATGCCGTGCGTCTTCTATACCATTTTATCTCTCGATTTGAGACTCTACACAGTGCCCGCAAAACCGAAACCCCCCCAATGCCGACGATACGCGACCTACTCGCAGAAAATCCTTACACACCCACATCAACACTGGCACAAGCAGTCCTCCTTGCATCCCCCCTTCTTTCTGAACTCGTGGCCGTTCGAGAATGGCTGCAAGACAGTGCTCCATTGCCCCAACATCCAGAAGCGACAACAGGCTATTGGAAGTTCACGAAACACAATATCATGCAGAGCCAGCGGATGGGTGGTGCCACGAGGGACAATCTGGTGAAGGAAATGGACCCCGACGCGGTCAATAGAGACGACGGGAGAATGCTTGCGGCAGATGACGCGGTGTGTTCAATGGCCAAGATGTGTCTCGGTGATTCTGATCCCACATAGAGTCACGAAAAAGGCCTGAGCCAGGCTTTATATGGTTACATCCGTTCTGGGCGGCTAGAGGAGGCCGTCGAGCTATGCCGAAATGCTCATCAGCCATGGCGCGCCGCGAGTATACGCGGGTCTTTGTTATTCCAATGGAAAGCGATCTGTGCGTGTGTCTATACGCGTTATTGGCAGATTTCTTGAACCAATACTTAGCTAACGAGCATGACGAGGACGAGGCGATGGAGGAGGACTTCCCTGACGTCTGGCAAGGCAACCAACGAAGACAGCTATGGAAGTCAACGTGTACGAAGGCTGCAACTAATGTATGCTTCGACACTTGTTGGTTATACTGATTGATTTTGTCTTCAGCCCCATGTACCCGAGCACGACCGAATCCTCTATGCAGCGCTCGTTCCGACGCCACAGACATCCAATGTTTTGAAGGCTGCTTGTCGGACATGGGAAGACCATCTGTGGGCTCAAGTCAGTGTTGTTTGCGAAGAAAAACAGAGCATGGAGATGAACAGAGTTGGAGGGAGTTTCTGGGAGGGCGGTTTGGCCGCTGTCGAAAGTGGTGTCCGGGTCATCTCTGCAGAGACAGAGGAAATAGAAACTGAGGAATGGGAGAGGGAAGTACGAGGGTCTCTAGAAGCTCTGAAGAGTGTTGGCGTAATGGACGGGTGCGTTTGGATGTCAGACTTCCCTGGTAAACACTGACTTTTTTTTAGTCCTGGTGCTCAGCATCCGTTCCATTATTCTCAGCTTCAGATAATCTTGAACCGAATCGACCCATTAATGGATAATTTCGCAACGGGTATCCAGGATGGCACTTACTCTCCAGATTCTTTCGAGTGCGTTTTTTTTTATCCTTTCAACTCGAGTTGCTCAAGAACAAAAGGTACACAACCATGTGTCGCTTTCTCGCCCACCTGTGCCTGTTCCTCCAAATGATCGACATTCCAGTCCCGCCACTTGCTACTCAAGTCATTCTTGAATCATATCTGCAAGTTCTCGAGGTGGTTGCTGGTCTACTTCTCTTAGTATATGTTGACCATTTCTACAGGCTGCCGGTCAACGAGATTTGATCGCCATGTATGCTGGTGCTCTAGGCGACAATGCTGTGGAGCGCTATGCACTGTTTCTCGTTTCCCTCGAACTATCTGTCGATATTGATGAGCGGAAGCTCGCGCTTACACGGGCACGTGAGCATGGACTGGACATGGACCGCGTTGCTGTGGTCACGGCAGAGCGTACCATTGACCAAGCCCTCCAAGTGCTTCCTCCTCTCAAGGGACGGCTTCCGTCAATTATCGCATTGCCTCCGCCAGCCACAGACGAGGAAATGTTCTTGCTTCGTTCCATCGAATGGACCATTTTCGATGACAAGACATACGAAACTGCCCTTGAACAGGCGAATGTCATCCTTCGCTACTTCTTGGGTCCGCATGCTTCATTTCCTCTAATCGCGTATTGATGGCGCTTTGTAGGATCTGGTCGAGTACAACTCGCCCAGAAGCTCCTCGTTCTCCTTCCCATCGAGCTCGCATCCATCCCCGAACCTGAAGAACGCGCAACTGAATATCTCCATTACCGGCAATTTTTCGTGATTTGGGAGACTTTGGAGCGTGTGGTTGACTGTCAGGCACTAGAGACACCTCAAATGAATCGGAGTACGAAGGCCGCATGGTTACAGGACTACCAGGTCAGGCTTATTCGAGCTAACTTTCCGTCGTTAATTTTCTGCAGGGGTTGATCGATCAGGCACATGACCAGATTACAAAGCTACTAACATCAGATTGGCTGGTTGATGTCGATGAATCATTAGGTACTTTTCATTCGTGCTACAAGCACAACCAGAGCTCACTGTTTATCCCACAGACCGGCGCCGCCGCGACCTCATCCGCATTCGACAAATATTCATACCTGAATTGATTATTCGTTTACACTTTGTGCTGTTTTCGTCGCGGGGCCACTTCCCAGGGTGCGATCTGCTTGTTTCGTCTCGTGCAGTGCTGACGCAAACTTAGGAACCTCAAAAGGACTCTGGATTTGGCGAACATCGTCGCAGACTCAAGATACCGACTTTACGAGGACTTTGTCAACGAGGACGGGCGGAGGCTAGGTGACTACCTTGGGGCAGTCCGTCAAACGATTTTGGGTGGCCTTGAAGGCGGTGGGTCAGATCCATTCAGGATATTGTCACTGTGATAAAATGATATTGTCCTCCTGCGAAAAAAACCAACAAACTACATAACAGTCCAAAAGTAAAGCGAAAAAGAATGTCGAAGTCCCATCACACAAAGTTCCAAATCTGATTGGGATTCGGTGCCGAAGGCGACGAACACTCCCAACTCTGAATGCGGTTGTCCGTCGTAGTACGACCCTCAGTCAAATCAACGCATCGGTTGTGACCATTCCAACGAATAGTCTTCTCGGGGGTGACGGTGAATTGTTGCGCACCATTCCCTTGACCCGCTGCAAACGAACAAATAAGTGGAAAGCAAGAAGAAAAGGGTGAAAACGCACGAGTGCACGACCAAATCTGCATCTTTGCGCCGTTGGAGTCATTGAAGTCCGTCACATCTAAGCACTTATTGCCGTGCACCACGATGGTTGCGCCATTTTGGGTCCAAATTTGACCAGGGGCGGCACCATTAGTGCAAGGTCGCACGACAACTGCCGCTCCGTCGTTGTTTGCGACAGCTGTCAGACAAGTGGTCGAGCTCTTATTGGGGCGAATGGTCTTGGGCGTCGGGTCGTTGTTGCCTGAGCCAGGACCAGTCGTGCGAGTGAACTGCTGGTTTCGGTTACCCGCTGCACATTCCCAGATTTGCATCTATAATCAGGAATTAGAGTTCGCTGAAGTAGGCTTTCGAGTCTCGTACCCGATTGCCGTTTGTCAAGACACCATCAGTAACATCTACACAGGAAGAATGGCCAGTCCATTGGATTGTCTGGCCAGACAGTGTGAACTGCTGGTTGCCATTTCCAGACGCACATGTCCACAGTTGAAGCCTCGTGCCAGAAGCAGTTCGTCCATCGACCACATCAAGACATTTATCGCCATAGATGGAAAGAGTGCCCGTGCCAGTTATCGTCCAAGACTGGGAGGCAGAAGTCGTGCAGTCTTGGATGGTCACCGGGGCGCCGTCCGAGTTGGAGGTGGCTGCGAGGCACTTTCCTGAGTTGGCGATTGGGTGGATGTACTGATTGGGGAGGGGGATATTGATGCCTGTCGAAACTGGAGGCGTTCCACTTTTGCAGGCAATGCCGCTGGAGCCACCACAAGCAGTACCAGGGCCAGGAGAGCCGTTACACGTCCAGGCAGGCTATACTTCAGATGAGCAAGTATGATTCAGAGATGTGTGCAACCACGTACCGTTCGCTGTTGCGGGAAGCCAACAACTTGATAGGGGTCGACTCCGAGACATTCCGCCAACGTGACCAGCTAGGTGAATGGTGAACAATTAGATAGTGGGCTACGAATCAGTAAACCTTGTAGCCTTTGCTTTGGAAGAGGTTGATTGCGTAAGGCACCAGCTGCGTTGCAGTCGAACCGACAGTTTCGTGCTGAAGAACCAACCCGTTGTCTTTCATTGAGTTCGTGATTTGCCGATAAACACTTCGAGAGAACGAAACGGTAGCGCCGTCAGAATCTTTGGTGTCGTGGTCCCATAAAGCCAAGGATTGACCACGATCAGTTGCGACATCGCGTACATTTCCGTTGTAAGCACCAAATGGAGGACGCATGAAAGCCGGGCGAATACCTAGACAAATAAGCTAGGTCGTGAGCGAAAAAGACTTCTTACCAAGAATACGCGAAAAGGCCTCTTCAATGCGGTACATGTTGTCACGAATTTGGGGTCGTGAGAGGGTCGTGAGATCGACATGGGTCCAACCATGGCTGCCGACCTGCAGCAATTAAGAGAGAATTCATGAGAGAAAGAGGGTACCGACCTGATGCCCAGCAGCGAACGCATATCTCATGTCGGCGGCTCGACCAAGGTTATAGAGACCTACACGGCGTTAGCAACGGCCACCAGCTGTGTTGAAAGACACACAGTCGTAGTTATTTCCTGAGAGGCAGTCAGATGACCTGAGTCAATCGAAGCAGTATCAACTTACCGTTCCAAAAGAAAGTAGCTTTTGCGCCTGCAGCCGTGAATTGGTCAGAGATGCTGCGAAGATGGTCGAAGGGTCCGTCATCCTGTATTGCGTGTCATCAGATAGAGGCCCAAATCGACGACGAAGAGCTTACAAACGTCATCGCGACCTCTTTCGAGTTGACGCAATGCCCGTAGACTTGAGGTTCGCGGGCTTCCTGTTAGACATGGCGATAAACACAAGAGCGGAGAGAAATCGGACAACGAACGAGATGCGAATGGTTCTGCGGAGTAGGGACAGCAAGAACAGCAGCGAAAGTAGAGAGAGCGAGCAGTGGCCAAACCATCGCGAGCATGGTGGGTGGACGACGTAAGGTGCAGGCATTGCGAGCTGGAGGCAGAATTTATACGGTTCACTTGCGCTTGACAGGTAGGAGACAAATGGATAAGATTATGCTATGCGATGTTAGCGAAGGCCAAGATGTTTTTCGACGAGACAAGACAAGACGAAGAATTGAGTACGACCCGCTTCGTCGACGGAGCTTGAGCCATAGCAGCTGCATTTATTCGCGAAAGAATGAGGTGAAAAGCTTCTGCTCGACGTCCAGTGAATTCGCCCAACATCGATGCGGACAACAAGAAAAATGTGACAGCAACCTCGTGATGTGACCATAACGCGCATCACATCAACGAGGACACTCAACACAGCAATTGCCGACAGACAAGCGTTTGAGTTTAACAATAACTCGTGGTGGCCTTGCCCCATAGAGTACAGGCGACGATGCGTCTGCAGCTGGATCGCCAAGCCAAAGTATTACCCGCAAATCCCAATCCTGTCCAGGTCGAACCACGCAACTTGAGTCAACGACGCTGCAATTTCAGACTCTCGCCAACTTTCTCTGTGCTTCTCTGTCCATTTTTCACCGCCTTCCAATGACACCTACCCCCGTTCGAATTCTGCTCAATACAAACCGCCTCGCATTTTAAACTTACCATCACGTCCGTCTCACCCTTGCGATGCCTGTCGCGGCCAATGCTGACCGCAGGGCATTATACGCGTGCTAAATCTTCCCCAGTTGCAAGGACAAATTCATATGCAGACAAAGAGGAATCACGTCTCGATCATTACCATTCGTCGCTCTATTGGCCAAAGCCCAAGACCACAAGTACCCGAAAACCCACAACTTGCTTTTCAAGGCGAACACGTTGACTTCTTTGTTTAGTGTCACCAATTAACTCAACGATGCTTTAGAACCAGTAGAGAAAGTGTTATAAGGGAGAGTGTGTAGTTATGAGGATATGTACTGTACTATCTGTCCATGCTGTGTAATGCAGGTATTATGTGAGTTTCAAACCAAGTTCCAAATTTGGTTGGCGCCTGGCGACGATGGCGAGCAATCCCACGTTTGAATGCGGTTGCCAGTCGTCGTGCGGCCATCCGTCAAATCGACGCATTTGTTGCGGCCATTCCAGCTAATCGCTCTCGCAGCGGAGACAGTCCACTGTTGCGCGGCGTTGCCTTGGCCAGCTACAAGCACGGTTAGAACACGAAACCATAAAAACGGGGCAACATACGGTTGCACGCCCAGATCTGCAATTTTGCGCCGTTCGAAGTATTGCCGTCGGTCACATCCAAACACTTGTTTCCGTGCACGAGGAGAGTTCCTCCATTTTGGGTCCATTGTTGATTCGCAGCGCCAGTGACGCAAGGCTGAGCGACGACCGCCGCTCCGTTGTTGTTCGAGACGGCTGACAAACATGTGCTGCCGCTCTTGTTGGGGCGGATAGTCTTAGCGGATCCGCCTCCACCGCCTCCTCCTCCTCCAGAGCCAGGACCATCAGTGCGGGTGAATTGTTGGTTTTGGTTGTTCGCGCAAGACCAAATTTGCATCTGTCGAGCATTAGTGAGAGTGTAATCAACAACAGCCAGAACATACCCGATTACCGTTGGCCACAGAACCGTCTGTGAGGTCAAGGCAGCGAGACTTGCCAGTCCATTGGAGGGTCTGAGCGGCGCCCAATGTCCACTGCTGGTTTGCATTGCTCTGGGAGCAAGTCCACACTTGAAGCTTCGTGCCCAACGCCGTCGAACCGCTGGGAACATCAAGACATTTGTTTCCGTAGATGGAAATGAGACCAGTGCCAGTAATCGTCCATGCCTGGGAGTTGCTAGTCTGGCAGTCTTGGACGGTAACGGCAGCACCGTCCGAGTTGGAGGCGACCGCAAGACATTTGCCGGAGTTGGCCATCGGATGGATGTATTGGTTAGTGAGGGGTTCGGGAGTCGGAGGATCGTTGTTAGGAGGACTCGCAACAATGGGAGTGCCGGTTTGGCACGAGATACCGCTGTTTCCACCACATGCAAGGCCAGGCTTGGGAGTACCGTCGCAAGTCCAGTGGGGCTGTCGACATGAGACAACAGAGGAAAGGATCAAGATGAAGACATACCATCGGTTGTTGGGGAACACCTACGACTTGGTAGGGCGAAACACCAAGACACTCCGCCAAAGTTACAAGCTAGACGATGTTAACGAAGAGCAAATAACGTATTCAGACGTACTTGATAGCCCTTGTTTTTGAAGAGGCTGATTGCGTATGGCACCAGCTCGCTGGGGGTCGTGCTGACTGTCTCATGGGCCAAGACGATGGCATTCGGGGCGTTCGCATTGGCAACACCATCGAGAACCGCTTTCCCCGAGGCCACGGTGCCACCATCAGCGTCTTTGGTGTCGGCATCCCACATAGCAATGGATTGACCACGGGCGGCGGAGACAGACTGGACATTACTATCCCAAGCTCCAAACGGAGGTCGCATGAAAGCGGGGCGAATGCCTGGAAGGATGGTCAGGGAAGCTTTGGCGACAGAGCGATGTCCATCATACCGAGAATACGAGAGAAAGCTTCCTCGATGCGATACATGTTATCATGGATTTGGTCGGCAGAGAGAGAGGTTAGTGTCGGATGAGACCAAGTATGGCTGGCGACCTAGACAAGTCTGAGATGAAAGCGTCGAAACGAAGCCTGTTAACTTACTTGATGCCCTTTGCCAAACGCATATTGTACATCGGCCATTCGGGTGGGGTTATAGATGCCTGTCGCACGTCAAGGAACGCCTTCTTCCCCCTCGAGAGCAAGCTTACAGCCGAAATTATTGCCTGTAATAGTTAAATTTCATCCCAATCAACTCAAGCGATGTACTTGCCATTCCAGAAGAAAGTAGCTTTGGCACCAGCAGCAGTGAACTGGTCAGAGATGTTACGGAGGCCATCATGGGGTCCTGGAGGAACGTGAAGACGATGGTGAGGGAGAGTGGATCAAAGTACCATCATCCTGTTAACTCAATCAAAGTCGACCCAGCAGAAGAAGAGAGTACCCACAAAGGTCAGCGCAATTTGATTAGACTTGACGCATTTGCTGTATACTTGGGGGGCACGGGCTTCCTGGACGACATAAGTGAGGCGAATGGGGTTAGTTTGTGGGACGAACGAGGTGAGAGTGGTGATGAGCGTGGGCTAGAGAGAAAACGATGGACAGGGTGAAAAGAGTGGATGCTACCGAACGCAAAGAGGACATTTCGGGCGACGACAGGCAAAGGGATCGTCCAGTATTTATGGGGGTCCCTCTCATTTACACGCGTTTGACAGGTAGGAGCCAAGGATGTTGTTCCTTGCCGTTTCAGGATGAAAGTCGCAATTAAAGGGATGAAGGATAGGAAATTGTTCCTTACCCTCATAACCCAAAAAGCCAAGGCTTTGTCGGGTATCGGAATCATGGTACGGTCAATTTACGTCTGAAGAAGAGTGGAATCGTTCGAGAGCCTGAGCGGCACAGTGAATGTTGAACATGCAACATAAAGCAGGGTGTGTGTGGAGTGTGGTTGAAGCATCGTGGAAGCAAAACTTGAAGCCCGTGCACGTGACAAATTGAAAAAGTGATATAGACAAGGGGTTGCCGGCGTGCCGGCCGGAAACAGGGACCTTGCTTTCAAGGGAAGCGTGCGTGTAGGAAAAGGACATAGTTTCAAATGTAGTGTACCAAACAAAGTATGAAAAGTATATGATGGTCAGTGGAAACAGGCGCGGGCTGTATCGTCGGTGAGCTGCTCCCACCAGGTTTTGTCCATCGCGACCTTCGCGTAGCGAGGAACTACGTAGTAGTGGTCAGTCTCCTGTCCCGCAAAACGGACAATATCCAAAGCTATGCGATCCCCCATTCGGTTTCGTTCTTTAGTCAAATCCTGGTTACCATAACTGCCGAACACCCCGCTTTCCACGCATTTGTTGCTAGAACGAAACGTTACGCCATAGTTGGGAGAACGGTAGTCGAAGATGAGTACTACAGCGTTGACCGGGTCTTCCGTCATAGCGGCTGGTACAGATCTTTTGAGGATGTCGTGCGCTGCCACGAGATCTTGATCCATGAAATGGCGCAAGAGACGCCGAGTCGGTCCGTCCAGCCTGTACACTGACCAATGTAAGAGAAGGTACTGGGTGATCGGGGTATGGATAACATGGACTAACTTGTTTGGTTGGAACCGCGTATCTTACACTCGTTTCGGTGACTTGGCCAGTGATCCTTTTGGCAGGAGCGGTTACAGTAGTGCGTTTCTTTGCAACCCCCGCATCGTTTGAGCGTGCCCGTTTCGGAGATGGTACCGCACTAACGATGGTCAGTTTCGAACAGGAACGTAAGAGTAGAATGTTGCACCGTCCAACACATCCGGCGGTCCGACGCGCTTGAGAAAGTCAACAATTGGTGCAGTCTGTTGTTAAGGCCTTTGAGGAATATGTCGAGCAATTTGCGATGATCGTCGCTATGTAGGCGTTCAGTAGCGCGGAGCATGACAGTGTCGAACGGGGTTGCTATTATTCGTCGAAGCATGGAGTGACGCCAGATGCTCCTGCCCAGAGCGGCGAATAAGATCATGTCCACTAGACGTTGGTTCGTCTCCATGCCTGTGCTCTGCATTATCTGTAATGCCGCATTGATACCGTGATGCGTCACGGCTGTTTGCCACACCCCAAGGTGCCAGTGATTCTGGCTGACTTTCAGCATGAATACCATTAGCTCTCCTACCATCCTATCACGATCGTCTGACATAGGCCCGTTGTTGGTAAGTCTCAAGAGAGCGCGGGCTGTTTCGCGCAAAACCTGGCTTTGTATCAGGCGGTGTCGAAAAGTGTTGGAGGCAAGGCCGTCGTCCACCGCTTTCCAGAAACAGGTCACTGATACGATAGCGAAGTCCGTTATTGACGCGTCGTCCAACTCTAGAGTTAGGGAGAGCGAATTCGTACAAAACTTTGCCATTGCAGAGTCGGAGTAACCAGCAGCGTCGACTATGACGCCGAGCTGAGATGAGATAAGAGGGATAACCAGTCTGAGAAGGTCGTAGATCGCCAGCAAACACAAGCGAGACCATCTGCTTTGACGCGTTTGGGCTTCACAACAGCGCGACCACGTCGATATGAGAAGTCCCAGTAACCCCACTTCCCCCATCATACGTGCACGAACAGCGTCGTTGCGAATGAAACGGGAAACGGTGGCGAGGGAGATCAAGGAACGATGTACTCCTTGCGAGTTGACTGCTTGTCGCCTTGTTGGATACGCAGTGTTCTGCATGAACATATAAAGCCAAGGCCACAAGCGTTCCCATATGGATACCATGTGGCTGGACAGACCCCAGAGTGTATCGTTTTCGGACATTTCGACGATGATCATCCAAGCGATCTCAGCATGGGTCTTGTGCAAGGAGGTGTATTGAGCGAAGTGGACTGTTTGGGGGGGGAGGTGCGAGTTGTCGAGCAATGCGAACAGTATTGGCCACATAAGATGCCAATTATCGGTGGTCGAGGCGTATACGAGTATGACTGAGCAGTCGTTGAGTTGAGGGTCGCCGGTCAACAGCCTTTGTGCAGGAGTCTGCGTTGTGTTCGTTAGGCCCTGAAACGAAGCAGCGACAATGACGGTACCTTCAAAGGGTGACCTATTTGTTGGATACAACGATCGGTGTCGGTGAGATAGGAGGCTCCGAGTGCTTGCATTTCGCGATGTCGAAGGCAAGAGGTGGCTAGACGTTATAAGGGATGTCACTGGAGGTGTCCCTAATTTGAACGCAAGTTTGCCTTTAGTTATGCGGTCTGAACTGCGCAAGCGAACTGACACCAGTTCTCCCACATGGACAGGTTCTTCCTCCGTGATCGGACAGGCATACACGGTTTTTGGCTGCATCGATGGCAGAGTACCGTGCAGGTCGCTCTCACGGATAGGCGTGGAAATGCGATCCCAATTGCCCATTGATTTGTCCGATTCGCGGGTTATGACAGGCAACCGTCGTGAGATTTCGTTGCGACAACACAACCTTTTAAGTACCGTATGCAGGACACTAGACGATCCGTGAGTCAGTAATGGCCTCTTTCCTCCTAAATATGCGCGCACTTCATTTGCGACAGGAAAGGTCGCTTGAACTCGACCGCAGCCTGTTTGTGGCAGACTCTGGCACCGAGCTTCGTCGTGTCGTTTCCAATCGGAACGGGCGTCGCGGCGTTTTCGCTCGCGTTTTACGGGATTATGGTCGGCTTATACAAAAACGGACCTGGGCATTATGTGAGTTGGCAAAGCGTAACGAAGGCTGAAACTGACGTGTATTTACAGTCCCTTTTGATGGAAGCGCCTGAAGGGCCGTTCGCAGACGCCTTCTTGCGTACGGTGACTTTCCTGCACGATATGGAACAGGCTTGGCGCGACCAGCTTCGTGTCGGTTACTCCGTTGCTATTTCAGGATATTGACTGATCGAGATGACTGAGTAGACGCCCATGCAAGTTTTTTCTTGCGTGCAGCTGGACCATCTTCGGGGCCGAAATTACATTCTGGTGCAAGTTGACGCTACGACTATGTTGGTTCGTTTGTTTGGTTAAGGCGCAAGTTCCTTTGACTCACGGGCTCGCAGTGCAACAACATCTGGAAAGGACGGCCTTCTTTGTCCCATTTTAGTCCCTTCGTCCCCGTCGAGGAGGCTAGTGACGAAGTCATGGAAAAGGGTGTGTTGTTGGCGTTGCGATGTGACCATTTATCGTGAGGATGCCCCTGACCTGGGCGACCATGTATGGAATACGGTGAGGGTTTTTGTTTGCCATGGTCGAGCAAACTCTTATTTTCGTAGACCTGGGTGCTAGGTGCAAATCGCATTGCCCGCATGCGTCGCGAGGACATTGGGTCCGCTTCCCAGGAAGAGGGAGGGACGGAGTGTGACGAATGCAAGGAGAAACGTGCAAGAGAGGGGGGGGAAGGGGACGTGGATGTTGTCCAGGTTGCAGAGGAGAACGAAGGTGACAAGGTAGTGTGACGACGAAGTGATGCCTGTGATCGGATTCAACGGTCGTGTGAAATTGTACTCTGTTGATTGATGTTTTTTTTGGGTCATAAGAATGGTCACGCGACACAGCCTTTAGATAACGACTTCTTTGTCTTTCATTCACTTACAAAGCAGGGGTACTTTCTCCGCAAGCTGTCTCGTTCCTCGAAGACGAGATATGTAAGTCACTGTATAGTCCTCTTACCACAGTGAGACCTCAAAAACTGTCTAGGCGTACACCAAGTTTCAAGATCTGTGCGTGCTGTCGGGCCTCCCATTCTACATGTACAGGAGAATCTCCTTGTCGCCGATACCTGAAGAAGGGCAGAGAACACCTGTGTGTTTACGACTTAGTGGTCAGTTTGTTTACTGCGGCTCATGTCCTTCTCTAACCTCTTTTGAGATAGCGCGGTCCCAAAGACATTCAGCCCGACATACAACCTGTTGTTCGTCCTCCGCGTAACCCGTTTATCATCTTCAGGTATGTGCCACGAATGGTGTTTTAATATCTGGGTGTAGCTAATGGGTGACGGGCACACCAGATCCGAGTGTTTGAAAGCCACGCACCTGCATACCGAGCATTCTCAAGTACTCAAGTCGACAGCCATAGGAGAGGTCTGGCGTGCGCTATCCAATTCAGAACGTCAGCCCTTTATCCGAAAGGCCCTGGAAGAGAGAACATCGCATAGGTTTAGTCATCCGGGGCTCCGCTTACGCAGA